CTTGCTAACGGTGTAAAGCCGAAAGCAAACCGAAGCAAATCAATTCTACCATATTCTTTCATATCATTTTTGAATATTGTAGTGATTGATCGGAGAATCTCTTCACCATCTGGCGTTAATCTTCCTGCCATTTCATCCAACATCCCTTGGCACTGTTGTATCATCAGGAATGCATAAGCACCCATGGACTTGTTGGATTCCAGCCATAATTGAAGTTGCTTTAATGGCTTGAATATCATTAAAGCATCTTTAAAGAGTGGAGGAATTCCATCACGTGTCCATTGTAACTGTTCACGTGTAGCTCTGGAAAGGGATAGTGGAAGATCTCCACTTCTTAAAGCAGTATTAATTGTTTCCAGATTATCAAAGATGAAAAACAGAGTATCATATATGTAGAGCCAGCGAGTTTCCGGGATTGATGGAACCCTGATCTTGTATCTCGCTCTCATATCGTGATTCTTAAAGATAATGATAATCTGGTGAACTCTATTCATCAGTTCATTCAACAATGGACATTGCTTACGTGCGTGGACAATAGCATTGTTCAAGACGTGGTTAAGGCAACGAATGTACACGGTTTGTAAGCCAGGGAAAAGGGCTCCTTCTGGCCTCCAGTGGCAGAGTCCTTTAACCTGGGCTGGCAAACCATCTCCGACTACTCCAGCTACGTGGTTTTTATTAACCTTAAGAGAATCAAACCACGTATGGTAGTCCTCGTATGTCCAATTAGTCGAAATTGTTGTGTCGAAGAATTGGTGGCGATCTGTTTTGCCTGGATTGCACACACAAGAGAATAGACCATGACGGCTGCCGTGTGTTCCGCAGTCCAGGGAAATTGAGAAGATGCGGAATTCCTCGCAGAACTTTAGGCCCCGAGAGGAGTCTGTTTTGCCTAAAGTAATCAATGCCTCTCTGACACCGCGCCGTGTGAACTCAATGTCTGGGATTGTAAAGTTGATGCCCTGTTCGCGATTGACTTTATTTTTAAGCCATTTGGCGAAGCTCTCTAGGAAGCTTTTAAATGCTGGCTTCATTGTGGCATAAAGGCTTATATCTAGGCTCGCAATAAGCCTGGCAATGATCTCTTCTAACGAAGGATCATTACCAGAGCCAACTGCTTGCTGAGTATTCTCAACTTGGTGCTCAGCAGGAACGTAGTTGGGCATTGGGAGTAAAAATTTGCACTTATGATCTTTAAAATCATTTTTCCTGCTTTTTTTAATGCATCGCACGAACTGCCCTTGAACTAATGTTTCACTACATTCGGCACAGTATGTAAAGAGCCTTCCTTTGTCTGATTGATTAGGCTCATTCTCATAATAGCCGATCGTAGTGAAACATTTTTTCCACACTTTGTTTCCAATGTTTCAGGAGTTGGTGGATATTTCGTCTTCTTAAATGGAATCCACTCATCATATACATGAGGATCCCATGCAGTCATAATAAAAATAAAGCTTTTTGAATATATTCAATTTTTAAATGATATTTTCACGGGTTAAATATAAAATAAAGAATAAGATGTAAATTATTAAAATATTTAATTTTAAATTTTGAACCCGTGATAAATATTTTTTTTCATTGTTATTAATAATGAAAAATAAAGCTTATTTCAATGAAAATTGTTCTGCAAATTTATTTCACTTTTGACCTCACTTTTCCGTAATTCAATTTTTTACTTTTAATATTTTAGATCTTCATAATATCATTTGAAAAATTAACCATATAAAAAAATCAAGTTATCAATTCACTTTTTCCGTAATTCAAAAATCAAAAATATAAATAATATATCTTTTTATCAAATATTATTATTATATTCTATGAAAAATAAGGTCCGGAAATTTTGCGGATTCCCGTAACTCAATTTTACGGAAAAAGTGCAGTAAACTATTCAAAATACGGAAAAATTGGTGTAAACTAATGATTTTACGGTAAAATCACGGAAAGTCCCGGAAGAATATATGTGCCTATATGAAATTATACAAAAAATGAATCAAACGCATTTTAAAAGATTGTTCTTGTATTATAAATGCTATTCGCAGATTTATTAGTTGAAGAAAATTACCAAATTTTTGCCGATTTACAAAAAATGATTTACAAAGCATATTTTTATAAGGCTTAAAAAATCTTTAAAATGTCACCGGTGACGGAAATCCATGGTAACCAACCGCGGTTCCCGTTTGGAATGCCATACTGAGGATTTTGGAAAAAAGTTTTTACATGAACATGTGTATATTTAGGGTTGTTAGATTCCCGACGATAGGTGTCTTGGAAGATTTGCCTGGTGTCATCATAGTGTCTTTAAATCAAAAATTTTATTTTGGAGTTAGTTTTATTGATTTTTCAATAAAAAACATTTCTAAAACAAGAAAATAAAACGATAAAATATTTATATTTTATATAAGGATCTTATATATTTAAAATAAATATCATTTTATTTTTTTCATTGGTGTCTGTCAAACCATAATACACTATTCAAAAATTCAATGTGTCTTGCGGTTTCAAAAGACACCTTCAAATTGAACGATAGCACAGACACTATTGAATTTTACCCATTGTATTTAGTTTTTACCCTTTTTATTTTTAAGAATTAATGACTGAAACAGCCGTTTTGCTATGACCTCAATCACTTTTATTAAGGGTTTCGTTTTGCGAAAAAAACGTACAATACGCAATTTCGTTAAAAAAACATTTAGCTAGCAATTTCGACCTTTGACTCCACTCAAGACGTCACTTTTTTAATTTTGCGGTATCATATTTTTGGAAAATCTTTATGAATATTATATAAAAAGTCTCTTTAATATCTATATTTCATATTTTTATCGATTTTTAAAGTTTTTGCGAAAAGTATTCAATTATTTTTGCTATTTGGTCGGGTAAATGTCAGATTTGCGACATTTTCTGATATGATATTCAGATTCTACGTTGATAATAATGCTTATAGAACCCTCTTGCTATTGTGTCAAAATTGCGAAACCGATAGCAAAAATATCTCGCAATATCAAAATTGAGATATTGAGTGAATTATGCATTATAGAGATTAAAAATCTGATTTGTGAAAACATCTCATCAGTTTCTAGCTAATTCAAAAATCTTTACTATCTTATTCGATTAAAATGAAAAGGGAATAGTTTCATTATGCTTTAAATGACAGCCTTATAATATAATCATAGTTTTCGCTCAATATGCAGCATTTTTTTTTCGAAATCTATGGTCAATGTCCTAAATACTGATTGCTTTGCATTCATATCTCTTACATTTTCTATACCCACATCACTATTCATTGCTATTCCTATCTTTTTCATTTTTGTTTGTTTCTCATAATTTCTCAAAAAACATGATAACTTGATATTTGTAAATATCATACTTTATAACGTAAATAAGAACTTGACCTATTAAGAAAAGCAGTAATGAAAAGAAAATCTGAAATTCATAAAAATTACAAGTTTCTGATGACAATTAGCTTAATTAAACCAGGTACAAGATTATATAATTGTATTTTCTATCCAATTATCCATATAATATCTTATCCAGAAAAATAACTTGATCAATACCAAATGATTTTTTAACTAGTAAATAAAGTATTTTCTTTACACACACATTGTATATCATAGTTTTTTTTTTGGTTTCGCAAAACATCCAAAAACAAATATGCTATAAAAGTGACAATTTTAGCAAAACGAAACCCTTACTTTTATTTATTATTTTAAATATTATTTAATTTTATTATTTGAATAGGCCAACTTATATTTGAGAAGCTCAATTTGAGACACTTAAAACATTGAAATATCATAAATATTGAAATATTAAAAAGTGTATTTCAAAATATTGAAATTATAAAAATTTATAATACTGAAATTGAGACAAATTAATAAATTCAATGCGTTTTTTTTGAAATAACTCTCAAATATTATTTTTTGTTTATTTAATGATGAATAAATATGATTGCTTTAGTCAATCATAAAAACTGATTTAAGTTTAAAATAATGAAAGGATAATTTGATCGTTTTTTAAAATACAATTATTTTTGATGATTTGCAAGAATCTTTGAAAAGAATATAATATAGGTTCTATTATTGTAAAATTTATCCAAATCATGTATTACATAAATTACGATTAAAACGATGAAAGAACCAAAAAGTGTGTTTTGTGTTTTGTTGTTGCGTGTTGGATGCGGGATCCTGTTATTTCCGAAATCGACAAAAAATTTGGAAATTTAATTTCCGAAATCGAAATTATATTAATGTTTTTAATATTCTTATATCAAAAGGATTAAAGTTCATTAAGAGAAAAACAATTCTTCTTCTTCAATCTATTGGCGCATTTATTTCTACACGCCAATAAGGAAGGGAAAATTATAAGACACCATGGTGTCTTCAAAACGCTAATTTTTGATATTTTTAACAACCCTATGTATATTATATGAAGTATATTGATAAGGTAAAAATCAAATTTTATTGCATATTCATCGAGAAAATAAACTAACGAATCCCTCAAAATTGAGAGGGTAATCCTCCTCCTCTCAAATAAACGTACATACGGGTGCACCCTTAACCTTTGCTCATCGTTTTTATAATCTTTTGAATGGAATGTAAACCGCTTCGGGCCAAAACATGTGCAAAGAGATGCATCATGTGTTAAATGATATATGTTCAAAATTAACAGAGCGTTTGACCACTTCAAATTTAATCTCATATTCTGATCCAGAGCGCGTTCTAGGTTGTTTCGGATGGACACGATGATGTTATATGAAATATCCAATTAATTCAACTCGTTTCAATTAAAATATTGAAATTTAAAAAAAAAAATACTGAACGAATTGTTTATAGATTATGGTTAAGTTGTCCTTGGGTTAATTGATTTATAAAAAGATAAGCGATATAATAAACTTGATATTTTTTATTCAATATTTTTTTTTTAAATTCATGGCAGGAGAAGAGGGGAAAATATAAAAAAGTTTATATATTAAAATATCAAAATAAAAATTACTTCTCTTGTTTTTCTTAAATACCGAAAATATTCACATCTGGTGCTTTTGTAATATCATCGAACTTTTCGAGTTCGAAATCAGGGATATCATCCATTGGTTCATTCTCCATAGCGGTGATGACCGCTGGAGCGACATCTACGATCATTTCTTGGTCTTCATCGAGATATTCTTCGAACTTCGGAGCTGGTTGCTGCTGCTGAGGAGTAACAGGCATCATAATTGTTCTGTCGTTCTTTGGTATGGCAGCGTTGATTGGCTTGATCGTGTTGCCCTCCTGAACGATCATTGGTGCCATTGGAGTGTAAGCCGGCTTCTTTGGCTTGTTCATGCTCTTGCAGTATCTTGGGATATCACCACAAAGCGATTTGACGGCTGTAACTGTTGTTCTCATGAACTCAATGTAGTTTAATTCTTCGTACTTTCCAGATGATGGGTGTCTGAAGTCGAAGAAGAAGCCGTAGACGAGGTTGGCCGATTCTACATCGTGGTATCTGAGTGGGAGATCGATTGTAGGTGATTTGAAGAGAGTATGAGATGCATCGCGAGATGTATGGTGCATTTGGGAGTAAATGTCTTCAAGATAGTTGCAGCATGAATTGATCTGGCTTCTGAGACCTGTATCTCCCATGGAAAGCCTCAACGACGCGAAAAGTGTGGATGTGATGCATCTTGCGTAGAGAAGCAAGTAGTTCTTATCAGCGACGAATCCGAGTGCGAGGAAGAATGGTCGGGAAGCAAGTGCAAGCGAAAGGGCTGGGAAATATGTGCCATTTGAGTCATCATCTGTATTGCACAAGTTAACGAGCTCCTTGAGGTAATCGTTGCAGTAGTTGAGTGACGACTTAATTATTGGAGACACAAATTCCGATTTAACTGGTGGAATTGAGATCGCAGCGTTTGTCAACGCGAGAGATGCGTCAAGATGGTAGCAGAGTGCCTGGTAGACGATGAAAAGGGAGTAGAAAGACTGGTTCTGGGTCGATCTTGCTGCAAAGAACTTGATTTGTTCCTTAATCTGGAAATAGACTTCAGCTGTCTGTCCGGCCAAGTAATAGCCACCGAGAGGTCCGTAGAAGAGGTAGCTCTTAGATGTAGTAACGATATCGCGAACGCGCTTGTAGATGGCTGCAATCTGCTGATTTTGCATGACTTCGTAGGAGAATTTGAGAATTTTGAGCATGCAATCAAGGGTGCAGAACAAGTAGCCCTGGCAACTCCATTTGATGAGTTCGCAGATTCTGTAAGTATGGATTAAGAATTTGTTGAACATTCTGAGATTCGTTGGTGGGAAACCGCATGTGTCCTTGTCATTATCGATAAGCTTGATTAGAGAGTAAGCTGCTGCCGCTAATGACGTAGAAACTTCCATGAAAGTTGTGATCGTATTCTTGTTCTTCCAGCTGTTGTAGTGTGCGAAAATATTTTGGGCTTCGTTTTCCATTTTGGTAAATGCGTTCAGATAATCCTTCGTACGCTTGGAACATTTATTCAAAATTTCGAGCGAATGTGTTTCATAAAGTTTAATGTTTTTCTGATAAAATGTTTTCAGTAATTCCATAAGAGTGTTAATAAGCATAACATAAATTGGAAGATTGTGAGGTGTATTATCCAATGGCAGAATCGTCAAAAGAATTTCAGTAGAGTCGATAATAGTCTGCGAGCATGCTGTTCTTGTGATGGTGATAATGTTTGTGCCTGGTTTTGTTGTTGAACTATTCTGTGTGTACGAGTAATTTCTGAAAAATTGTGGGAAGTTGAATTGGAGTTTTGTTTCAGCGGCAATAAGCATAGTTAAATCATTTAAGTTAGATGATCCTTTTAGTCCTTGCATTTCTTTGATAATACTATCAAATAAGTATTGGATGATCTCTGTTTGGAACTGTTCGAAGTTCTCTTCACGGAATTCGGCTATGATAGATGATAACGCTGACGCGAAAGGAAGAAGTTTCTTAAATTTAGGGATGAAAAAGGGCAAACCTGGAAGATCGGACATTTTATTTACTTTTTACCTAAAAAAATTTTTTTTATTAATTTTTTATTTTGAATATTATTTTGGATTGATATATGAATTGTAGTTGAAAAGGAGATGATATATTTTGCCAACGATACGTAAATTAATTCATTGAAAAGCTGAAAAGTGACTACAGCACTATCATTTTCAATAATTTTATAAAAAATTGATTATATATTTGAAAAATTGCGTTGTCAATAGATTATGTTATGGTTATTTACTATAATAACACAAATAAAAATGGTCTTTTTCCTTTTTGTCAAAGTTCGGATTAATTAAAGTTGTATATGAAATATTAAGCTGAATAGAATTAAGTATTAAACGTATATTTTGACGTATTTTCTAATAGCCTAGTTGATCATTGAAAAAACCATAATTTACTGGAAAATGGGAAAATTAAACAAAATTTGATCATCCAAGACCCCAATATAATGAGGTTGTTATCATTGATATATGTAAAAATAAAAAATCCCTGAAACATATCGGTTATCATTATTTTTAATCTTTTCTCTGAAAAATTGAGGGTGGAGGATAAATCATTTGAATCATTTAATATGAAATAATTTGTTTATGTAGTGAAGAACTATTAAACTAAGTGATAAAAAAATTCGATTCGATTTTATATTTTCTCCCATTTTGAGAGAACTCTTTCCAAAATTATAATAAAAAGCAATCTGAACATGGCACCTATAAAATATATATTCTGGAAAATGTAATCAGTTTTGAGACATTGAAAGAAAAATGATAAAAGGAAGATAAAAAACAAATTCTGGATATAGTTTAGAAGGCGCAATAAAAATGATTAATACTTGTAAATATAATTCATTGAATTATCGTTTGTAAATTTCTCTTATCATGACAGTTTAGTTTATATAACTAAATTTTACGGAAATATTTTCCTTTCCCAATTTGATGTAACGATGTTTTTATATAAATTCATTTCAGTCAATAAAGAAAATTGAATAAATTTTATTGCCAGCAAATTCTTGATCTAATAACGAAATATAAAAATATGCAAAGAAAATGATATATATCAAACATTTTTACAATAAAATAATTATTAACAAATTATAAAATATTATTTTTTGGGCGCATTAGCCTTATTTGGATTAGTTCTAATAGCTAAGTATTTTCTTTTCTGATTAGTTGTTTGTTGTGGTCTTTCATCACTACTTGATGAAGATGATGAAGTTGATGTTGATGAGGAAGATGAAGATTCAGCTGAGGAACTTGAAGAAGATGAAGATTCAGCAGAATATGGTTCTTCGCCAGACGAAGATTGTGCTGGATGGAAATTGGCTCTAATATTTTGAGGAGTTCTTTTAGACAGCTGTAATTTCGGCTTCTGTTCTTGTGGACTTTGCTTTGCTTGTAAACTTCCAGATGGTTTACTTTGAGGACTTTTATTTGGTTTATTTTGTGGACTTTGTTTAACAGGTTTTGTTTCTTGTGGAGTTTGTTTTGTTTGTGGACTTTTAGTTGGTTTTGGTTCTGGATCATGGTATTGAGATCCTCCTTCATATACTTTATTAACTTGAGAAGCAGAGACCATGCTTGTTGGTGTTCTTCTTGCTGTTTGTTTCTTCATTGGTTTATTAGGTTTCTCTTCTTTTGGAGGTTGTTGTTTAATTTCTGTTGGTTTCTTCATTGGTTCTTTAGTTTTCTCCTCTTTTTGAGGTTGCTTTTTTTCTTTATTTTTGGATTCATTGAATTCTTGAATGATCCGTTCTCTCTGTTTGTTCAATTTCATAATGAATGAATTCTGGTTTTGTTTTTCTTTTTCTTCTTCTTCGTTTTTCTGTTGTTTATCAAGTTCTTCTTTCCGCTTCTTTATGTTTTCTTGGCTCTGACTTGAATGTTCTTTGACGTTATCGATGATTTCTTTGATGTTCTGTTTTTCCTTTATTAACTTTGTTGTTATGAAACTTAATTCAGTATTAACTTCTTCTTTTTTAATGATTCTTTTACCATCTGAAGATTTTGAAGTATTATCTTTTGACTTATTTTCTTCTTCTTCTTCCTTTTTCTTTTGTAGAATCTTCATTTGTTCTTCATAAATGCTCTGATCTTTTTCTTTTCTCTTTCTTTGTGTTTCTGCTTTCTTTTCTTTCTTTTTATCATGGCCCAATGATTTCTTGAACTCTTCTAAGTTCTTTTGCTGTTCAATAAATCTCCGATTTTCTTCTTCTTTGTCTTTTTCAACTTTCTTCGCTCTTTCATCAATTGATTGCTGATCAACATAAGCAACTGCTGGAATTGGATCAAATTTTCTCTTTGATCTTTTTGCGAAATTCCTTGTTGGTTTTGTTTCTGTTTCTTCTTTATCTTTCTCTTCATTTACTTTTTGAATATTTTCTTTCTCTTTCTGTTCTTCTTTCGCAAGCCTTTCCTTTTCAAGCCTTTCTTTTTCTTCTTTTTCAAGTCTTTCTTTCTGTTCTTTTTCGCGTCTTTCTTTCTGTTCTCTAGCAAGTTTTTCAAGTCTTTCCTTTATAAGTCTTTCTTTTTCTTTCTGTTCTTTCTCAAATATTTCTTTCTGTTCTTTAGCAATTCTTTCTTTTTCTTTCTGTTCTTTAGCAAGTTTTTCTTTCTGTTCTCTAGCAAGTTTTTCTTTCTGTTCTCTAGCAAGTTTTTCAAGTCTTTTCTTTATAAGTCTTTCTTTTTCTTTCTGTTCTTTCTCAAATATTTCTTTCTGTTCTTTAGCAATTCTTTCTTTTTCTTTCTGTTCTTTTTCAAGTTTTTCTTTCTGTTCTTTAGCAAGTTTTTCTTTCTGTTCTCTAGCAAGTTTTTCAAGTCTTTCCTTTATAAGTCTTTCTTTTTCTTTCTGTTCTTTTTCAAGTTTTTCTTTCTGTTCTTTAGCAAGTTTTTCTTTCTGTTCTCTAGCAAGTTTTTCAAGTCTTTCCTTTATAAGTCTTTCTTTTTCTTTTTGTTCTTTCTCAAATTTTTCTTTCTGTTCTTTTTCAAGTCTTTCTTTTTCTTCTTTTTCAATTTTTTCTTTCTGTTCTTTCTCAAGTTTTTCTTTTTCTTCTTTAACAAGTCTTTCTTTTTCTTCTTTTTCAATTTTTTCTTTCTGATCTTTCTTATTTTTCTGTTTCTTTCCTTTCTCTTTATTTTCTTTGTTTGTTTTGCCGTCATCTTGATTTTTAGGATTACTTGGAACAACTTGAGAAAAGGGAGGAATAAATTCACTTAATCTTTGATGATAAATATCATTTTGTTGTGGTGCAGGTCTTTCAACTTTTTCTTTATTTGTTGTAGTATTTGTATCTGAGTCACTATCAGAAAGTGTAAAACTAGTTTCATCAAGAGAATCTGTTGTGTCTGGTGGCTGTTGAGTAACATCAATAACGATATTCAATGGTCCTTGATATTGAGTGGAAGAATTTGATTTATCATTAGAAGTTGATTCTTCTTTGTTTTCAGGAGTTTCTTTAACTTGAGGAATTGGTAATTCTTTTTTAATTTTTTTCTTTGTTTCCTCGATTTTCTTGTCACTTTTCTGTTGATTATTTGTGTCACTTTTCTGTTGATTATTTGTGTCACTTTTCTGTTGATTATTTGTGTCACTTTTCTGTTGATTATTTTCTTTTGTAGTTTTTTGTTCCGAAAGTTTAGATTTTTCTTGAGACGCTCTGTACCATGTTGGGCCTTTAATTATACTATTATTTGCTGGCTCAATTGGATGAGGATTCCAAGTTGTTTGAGAATTGTTTCTACTTGATTTTTCTGAAATAAATTCAACACCAGATTCATCTGAAGAATTCAAGTATTTCTTTTCACTTGGAGGAATTGAACTTGACTGTGTTTGCGAATTCACTCTACTCAGGTGTTCCTCAACCAATTTATCAACATCACTATCATCACTAGATTCTGTAACGAAAATTCCCCATTCTTGTAAATCATTATTTTCCTCTTGTTGTTTTTGTTTTGTGCCTTTATTCTGTGATTCAATGTTTGTTGGTAATATTATTTCTTCGTCTGAAGATGAAATATTAATAGCTGGTTCATAATCATTGATTTCAATATTTTCTTTCAGTGGTTTTTGTGCTCTTGGAATATCATCATCATTGTCGCTTTCTTCTTCTTTCAAACTCAAAGTGAAATCATCATCACTTTGTTCTTTCTTAACTTGTTTAGGTTGAGGAACATTATTTTTAACAAGATTTTCTTCAACTTCAGACTTTTCTTCATCATTTTTAGAAGATTTAGACTTTTCTTCATTTTGATTTGATTTTGATTTTTCTTCTTGATTGTTGTTATTGTTATTTTTAGATGATTTAGGAATTTCTTCGTTGTTTTGTTTAGGTTTAGATTTTTCTTCATTTTGATTAGATTTGAATTTTTGTTCGTCGTTTTCAGCCATTTTCAAGATATCGAAATCTGAATCAGTGTCACTTTCGACTTCAAATCTCTTTATTGAGCTGATTTTCTGTTGTGGAGGAGAAGGTAAAATTCCCAGATGATTTGAAATTTGTGGAGAAGTAGGAACATTTTGTCTCTTTGGCGAAATCATGTTTGGTGGTTCAGGAGGAGCAGAACTCTTTGGAAATGAGTTAGGCATTGAACTTTTTGGAAATGTTTTAGGCATCGAATTAGTAGGAATAGATTTGAGTTGAACTAAAGGAAGTTTCGGAGATTTGATGTTTCTTCTTACATCACTTAATATTTGTGGTTGATTTTCTGTATCAGAAATCTCTTCAATAGGATCATCCAATTCTGTATTCACATCTGTTATTGATTCTTCTTTTTCTGGTGTTGTATGTATTGATTCCGTCATACTCTTGTAAGGAGAAATAGATGATGAAGATGTAGTTTTATTTGTTTCTATTTCTTCATCATCAATAGCTTCGATAACATCGTCATCTTCATCTGATGAAAATTTACTTCTTTTCTCAGTATTCAAATGAGGAATCATAATATTTGCTTTCTTTGGTTTCAAAACAGGAGATTTAAATTCTGTGTTAAGTTTTGTTTGTTTAGACATGTTGTATTCAGGATAAATAGTGTGTTCAGGGTAACTTTTTGTCTTGTTTTGTTCTGTTTCCTTTTGTAATTCTTGTTTTAATTGTTTAAGTCTTTCAACAGCTTTTTTGGCATCATTAAAAGCGTTTTTGATTCTTTCTTTGAGAGAAAATGGTGGTTTATATGAAACAACAACAGAAGGAGTGTAAATACCTTTCTCTTGTTCAATCTTCCTCTTGATTTCTTTGATTGTTTCTGCCCCAGCTGAGGATTCTTCAATTGATTCTTTATATTCTTTCGATGACTTGATAAATTGGGCCAATTGTGGTCTATTCTGTATGATATGGAGCATTGATTCTTTAAACAGGTCTTTTGTTGAAACTCCTGAGTATGTTTCAGTAAGTTGAGCAATTTCAATAATTTCTGACATGACATCAAGTAATTCTGAGTCTTTTTCTTTGCAACTGTAGTAATCAATCAATCCTATAAGCAAATCAAAGAATTTTGGATCTTCATCAACAATTTTTTGGAACATTTCATTTTGTATTTCAAAAATTGTCTGCGGTTCTCTTGAATCTGTAAAGATAGATGGTAACTGTGATCCAGTTCCAATCCAACAATTCGAATAGTATGAATAAAAGTAATCAATTTGGTTAAATGAAATTATTAAAGTAAATTGTGGGCAATGTAGTATTTGAGTAAGACGTATTGTGAATTTATTTGGTAATTGGATTGGAAATTCTTGATCAAATATTAATTGACTGCTATGTCTATCGAAAAATTTCCAAACTTTGCATCGGCGTTTGTTTGATATCACAACTAAAGCATCCCCATCTATGCATTCCATTCTAAGTATTCCACTTGGTATATATATAGATGCATCTGCTGAAATTCCAGTGTTTGTATCAATAATTGAAATCGTTTCATCGGTAAATGATGCAAAAAGTAACTCTTTCATGCATTTTATATCTATTATATTGCTTCTAAATATCGTGAATTGTCCCCAACACAATTCCTTCTGATTAATTTTTGCAATATAGGATAAATTTTTTTGATTCTTAGCAACATATTGTATTTTTGGATTGTATGGATCAGAGACTGTCAGATTGTTTTGTATTTCGATTTGCTTTGTTATTGGAGGATTTTTTCTTGAAATTTCTGCAATACCATCCACAATTCTTTGATAAACATTTGAGTCATCTGTAGGAAAATCAACTGGATTATCTATTGAAGTAAAAACCTCAATATCATCCATGCAGATTCAAAAATCTCTGAAAGAATTTTTTTCAAAAAAAAAATAACAATATCCTTCAAAAAGTCTAGGTGCAAATGATTCTTAACTTTTCATGTTTGGTAATTTTTTTTCCTCCATTCAATTTTACGGAGTCAAATATTACTGTCAATTGATGTCTGTAAACCTGAAAATTCACATTAAAATATGTGATTATACCATTATAAATACATTAGTAAATTCGATATCTTTACTAATTAGACACAGGTACAAAAAAAAAATAGTGCGGGAAAAACTCCGAAGTATGATTATTTTCCCCTCAAATTCATGATTGCACTATCTAATTTAATTTAAGTGTAAAATTAGAACCTACTAACTATGTAGATTCTAAAAAAACTTATAATTGCGATGTGTTAATATTAATTCTAATTACACACATATGTGATATGTGAATCGCCGTAATTCGACAAAATGAAGGTAATTGTTGCTAATTGAAGTTCCAAGTTCTCTGACATATTATCTCTTCAAGTGTCTTCGAATGAATGAGCATTACACATTTGTTATGCTATATGAAATATTTGGATTTGCATATGAAAATTCCCTATTTTAAAACTTTTCGAGACGCCAGCACTTTGAAATTTTTCTGGACTTTACGTCAGTTAAACTTCATCATTTCTAACCTGAGAAAAGGACTCATATTTAGGGTGTACATCGGGGCCATGGATTTTTTTATGATACTTGGATTTTTTCTGATACTTGGATTTTTTATGATCCATGATTTGATATATTCCTGATTTAATCATATATCCCAAATATATATCATATGCACATGTCATTTCTATAATTATTTTGAAGCTGCAATGACGATATTGAAAATTTTCAAATTGGTTTCCTAAAAAAAGATGCTTACTGTCTTATTAATGGAGGCCATACAATCAAATAATCATTATAAAATACTAATGGATCAGTATAAAGGGTACATTGATACATGGGATGCAATATACCTTATCGATTCTGATGAAATTAACTCAACAACAAAATTATTCAAAGAAATAAAGGATAATTTAATTGATACTGGGTATTTTACGGCCCAAGATATACTTGATTTGATTGGAAGAGTTGGTCGAAAAAGACCCCGTTATCGACGCGCGTACATAGAATTAATGAAGAGTATATATGAAGAATATCATTGCGATGACAATTTTGGAATTGATTTTCTTTCAGAGTTTGATAGATTGATAGTGTAAACCCATATACATGAAAGCGTGCATGCATAAAGACAGGTATTGTCAGCAATGACTACCTGCCCAGTTATGAGTGATCAGAGAATTACCATCTCAGGCTTTTTGAGAACGTTTCAGCCAGGACCCTCGTATGTTTCTTGTAAACGAAAAAGGGGATTTGACAGAGTCAAATCCCCGCTCACAAAAAGTGGACTTTACATGTCAAATTTTATATGCATGTAATGTCCACTTTTATGAGTTTTAGGAAGGAATTGGAAGCCATGAGTTACTGACATTGCATCAGTATCTCATAGCCTCCAATTCCTTCAAAAAATGGGAGAAACTTTGTCCGAATAGTTTAACATTCGGACAAAGTTTCTCCCATTTTAAGAAGGAATTGGAGGGTAAGAGATATACCATATGAATGTATATCTCTTACCCTCCAATTCCTTCTAGAAAGTGTCCAAACTTTGGGTTAATTGCAAACTATTAACCCAAAGTTTGGACACTTTCAAGTGGAGATGGAAGGCTTTGGGGTATATATTAATACAATATACCTCAAAGCCTTCCATCTCCACTACAAATGGGAGAAACTTTGTCCGAATAGTTTAACATTCGGACAAAGTTTCTCCCATCTTTCAATGTAATTGCTACCTGTGAGGTACTGACTTGAAGTCAGTGCTTCACAGGTAGCAATATCCAAAAATTTAAAAACATTTTATCAGTTCGTTAGAGAACTAGAGCCTCCTAGGTACTGAACCAGAATCAGTGCCTAGGGACTCTAGTGATCTATATAAATCTGAGAAACTTTGAGGAAATTGTTCGACATTTCCTCAAAGTTTCTCAGCAATTTAGCGAGGAATGTTCGTTATCGTGTAGATATTTATAATATATACATGATAACAAACATTCCCCGCTAAAAGATGTAAAATCTTATAAGAAATAATTGCAAAAGAATAACAAATTGCAACAAATTTTATATGAAACTGAACCTTATGAAGTAGTGATTCAAGATCACCGCCTCATAAGATTCAGTTTCAATCTCAAGTATCTCAAAAGTAAGGCTCTATTTTTTGCCATGTAAAGTGTCACTTTTACTGTCAAACCGTTTTTATCGTTTTCGTTTACAACATTAATATTAATTCAATAAGCTATGGTGTCGGATCTGCACTTACTATTGCTGTGCACAAAAACAATACTGCTTTCGTGGAATTACTTGTTTCGCATGGAGCCAATGTCAGTATCGACCCTGGTTATGAAGGTTATTCAATTCTCCATCTTGGAGTCATAAATAATAATCCAAAAATTGTTGATCTTCTAATTTCGCATGGAGCAAATATAGACGAAAATAAGAATAATTTAGGTCTCACGCCTCTTATAATGGCATCATTTTTTAATTATAAAGAAATCGTTCAAGTTCTGATATCACATGGCGCAAACATCAATATAGCTGATGTTTATGGAAATAATGTTATAAATTATGCGCTATTGTATAACAACAAAGAAGTCATGGATGGAACTTCATATTTTTTCAAAGATTTGATTGCAAAAGGATATAATTTAGTCAATTCTCTTGCATCAGAAAACAATAACAATGATTTGATTGAACTTTTAATTACAAATGGCGCAAATGTTAATGTACAAAATATTCATGGAAATACAACTCTGCATATAGCAGTTACACTTTCTAATATTGAAAGTACCGAATTACTAATTTCTCATGGGGCCTCAATAAATTCTATTAATATACATGAACAGACTCCTCTTGATATTGCAATGATGCGTGTTATGAAAGAATATAAGGATTTTCTCAAACTCCACGAAAATGAAATAAAATTTAGTAGAGGATATAGCGATGGTTATGTTGATACTTCTATGGAGGAAAACGATTTGGTTAATCTCTTAAAATTGCATGGTGGAAAAATTAATTCTCAGGGTGAATTCAACTTTGATACAATATCTATTATGAACGAATTTTTCTGGACGAAAGTTTCAATTAATGCCATTCATTATTTATGGTATGCTTTAGCGGGCATAATAATTGGTGCCATTTTATTGGGAATATTATATCGAAAACTAACTAATCCTTGTAGTTCGATTTTTGTCAAAACATTATTTTGGATATTTTGTGGAATTATTTTTTATGTTTTCGTTCAATTTTGCATGTATTGCTGGAATGTCAGAGCTTTCATATTGAGAATGTTGAGGTCCTATTTTTGTATATAAATTTAGCATCGTGTTAAATACGAAGTTTTACTGTGTATATACTAAATTTCATATCTTGCAAAATAAAGTGTTTTTCTTCATAATTTATCTTTTTCATTGATTTTTGCACTAAGAGAAAGGAATACTTCGGATGTTTCTTTAGAATTAAAATGTGTTGTATTATGAAAAGGAGTTCTTCCATCTTTATTTTTTCATTGATATTTGGACCAAATGAAAAAAGAAAATCAGTTTCTTTATTATTTTTATAAGCTGCAAATTACATTACTATTTTAAAATGTTAATTTATGATGTGTTGTTTCTTCATAATTTCCTGTTAATTGATAATTGTTCCATGGGAAATAAGGATTTCAGCTGTTTCTTTACTATTTAAATATGTGGCATAATGAAGCGATGTTCTTCCATCTTCACCTTTTCCATTGACATAGTAAATGATGGAACATCAAAAATTGTAGAATAAACAAAGCATCTATGAAAATTCTTTCGCAAGATTATTAAATAATTCGCGATAAAACAAATCGATCTTTATTTTGTATTCATTCATCAAGAAAGTAAATAAATTAATGTGTATGAAGTTTCCATATTTGAATAAGATTGATTTATATAACTTAGACTTTTGGATATGGAAAATGAACTCGTTCATTGATGAAAAATAGTGAGTTATTTTGAAAATAGAAAAATTTATATATAACTTTATACAAAAAAAATGAAGTAGATAAATGATTACCATCCATAATTTGGCATCTCATTATCAAGTAATGAGTTGTCCATTGTTGTAGCTGTTCTCTTTGTCTGTCTTCTACCGTTAATTGGCTGATCAAAGTCTACATTCATTGCTTCGAGAATTGATTCCCCTTCACGAATTGTTGAGTCGTTGAACAGAGACAGATCATTATCGAATGTAAATCTCTTGACTCCGAGGGAATGCATCAATCTGTCCCAAATACGGAACATAACAAGGATAGAAGTAAGAAGCATGATAATAGGAGCAGCAAATTTCCAACAGTCACCAAGAACTTTGATTGTCTTGATATCATTCATGAATTGATAAGTTGGTGAATCTTCTCCGCCAACTTGCATGAGATAATGGTAGCCAATTGTTGGAGCAAGACGGCCAAGGATTACCACAAAGAAGTAAAAGGTCAAATCGTTAGTTCCATGTGGAATAAATTTGAAATAAGATCCGAGGCGAACTTTTGTTAACGACCATGTTCCAAAGGTACAGAGAATCAACAAAATAGGGAATGTAATGAAAAGCTCTGAAATCCATTTAGGAACTTTGATATGGCAGAGTTGGTAGAAAGGAGAATATTTTGGCTTGAACGAGATTGTAAGCTCGCCCCAAAGGTATGCTGCGCTAAACAATGCAGTAATAATTGATAGTAAACGTAAGAAAATTATTCTTGTCGTTGATCTCGTTTTACTGTTAAGAGCCTTGATGCAACTGTTGGCAGTTTTGGCTTCTGTAAACAGTTCAACACAAGCTGATGACAGAGCTTTTGTAATTTCGTCGGTATGATATAAAACATCTTCTAAATCTGATCTGAGTGCGATATTAAACTTGACATCCTTGATTTTTTGTGCATGTTTGCCTAATTTAAGGCCTGTGTAGTGTCTTTGCTCTGGAAGAAGGTTAAGATTTAAGAAATATCTCATTGTTTCAACACTTGGCTTAAGATTCTTCTCAAAGAGTTGGGCGTATAGTCTGACAGCTTTGCTTGGAGCTGTTTCGAGTATTTCTATAATAGATCTTGCATCATAAATTGCTTGAGCCGCATTACGACTAACCATGGCAACTTCAAAGAGATGGTATTTCTTTTTGACTTCGACGTTAGCAAATCTCCACAATCGAATTGGGAGCGCGATGAATCCATGGCCGAGAAGGAGACAAATAAGGATTAAGCCGTATGCCGTAGATAAAGCCTTCAATAATATAGGTAGCATACCGAAAGTAAGTGTTTTAGTAACAATGAGGATTCCGAGACCGATGAATACAAGAAATGCGGCCCACAAGTACCAGTAGATGTTGTATCTGATGGCATACCAAATTTTTGAACCCCATGTCAGACCGTAATTGTATGTATAGAAGCTTGTGATTGTAGGAGTGACAACCCAACCTAATACAAATGAAATCCAATATAAGGGACTATAAGATTTTGAAATAACATTCAATAATCCTTTAGGAATTTTTGTTGGATCCGATCCAAATAGTACCCAGCTTGCGTCTAATGGGAGAATACCAAAAACTTGGAAAATGGCTACTAATAATGCGAGAAAGAGGATAGATGGAATATACCAAGGTAAGTAAAAGGCTCCAAAGTACCAAAATAAGAAAATCGTTAAGATTGTACATATAATTGGAATGGCAATTCCAATTATAATTGATAAATCCATAAAATCTGTCACTTTTATTGATTTTACACAGTTCTGACAGCAATTGCCTTTCTACCGGATTTAGCTCGTAAGCAGAATAGTATCACTATGTCATGTGATATAACATGGCATGCTCATTTGTCAATAAAACTCTTAATTTTAACCCCAAATTAACAATCTGCAAAATTAATCAGAGATAATACATCTGTTAGTTTATATGCAGCTTAAGAGCAGATGAGTTATGTCAAATCTACTATGTAATGGTTCATTCTCGACATATAAATTGTATTATGAATAATTTTTGCACATTATCAAAAAACTTATATGATGCATTGTATTTCGATATTTTTGTTGATTTCCACATTATGGGTAAGTAAATTCATTTTAGAATTCCTAGATAAGGAATGAAATTCCATCACTTCATGGTTTTTCTGATAATCATCATATGAAAATGCTTTTATAGCATGTAGTGATATTTTTTATAAGGTCGAATTGATCACATTTCTTTGTAAACTTCTGAATTTTCAAGCAATTCAATTCATTTTTTGATGAATTTAGTATCTCAGGATTTATTAGAAGGAGATTTAGTATCTCGAGAAGGAGCAGAAAGTAGTCTAGATATACCATTACTCAAACAAAAAAGAAAGCCATCGAAATTTTGGAATCATTTCAAGGCAATTCTTTTCAGGAGATTAGTATTATTCAGACGAACATGGAAAACTACTGTATTTTCAACATTTGCAACACTTCTTTTCGCATCTTTAGCACTTGTTGCTCAATGGTTGATTGCAACTCTTTGTAAAGAAAAAGATGTTCCAATTACTTTTAATTCATTTTCAGTACTTCATGATAACTTATTTATTGTTGCTAACGAAACGATGCTTGAAAAATACAAAAGTTACTTAGATTTGATAAATCAAACATACTTTAACGATACAGGCAGATATCCGAACTTCACGTACTTCAAAACTCGAGAAGAAGCGAATTCATTCATATATAACGAAATTACTACGCAAGTTGAACCTCCATCACAAAGAATGGGTTTCTACTTCAGAGGTAATGGAACAGACGATATCCCAGTTATATACAATACTACATGGATGATTCCTGATACCAATGTAACGCAACCTCTCTACGCAGAAGTCAATGATTACAGAATTAAGTGGAAGAAGGCATACGGTGTAAACACTGACTTCAACATTTCATTTGTTACTCTCATGGAGCGTGTCCTTGACTTTATTTTCGGCCAAATCGCTCCAATGCTCCTTTGTGGCAGTTTCTTATCAACAATTCCAATTATAAGTTCACAACCGATCATTGATACAGTTGGAGAAGTCCGTGAGTACATGCAAAGCTGTACATTAACACTAATTCCTTATTGGACAGCCACTTTTTGTCTAGATTTTATTCTTTGGTTAGTAACTGCTACATTAGTCTGGTCGTTGTTCATTATCGCACGTACACGAGCTTTCCTTGATAATATCTTCCAAGTTTGGTACATTTACGCTGCATTAGGTCCCTCATTTATATTATTTATTTACACCATCAGTTTCTTCTTCGATTTACCTAATTCTGCAGCCAGAAATGCCTTTATCATACTCTGTATCCTCGATATCATCCCTGTTGTCATTGACATTGTCAGATCTTACGAGCCAAATCCTGTTTGGCTTGATTGGATCTTTGCAATGATTCCAAGTCTTACCATGCAACGTATTTCCATGGGCGTGTTGATTAGAATGGGCTTCATGACACAGACATGGACATGGTACTGGAAAGATCGCAATCAACAAGCTTATTACATCATGGAATTCGCTGGAATTGTTGAGTGGGCAATTTTATTGGCTATTGTAGAAAGAGTGAGAATATACATGGCAAGAAGAAATGCAAGGGCAACATTCGGTAATTACCATGATTTCTTTGAAGAAGAGAAGAGAAAACATCCAATTACTCAAGAGGCAAAACAAATGGAAGAAAATGTTCGAAATTCAAAAGATTACATTGTCAGAATTTTGAATGTTTCTCGTTTATTCTTTAATACAGCAAATGAACCAGTACCTGCTGTAAACAGTGTAACACTTGGTGTAAAGAGAAACTCTATCTTCGGATTCTTGGGTGCAAATGGTGCAGGAAAAACTACTTTGATTAGAATGATCACTTCACTTTTGCCACCTTCTGACGGTGAGATTGAGATTGATGGTGTTAACTTGAAGGATATGACTGATAAGACAATATTGAGTATCTGTCCTCAGTTCAACACTCATCTTTGCTTCGAAATGACTCCTCATGAGCATTTTTACATGTATTCACTTTTACATTGTTTGGATAAAAGTGACGCAAAAAGATTGGAAGCACAACTTATCCAAGACATGGAAATGGAGCATCTTAAAGATATTCCTATCAGAGAATTGTCCGGTGGTGACCAGAGAAAACTAGCTGTTGCACTTTCTTTCCTTGGTCCATCAAAGATTCTACTTTTGGATGAACCAACAGCAAGTTTGGATCCAGTCGCTTCCCACAAAGTCCATGAAATGATTCTCAAGTACAAAGGACAGAAAACATTCATGTTGTGCACTCACATCTTAAGCGAAGCTGAATTCTTGTGCGATAACATCTCAATCATGGTTAAAGGGTGCGTTTACACTTGCGGATCACCACAGTACTTGACACAGAAGTTTGGTACTGATTTCAGAATCGATTTAATGCTAAAAGATGAAACAGATGAAACTGAAACAAAATGTGACAAATTCTTTGAGAAAAATTTGCCAGGAGCGAAATTGACAATCAAACGTCCGAAAGCAAGGATTTACTCTCTTCCTGCCAAATCAATGGCTCTCTCACAACTCTTCAAGATCATTCAAGAAGGAGAAGACGGAGATAATGGAATTTCATACTTCACTTGTTCATCTTCTTCGCTTGAAAGAGTCTTCATGGAAATTGTCCACATGTCTGAGCATAGTGATATGGTTGCTGTTCAGAATAACGATACTTTGTAAGTTATATTTTTTTGTATTAAATATCCTTACTATTTCGAATATTGACTCTTTAAATCTATTTCTTTCCATTAATTTATGAGCATATTTCTTTAATCAAATTGATAGATTTATGCTTTTAAAAAAAAGAATTATAAAATTCAAATGAGCCGAATATTCTGTAAATCATATATAATGAATAAGCATTAACCATAGAACAGAACAGAGAGTTTACAGCATGGATTTTAACTTTTCGTATGAATTGTATTTTATTCCATTGCTAAAGAACTATTGCAGAATACATTTTTGCATAATTTTTGAGATCGTAAAGTTATACAATAGTATAATTTTATATATAACATACAAACATAAAAAAATAATATATAATATTAAAGGATTTTCAGGGGAATCTAGTATAATTCAATTGTTTTTGTTAGTTTCTTATTATTTTCTCTTGTAAGAATATGTATAATCGTTTGAAAAGTGCTGTCTGAAAATCTTTGAGCACTTATTGCTCGAATAGAAGAGAGGAGACTTGCCTTCAAGATTTCTCTTTGTAGCATCAGCTCCTCTAGCTAGTAATGTGTTGATAATTTCAATAGCATCATTCATTGTAGCATAATGTAATGGTGTATTACCGTGAGAATCTTGACAATCTATATCTGAGGTAAAGTCTAAAACACGTCTTATTATTTCTATACACTTCATTTGGCAAGATATATGTAAAATTGTCTGCTTATATTTGTTTTGATGATTGTAATCAACACCACGAGTTATTAAAATGTTAACTGCTTCTAAATTCTTGGCTCTTATTGCAGCAAATAAAGGTGTTTCATTATCTTTATCTAACGATTTTGTGTCGGCTTGATTATCTAATAGTAATTGTAGCATTGGCATGAATTCTGTCTTTTTAACTGATAAATGTAGTGGAGTTTCTCCGTTTAAATTTTTTGCATTAATATTTGCGTTATTTTCTAGAAGACACTTAAGTGACGAGATTTGGTTTGTATTTATGGCAACATGAATAGGTGAAACAATGTGTTTGTGAGAGAAATTAATATTTGCCTTATAATCAAGTAACATTTTAATACAATCTTCTGATCCTTTTGCTGCAGCTTCATGCATTGGAGTCCAATAAAAATATGAAGAATACCTTCCGAATCTGTTGCATTCACATCAGCACCTGCTTCGCATAAGAACTTAACAATAGTAGGATTATCAATTTTGCATGCATAGTGTAAAGGGGTCTTATTAAACTTATCTTTGAAAGAAATTATGCTATGATGTTCGATTAACAAAATAACGGCTATTAAATTTCCTTTAATAACTGCGAGATGAAGTGGTATTCTGCCCTTATCGTTGGGAATATTGCAATCTGCAGTGCAATCCAGTAAAAATCGTATAACGTTTTCTTGATCATTCCAAACGGCACGATGTAAAGGGGTCCAATTGTCATGTGTGATGGAATTAACATTGAACCCATTGGTCACTAAGCTCTTTAATCTCTTCAGTTGACCAATAGCTGAAGTAGAATGTATTGTTGCCATCCAAAATTTTCTGAAATTTCAAAAAAATCTTCAGAACAAAAAAATGCCTATTATGGGTGGACTCGTGGATCTCATAAGTGAGCCAGAAGAAAAGGATTGCCTCAATCTCAGCTGGAAAGAGAGGATTGTTGCCTCTATTGTGTGCGGTTTCTTCTCTTTCTTTGCTGGAACAATGTCTATTTTCGCTATTGCATTATTACGTATCAGAAAGTTTGCGATTTTGTTTGCAATTATGAATTTGATGTTATTCTTATCATTAGGTTTCATTATCACTTTCAAAAAATTATTCTCATCCTTATTCCAGAAAGATAGAAAATATGCAGCGATTGGTTTATTCGTAGGAATGTTCATTACAATGTTTTTTGCATTCGGAAAAGTAAGATTGATTGGTGTTATTATAGGTTTCGTTTTAGAATTTGTTTCTTTCATTTATGTAGCTTTATCTTATTTACCATTAGGCAGAGAACTCTTTGCCAAAATTTTCCACTTTTAAATACTAAATTCTATCCATATATATCAAATAAAATTGTTATTCTTTCCAAAACCTCATCATACTTTAAATTTTTCTCGAACTAAGCAAATCATTCAATATTTGGATAGTTGACTTCAAATATGAAATTGTATTTCAAAATACTTTTAGATATCAAAGAGTTACGGAAGGAAAATGTATCCAATATACATATTTCTTTTAGATTACATATATTTAAAACATCATTTATCTAGATATAAGATTCAAATTTCTATTTCCATGAAATTTGTTAATCTTTATTAGAAGTATGCTTAGTATTATACTATTTCGAAGGGTACTCACAAACTGAAGATGATTAAGTCAAAATTCAACACAAATAAGATAAAAATTTGTATAATTTTCTATGAAATAAACAATATTTATTGTAATATAACTTTGTAAAGTAATATGTTCGTTTTTCTATTAATTTGAAAGGAAATTCATTTTCATTTCAATTAAATTCGATAAATATAGCGATTTCTGAAGATATATGAATTAACATGTGTATTGTTTGTTGAAATACAGTCGTATATGTATAAATTTTGGCGTAATAAAAATTAAATTTGAGTTCTTCTTTGTTTTGGAGGTTTGTTCTTTTCTTTAATGGCGTTGCAGATTCCTTGCATTCCCATTTCAGCCAAAAGACCTCTAACTTCATCACTCTTAACGTTGACACCCAATTTCTTGAGATTTCTTGCCAAATCTAACGCGTTCTTTGACGGCATGATGACGTTTTCCCAAACCTTTCCTTTCACTCCTGCTGCGAGTTTCTCAATAATATCGTCTACTTCAGTTCTTGGAGGTGGAGCAGCTGCAACTGGTTCTGGAGCGTTAATTCTAGCGCCATCACTAACAAGACGAGTGAAACTGGCTACTGTAAGTGGTCCTCCGTATTGAGAAACCAATCTATCGATTGTTGGAAGAGGTAATTCGATATTAGATTCTTGGGCCATTCCAAGTAAGATATCTCTTGCTTCAAGACGTTCTCCATTTCTCCAACTGCCGAAACAATCTCTAATACTGCGGAATTTTGTATTTGCTGTCCTTGCAATTAAGGAAATAACAACTTCTTCTGAATATTCAGTGCCATCCTTTGTCTTGGAGAAATCGTAGTTAATTGGTTCGTTTTGAACAACTTCTGTGTGTACTTTCTCACCGAAAATTGATGGATCTAGGTTTCTTCCTCCACGAGCAGGTTGTTCGGCATGTTCTTGATGTTTTTCGCCAAATATAGAAGGATCTAAGCATCTTCCTGGGCGTGGAGCTTCTTGTGTTTCAATGGTTTTGTCGCCAAAAATTGTTGGATCCAAATGTCTTCCAGCATGTGTTGGTTGAGGTATTCTGGACTCACCGCGAGATTTTGTAAGAGCTGAGTGATCGAGTATTTTGCGAGTTGAGCGTTGACTTTCTGGTTTAACAAAAGATGAATCGTACATTAACTTGTAGTAGCTAACATGGCCTGTATTATTGACATCAATTGTCATAATTAATGGCATTACTTCGCGTGGATTTGATGCAACTCGAAGACTTATTAAAACGTCAGTAAATTCTTTTTGGGAAACGAATCCTGTTGCTCCAGGGTCAACTTGAAGAAAAGCATCAATAACGTTTCTTCTTTGAAGAGCAACATTGTTCATAAGAACCATAGGATCTGATGTATTAATTCTTGGAACTTCTTGTTCAGGAATTTCATTCTGAAGGAAAGCAACGAATTCTCTAAACTGAAGTTCATTCATTTCAACATTAAATGCATCCCAAAGTACAGAAATTTCGACAGGATTTTCTGTAAATTTTGAATCGACAACTCTCTGTCCAAATTTATCTCGTGTCATTGGAAAGTCTCCAGTGAATTTCTTCCATCTTTTCATGTTTGTTTCTGCTAACTGAAGAAGAAAACTCCGAAAAGCAGCGCAAAGATCAGCACTCATATAAAAAATTTTCAACGTACATTATTCAATTTAAAATTTGTATATTTTTACAGGCGCGAAGCCCGGTTAGATATGAATTCTTCTTCCTAACAGCATTTGGACTTGAGGGGAAATATTCCGTCCACTGTTCACAATTTTTTGTCACTGTATCCACAATATTTTGTTACTTTTTTTATTTGAACATTTGAAAAATGTTTCAGAAATGTGATGGTCCTTACACTCCATTCACACTTCCTGAGCCAATGAAACTTTTAGCTAAATACTCTTATTATCTTTGGGCAGTTGAGAAGCAAACAGCTGAACAATATTGGGAAAGAGTAAATAAAGCTATTACTTTGAATGTTTTTCCTCCACAGTTAGTTTATGATCAAATAAATCGTATTTCTACTGTCAGAATTAAATATAGAAAGATGCTTGGAACTGTTTTAAGAAATTTTGTTCAAACTTACAAGAATTTAGATTTAAGTGATACAAACATATACTTAGCATATCAGATTCGCGATCTTGTTCAGCTTCCAGATGAATATCAAGAAGAATTCAATGATGTTCCAGATGATATCGATGAACAAATTGAGCTCGGCTTTCCTAAAGGAACAATAGATCATGCTCTTCTTTATGATGACATTGATGAATTCAAAGAAATCTACAACAAAGAACTTGAGCGAATAATGAATGGAGAAGAGGATTTATACGACGAGGAAGAAGAAGAAAAGAAAGAGAAACCAACTACCGATCCAAAACCCGAAAAGAAAGATGTTGAACTAAATATTTCTCCAGAAGACGAACAGAAGTACATTAAAAGGGATAAAGATGGAAAAATCATCAGTGTTGGGACAAAAGATGCTGGTTCCATCTATTATCCTACGAATGAACAAGTTATTAATTTCATTAACAATGATAAACAAATAAACAACATTTTACAAGCCCCTGAAGCTAACACTACTAATAACGAAACAGAAACTACACAAGAACAGCCAAATGAGCCCATTAGAGTAGAAAATATACCAGTATATCCAGAAAATATTCGAAATCTAGCCAGAGCACTTCATATACCACCGGAGCATGCAAGCATTAATGATCCTGCTTTTATGCAGAGAATTATCGAAGAAACAAGAAGAATGATACGAAATGTAGCTAATGGACCAAATCAGGAAGAACAAGAAGCTTACGAAGATGATGATGAAGAGGAATATGACGAAGATGCATGGATACTGCATGAATTCGATGAAACGGATGAAGAAAACGAAGAAGATGTAATTGATTACTCTCCAGAAGATTTTGCTGAAGAAGATATGATCGAAAATGGCATAGATAACTATCATTTAGTCGAACAGGCCGCTGAATACGGTGCAACAAAGATATTTTTCTTTCTTCGACAATTTGTACCTGTTAATGAGGAAATGTTAGAGGCTGCTTGCATGAGTAACAAACCAATTATTGTTTCCCATATTTTCGATTCCGAAATTGATGATTATCACCTTCATTGGGAAGATGACATTGCAAGACACGGCTACAGAAACATGATCCACCACTTATCTGAAATGATCCCAATTTCTTCATTTCATTTGATCGACAACTTGTTAATTGATGAATATTTGAATGATTACTGTTTATACGGCCAAATAGATGGTATGGACACACTCTGTGGGCATACAGCCCTAATGGCCGCTTCAAAACTCGGTCTTGTCAGTTTAATGGAATTTATTATACAAGAAGGTGGAGACATTGACAGACAGAGTATGTTCCATGGAGAAACAGCACTTCACTTCGCCGTAGAAAACAATAAAATCGAGGCTGTAAAGTGTCTTGTCGCACATGACGCTGCAAGACTGAAAGATGAGTCTGGCCGCACTCCATTGGCTATTGCAATTGAATTGGGATATAATGATATCGCTCAGATACTCTCTTCCAATCTGAAAATTAAGATTTAATTCAAAATAATTTTTTTTAATTTTTATAGATATCTTTTGTTATTATTATAAACATGTTTGTTATACATTTCTACATTGATAACTCATAACATCTTTTTTATTTTTGATAAAATTTGATCCATTGTTGTTGAACTATGAGTTAATGTTTATCCTGAACATGATATTCCTATTTAAATTTTGTAGCTTTGAACTGACTTGCCATTGAATATCAAAATTATTGAGAATTTGGAAAAATATAATTCAATATTTATGATTGATTTCAATTTCTTATGATAGAAATTATTTATTATTAATTATCAATTCATTTGTATTATGTGAAAATTCCAAATTTTTTTCATTTTTCGAAAAATGAAGAATTTTTTAACAAATTTTGAAATTAAAATCTCAAAAATGAAAAAATTTTGGAAAAAAAGACCATAAATTGATATATAAAAACACTATTATCAGTAAATACTATTCATATAAAAGATATATAGAGAACATTTAATATCAAACAACAAATATCTAAGAATATCAAATTAAAATGTTGGTGGAAGTCTGTAAGACCAAGCAATTACAAAGCCATCACCTGAAGAAGTAACAAACATATTCTCTTTTGGATGATGTGCGATGCCCAAAACAGTGTTCGTGTGGACTTTTGCTGTGAACAAATGAGTGTTCTTTTCATAATTACAAGCCCTGATTGTTTCGTCCTTAGATCCTGAGATCAGAACATTGCTTGTATATGAGGTGCATGCACATGTTACGAAATTCGTGTGTCCTTCAATAGTTCGCTTGAATTGGGCACCAGAATTTGTAATTTGCCAAACTTTAAGTGTTTTGTCACCGGAAGCAGTGACCAATTCTCCTTTTAGAGTAATAGAAAGAGAAAGGATCATCTCGTTATGGGCTTGGAATGTAAAAATTTGATGGTCAAAATTCCTATCAAAAATACCAACATTGCCATTTGAGAATCCAACGGCGAAATAGGCTCCGCCTGGACCGGAAACTATAGAAGCAATTGCACCATCTTTGTTGGTCTGTGCATCTTGATCTATTGTTCCATTTGAAATACTTTTGATTAATTTCATAGTTTTCATATCCCAAATACATATAATTCCATCGGAGCCACCTGATATGAGGCGCGATGAATCTGCTGTAAAGAGTAACGATGAAACATTTTTCACATGTCCATCAAGAGTATTCACTATCGTCTGAGTTTGAAGAGAAAAGATACCAATTGACGAGGGAGCGATAGCTACGGCTATCATCGTTCCGTCCGGTGAAAATTTAAGATCTCTACTATGACATTCAGCCCTTGGAAGATTTGAACAAATTTCCGCTGAACAGAACAGAGAACCATCATTAACATCAACAATATGTAGATTTCGAGGACTAGAGAATGCAAAGAAGCGACCAGTAGGATCAAACTGGACTGCGCATATGACAGATCTTACATCAATGAGATAGCGAATTACTACTGTATTTTTGTTGAAAAATGGATTTGTCGATTCAATCGTATAAGGGAAATCTGATGTCGTTACGTTTTGTCTGTTATTTTGGTAATCTTGATATTGAGGTTGCTGTGGCATAGGAGGAGCCGGACATGCAGCGCAACTCACATCAGTCTGGTACTGCGGTGCCGGCTGCTGTGGAATAATGCCTGCTGAAGCGTAAGGATTCATAGATTTGAGTTTACTTACTTCGGCACTTAACATTTGTTTATAAAGGAGTATATATTGAAAATCGTCGGTAAATTGTGCGTTTAATATCCTTGACTGTGCTGTGAAATTTTGTAATTCCATAATTTCGTTTTTCAATTTCAAAATCGATTCCGTATAGTGTTCAATGAGCTCGTTGATCTTGGAAACTTTGGCTGTCGTTTCGGAGACACCAAAACTAGTTTCAAGAGGAAGCTCGTCTCGTTTGAACATCGATGTAAGATTTTTGAAGTGCCTTTTTTTTTTGAATGAGAAAAACGAAATCGACGCACAACTTTCGGTTCCGTATTAGGAATACTGTTTACACAAAAATTAAATTGTTATCCTCCTGGTGTCCCGTTTGCGAAAAATCATTTGAAGAATTAAAACTTGATTTCAGAGAGATTTCATATCGCCTGCACCACAAAGCAAAAATAAACAACTTGCCAAATGGAGATTTAATTTCCAATTTTCATTTTCGGAGAAAATGCCTGCAATTGTAAACTATTTAATCGATCTTGACTTATTTTGAAATTAAAATATATTAATCACATCAATTTAAAAACGGAAAATAACATAAATTATATCGAATTCAGTTTTTTAGAAATCGATAACTTCTTATCTTGTACACAATAGGTTATTGCATAACAAAACTATTAAATCTATGTCTTGTTAGAACAAAACTAGGAGATGAAATGTATTAATGAGTTAATAAAAAATTACAAACATAAAATTTAGATAAATAACAAACAAATATAATAAAAATTAATCGACATGAATTGAACGCAACTTCATGTATATATCCCTCTGAGCAACTTCTGTGAAAAATCCGATTCTCTTAGATTCAATAACTTGGTCGAATTTCGTTTTCGCGGCTTGTAACTGCTTGAATAATCCCTCGTCAGCCTTTGCGAGGTCTTCCAACTTCGATTCAATTTCAGGCAAATGGAATTCGTACTCTTCTTTGATAAATTTAAACATATCATCCTGATGATCATTGACATCATAGTCAACTCTCTCAAAAGAGAAAGGTACCAGCATTGCTCTCTTATGCATAGCATCAATAAGCGCTGCTAGTGAAATTGTTTCTGATTTCATTTTCGCTAAAGTTTCTCTCATCATTTCTATGTATGATCTCGTATCTAATTTTCTAGAAGAGAACATTGCTAATGTCTGGAACTGACCGAAAGTGACAATTCCGCCAAATTGAGCTGCATCCATTTCGTATTGTTCTCGGATTTGGTCTGTCATACGACTTTCTTCAGCTGCATAAGCCATAATAAGAATGTCTAATACTTGGTCCTCTGAAACAGTCACATCGAACTCTTTTCCTTCAGGAATTACTAATTCATTTCTCATTTTTGTGACAAAACTCTCAGCAAAAGCACTATCAGATACAGAATAAAGAACTTTCTTCAGTAGATCAATAGCAAGTGCTCCATTGACAGGACTAAGTTTGACTTCAGCTCCATCAAACTCGTCTTTGAACAAAACACCTTGAGAAGCATTAGTTATCATGAAACAACCTAAGCAGAAGCAATAATAATCAAGATAAACACAATCTCTATATGGTTGAATTACATCAACAAATTGTAAAAAGTGTTTGCACCTTAGATTACCTTCTTCGGCATATACTCTTGCTGATTCTATTAAATCGAAGAACGTTTCTGCTGCTTCTTGAGGATTTCCGAAAATTACCAAAAAAATTTCGTAAATATCTTCAGCAAAATGCTGTCTATTAGGATTCCAGTCCTTAACAATCCTTCTATCACTTAATTCAGTCAATCTGGCAGCATAAAAGTAAGATAAAGCCGCCAAAACCCATTTTAACGTACGAATTTTTGGAATTCTGAGTGGAGGAACGGTTTGGAAGATAGTAGGGAATTGTTCGCGAGTAATATTTGCAGGAGTTCTTTCCTGGTCGACGTATCTTGAGATATCATCAAGCATATTGACGATATCATGGTATTGCGGAAAATCTTTTCTAACACGACCTCTAAATGCATGAGTTTTATCTGAAATGTATCTTTCATTGATTTCTACTGCCTTTTCCTCCTCTTCTTCATGCTTTTCGGGTTCTTTTAAGTCAAATTTTTCTTGAGAATTTTTATTTGATTTCGGTCTTTCGAGTTGATCGCGTAAAATTTTGATTTGCATTTGAAGGGAACGCTTATTTTTAACTTGTAAATCGAGTTTCTTTCTCATATTTGCAAATTTAGTTTCATCTCTTTCTCTAACATTTGACCAACGCTCTTGATCATCTCTGTATTGTTGAGTAATTTGTTTTAATCGAGATTGACTAACTTCTAACTGGTCTTTTAATATTTGTGTTCTTTCTTTATGACAAGTAACGAGATACGTCTTTTCTTCTTGATGTAATTGAACTACTCTTGCGAATAGTTCCTGATAACGTCTCCATATTGATAATAAAAGAGTAGATCTTTCAGGACATTCGACAGAAACCTGTCTGCAAAGTTCCTCATAAGCAATTGTAAACCAATTTCTTGCATTTGATGCTAATTCGATTGGATCTTTGGATTCTTTTTGATTTTTTTCGAGAACTGTATTTAACCATTGTCCAAGATGCTCTACTTCTTCACGAGTATTACTAGGTTCAGGAGATGGGAAAACTTTTGTCATCCATTGATTGCTTTCAGGATCTAATTGAGAGGTTCCAGGTCTAATTGGAATTGGAGTCGCAACAACTTTGTTAAATTCATCTGGAATAAAGGTGGGAACATTGGGAATCTCTTTCTGATCTGTAATATGCGAGAGATCTGCTGTTTTTAAGTTTTGCGTTACTGTTCTTTTTGGAGATTTTAGGTTAGACTTATCACGAGTTCCACTAGTAGCAGTACGGATGCCACTACGGGTAGTGGGCCTATGATAATCAACGTCAAATGTTACAGTTGCCGGACGTTTCTGTGATAAATCCGACATCTGAAATTTTAAAAAATTCGTTTTTTATTTTTTATCACAATATGACAGTAATATCACATTCTTTCATGTTTGGTTGTTTATGATTACTAGGGAGGATGAATGTTTCAATCAAGAGATATCATTAAATGTACTTTCAAAGATTCGGCTATAGTATTGTTGTGCATGTGGAAGATATGAGGTAGATCAATATTTACAAGAGTATCAATACAGTAAAAAGGTTAGTTGCATTAGGAAAATTTTGAAGAAACTATTTACATATAATATTTTTTTATTTACATGAGAATAAAAACAGTAAATAGAATAGTTGGAATAGGAACATTCAGTATCTGTTGTGGTCTGCAGCTGAATGCTTGACATGCGACAAGAGATGTCTTGGGAAGACCACTTGATGTGAGAATATCGACGAATCTTTGTGTCTTGTTCTGGAAAAGAACACCACATTTAAGACTGATGCAGTTAATGAATGCATTGTCACCAATCGATGAGACACTGGATGGAATGCTGATCTGCTTAAGACGAATACATGATTCAAGTGCACGACGGCCGATGCTGCTAACACTGTTGTCGACAAAGACAACAATCTCGATGTATGCACTGTTGATGAATGCGCTGTCTGCAACACTGTTCAGACGACGGTCGAAGCTGATGTAGTTGTCTCGGCACGCAGGAGCGTGCAGGTAAACGCGGCCGAAGTCTTTGCTGTAGATAGTGCTGTTGTGACAAACAAGGTTTTCGCTGGTGAAGTCGCTGATGTATGACAGAGATGTGCAGCCTTCGAAGATTCCTGGGAATACCTTTGAAAGATTGCAACTAGAAAAGATGTCGACACGCTCAAGATTAGTGCAGCCCTTGAAGCACTCTGAATAAAGAGATTCGACGCTGTCTGGAAGACTGGCACGTGTGATAGATGTTCCACTGAAGCACTCGCTACCGATAGAGATGATGTTGTTCGGGATGCTGACTTCGTTAAGATTTGAACATCCCTTAAAAAGCATGGATGGAAGTGTGTCGAACGATGTTTTGCTCCCTTCGAATGTGATAGTGATAAGTCCGCTGTTCATGAAACTTCCGGAGTCAATCGATTTGATACGATTGATGACATTGAATGTCGCGAGAGATGTACATCCCGAGAAAACATTTTGTCCGATGAAAATATCACATGTACACTCATCGAATGATACAGTTCTCAAAGATGTACATCCTTCGAATGCAGAATCTTGAATTGTTAATTTACTTACAGTTGATGAAAATGAAACACTTGGTAATGTTGTTACTTCGGAAAAAGCATTATTAGCAAGATATGTAAAGCTTGCTGGAAATATAAATTGTGATGAAAGCTTTGTTTGATAAAATGCTAAGATTCCGATTTCTTTGAGCTTTGGGAAATAAGGAATTGATGTCAAACTAGTACAATATGAAAATGCATTGTCTTCAATATATTCTAGTTCAGATGTTCCATCACAAGTAATAGAACTTAGACTCTGTTTATTCAAAAATGATGATAATTTAATTCTTTTAACTTGACTTGAAATTTTAATTGATGTCGCTGAAGAATCAAGTAATAACGATATTGACGAATTATCTTTAGCCATTATCAACATTTGGCTGTCAATCATAATTTGAGAATCACCTTTGAAAGTAAAATTAATATTTGGATTTGGAGGAAATGCACCTCCACCAACATCAGTAAGATTTCCTGGAAGAAGGATTGTTTTCAAGAAGTTACAACCTGTGAACGCGCCAACACCAATCTTAGTTACTTTTTCAGGTATATCAATTGATGTTAAACCTGAATTATAAAAGCAATAATCATTAATTATTGTTATATTTGGAGGCAACTTAATCTGTTTAAGATTTTTTGCAGTTGCAAATGCCCATCCTTCGATACTTGTAACTCCAGGAGGAATTGTTATTGATGTGCATTTTGCATTCTTAAATGCACCATATCCTATGTATTTTACTTTCGGATTGATTTCATATGTGAACGTAGAATTTGGTGCAAAAGCATATATTGTCTGATAATCTTTAGAATATATAGCAAAATTATCGCTGACAAAATATTTATTATTTTGATGAACTCTTATTATTGTTAAAGTTAATACAGAGTTTGCAAATGTTCCAGTAATTTCTTGAACTGATTCTGGAACTTTAAATTCAACAAAATTATCATTTAGAAATACATTATTCGTAAGTGATCGAAGCTCGGATCCTTCTTTGAAAGTAATTGATGTTAAAGTATTAATATTTCCAAGTCCATAATCCTTAATATAAATAACAGTTGATGGAATTTCAATGGATTGGATTTTTATATATGAAAACCCATTTTTTTCAATGTATCGGAGTCCTTCGGGAAGGAAAAGTTCTGTAACTGATGTGCAGTAAGAAAATGCACTTTCGCCAATAATTGTAAGTTTAGTGCACATTGAAAGATCAATTTGTTGTAATTTTGCACAATTGTAAAAAGCATACTTACCAATTGTTGTAAGTTGAGGATTTGGATCGAACCTGAACGATCTTAATGTTTCTTTTGAATATAGGAAACAATAATCGTTTACGTTATTTCCATAAATCTCGAGACAATTACTCGAAATAATAAGGTCTGGATCTGGCATATTGACACCTTTGAGAAGTGTCCCAGAATTATAATAGAACTCAGGATCAATATTTGTCATCTATTTGTTGGGCATGATACAAAAACTTTTTATCATAAAAAAATTGAAAGGTCTCAGATTTTCATTTGTTATGTGGTTGGTCGAAATATTAAATATTGCCTTCACTCAAACATAATAAAATATTTGAAAACTCAAAAAAATCTATAATTTTCAATGATTTTTGACGAGGAAACTTGAGGGATATGAATATACCTAAACATGTGGCATATATAATTAGAATAATTCCATGACATATTTGATAATCCTTTGAGATTTACTAGAATTAATGGATTTCTATCTGAATTAACGCACAAATTATATGTGCATAACATTTATCAACAAATTATATTGATAGCAGCTAAAGAATATTTTTTAATTTGGAAATATTGAATTTTAATAATTGGGATGTTAATAAACCATTTATCCTATTAATAAATCACATAATTATCCAGCGAATTAATAAAAATAACCAATTATTTTGTCTTTACACGGACCTTCTCTTTTATTTTTTATAAAATTAAATTTCTCATCCAATTGGTTTTCACCAGGATATCCAAATAATAGTTTAAAATGGTTTATTTTTTTCGATCGGAGTTTATTTCAAAATATCCATTCAATTTTTCAATTTCAATATGAATTCATTCCAATTTTTGATTAAAAATATAATAATCGATCGATGGAAATTCTGCCCTTCCTATCAATACTTTGTGGAAGTGCAGAGTCAAGGTGGGCTGATCATTTCGGAGATATGCATATCAATGGAACATTTGAACAAAAACAAAACTTTAAATTCAATTTTAATGTTTTTACGTCAAGAAATTCTTATGCAAATTACTTAATTCAAGATTGTACCTTCAAAAATATGCGTACTCATCCAATATCTTTGCGGAACCTTTCATTAAATATTTTAGTTGAAAGGTCTTTATTTGAAAAATGCAGAGATCCAGATAAAGGCGGGGCAATATTTGCCACTTCCAGAAATAAATTTGCTTTAGATAAGGTTTGTGCAAATGAATGCACGGCGGCAGTTTCTGGCCACTTCTTCTATTCTGAGGGCAACAATTCATCGGTTTATTTAACTTCAGTAATATTTTGTGGCAAAAACAATGATAATTTTGCCTCAGATACAACTACTCTATCAATAAATGGAAATTATGGATATTTCAAATTTTTAAATTGCTCATTTAATAAAGCAAAAGATACTTCGGCAATTAAACTTCACTCAACAATATCATATTGTATAAATTTCTCCACAATAAATAACAACACACATTCCAAACAGACAATCGATATTTTTCAAGATGTTGTAAGAACTTTTTCCTGTAATATTCTTAATAATCGTGGTGAATATCTTTTTGCAATATATGCTACTGAATTGGTATTAACAGAGACATCAATTTTTGGGAACAAAGTGACAAACGTATTTTTTGGGAGAACAGGAGAAATTTCGCCAGCTATTTATCTTTTTGAAGTCTATATTGATTCTGATATTTCATCAGGTATAAGGACTATTAGTTATCAAAATAAAAAGGTAATCAAATCATCTGCCAATTTGGAAAGAATGCTTTCATGTGGAATAGATCCAGTTCCAATGACAGCTCCGAAAAAAGTGGAGCACATCAATAATGCTTATAAGAAATAGATCATAAGTCATTTTATAAAGAGAATTTTCAAGAATTTTTATCATATGATGTTTTCATTTTTACTCTTTTCAAAAATAAAGAATTGTTTTCTTCAATTTTCTGTTGAATTTATATATCTAACATTTGATATGAAAAATAGGTGATGTATTAGTCAACGCATTGCCCTTACAATTGGAACTACAATAAATATGTATATATTCTTTTATTTACATTAAAATAAAAACAGTAAATAGAATAGTTGGAATAGGAATATTCAGTATCTGTTGTGGTCTGCAGCTGAATGCTTGACATGCGACAAGAGATGTCTTGGGAAGACCACTTGATGTGAGAATATCGACGAATCTTTGTGTCTTGTTCTGGAAAAGAACACCACATTTAAGACTGATGCAGTTAATGAATGCATTGTCACCAATCGATGAGACACTGGATGGAATGCTGATCTGCTTAAGACGAATACATGATTCAAGTGCACGACGGCCGATGCTGCTAACACTGTTGTCGACAAAGACAACAATCTCGATGTATGCACTGTTGATGAATGCGCTGTCTGCAACACTGTTCAGACGACGGTCGAAGCTGATGTAGTTGTCTCGGCACGCAGGAGCGTGCAGGTAAACGCGGCTGAAATCTTTGCTGTAGATAGTGCTGTTGTGACAAACAAGGTTTTCGCTGGTGAAGTCGCTGATGTATGACAGAGATGTGCAGCCTTCGAAGATTCCTGGGAATACCTTTGAAAGATTGCAACTAGAAAAGATGTCGACACGCTCAAGATTAGTGCAGCCCTTGAAGCACTCTGAATAAAGAGATTCGACGCTGTCTGGAAGACTGGCACGTGTGATAGATGTTCCACTGAAGCACTCGCTACCGATAGAGATGATGTTGTTCGGGATGCTGACCTCGTTAAGATTTGAACATCCCTTAAAAAGCATGGATGGAAGTGTGTCGAACGATGTTTTGCTCCCTTCGAATGTGATAGTGATAAGTCCGCTGTTCATGAAACTTCCGGAGTCAATCGATTTGATACGATTGATGACATTGAATGTCGCGAGAGATGTACATCCCGAGAAAACATTTTGTCCGATGAAAATATCACATGTACACTCATCGAATGATACAGTTCTCAAAGATGTATATCCTTCGAATGCAGAATCTTGAATTGTTAATTTACTTACAGTTGATGAAAATGAAACACTTGGTAATGTTATTACTTCGGAAAAAGCATTATTACCAAGATATGCAAAGCTTGCTGGAGATATAAATTGAGATGAAAGCTTTGTTTGACAAAATGCAGATTTTCCTATTTCTTTGAGCTTTGGGAAATAAGGAATTGATGTCAAACTAGTACAATATGAAAATGCACCGTTTTCAATAACTTCTAATTCAGATGTTCCATCGCAAATAATAGAAATTAGACTCTTCTTATTCTTAAAAGATGATGATTTTATTCGTTTAACTTGACTTGGGATTTTAATTGATGTTGCTGATGGATCAAGTAGTAAAGATATTGACGAATTATCTTTGGCCATAATCAACATTTGACTATCAATCTTTATTTGAGAATCACCTTTAAAAGTAAAATTAATATTTGGATTTGGAGGAAACGCATTTCCTCCGACTTCATTCAAATTTCCTGGGAGAAGAATTGATTTCAATGAACCACATCCAGCAAATGCATCTGTTTCAATTTTTGTTACTTTTTCTGGGATATCAATTGATGTTAAACCTGAATAAGTGAAACATCCCATGGAAACTGTTGTTATGTTCGGAGGCAATGTAATTTGTTTAAGATTCAATGTAACAGCAAATGCATATGTCCCAATAACTTTTACACTCTGAGGTATTGTGATTGACGTACATTTTGCACCCATGAATGCACCATGGTTTATGAATGTAACTTTAGGATTGATATTATATGTTGAATTTGAATTTGCTGCAAAAACAAGAATTTGTGTATAGTCTTTGGTATAAACCGCATAATTGTCACTGACAAAATATTTATTGTTTTGATGAACACGAATTATTGTCAATGTAGCAACATCATTTAGACATGCACCGATAATATATTGGACTGATTCTGGAACTTTAAATTCAACAAATCTTGCACTTATAAATACATTATTTGAAAGAGATTGAAGTTTCGATCCTTCTTTGAAAGTTATTGATTTTAAAGAATATATATATCCGAATCCATAATCCTTAATATCAATAACTGTTGATGGAATTTCAATGGATTGGATTTTTATATATGAAAATCCATTTTTTTTCAATGTATCGGAGTCCTTCGGGAAGAAATAATTCTGTAACTGATGTGCAGTATGAAAATGCACTTTCGCCAATAATTGTAGGTTTGGTGCACATTGAAAGATCAATTCGTTGTAATTTTGAACAATTGTAAAAAGAGTACTTACCAATTGTTGTAAGTTGTGGATTTGGACCAAATCTGAATGATCGTAATGTTTCTTTTGAATGCAAAAAACAATAATCACTTACGCTGTTTCCATAAATTTCGAGACAATTACTCGAAATAATGAGATCTGGATCAGGCATATTGACATCTTTGAGAAGTGTTCCAGAATTAAAGTAGAACTCAGGATTAATATTTGTCATTTACTCTTTTGCTCCCATATCAACTTTTCTATCAAATCAACTTTTTATATAACAAAAAAAGCCTGTGATTAAATTTTTGTATACCAATTCACGCCGGTAAATTAAATTTGAATGGAATCTAACAATTGTTTTGTGGTTGGAAGAAACATTGGATAATACCTTCATTAAAACATACCATATGCCAATGAATGAACCAGTGAAATATCAGTTTTTCAAATAGATTAAAGTACAAAGCTTTAATTTGCGTTCCACCTCTAGAAAAACAGGGCTAAGTTTTATAACTGGAGTTACCTAGTAGCAGTAATAAGGTTGCTATTAAAGCTAATTGTCGTATGAAATAGTGGTCTCAAAAATAGATTTCAGAACCTATTCAAATAATTTGAGAACTTAAAAACAAACATATCAAATGCTCGTAATATAGAAATATTTTTATGAAAAATTTAAAAACAAAAATTCTCTGAAATTTTAGAATCTATTCTTATATAATGTTCTTACGTTAATCTACATGTTATTGAGAACCAAATATGGTTTAATTGTTAAATTTGATACAAATCCTTTTCAGTTGGAATTTGATTTATTATGTTTTCAGTTATATTTTTTATTTTGATATTTTTTTGTATGGGAAATAATGAATAAATCGGTCTACATTAACAATAAACTGGATTTAACCCACACCAATGGAGTAATACCTCAATGATTTGTTAGATAGTGAAGATATTAAAATTTATCACCCATTTATTGGCTACCGTTTGAGATTTATAGGTCCACTTTAAGTATTAGCAGTTATGATATAATTGGCTGAATAATAGATTTGATTTTTTTTTGAAAATAATTTAAATTTGCTGAACTCGAATTCTAATTACGAGAATTTTTATTTTTCACAAAATCATCTGAAAAATGAAATATTCTTCAAAATCTATTGATGGGAATCGAAAGATAGAAATTGTAATGCCTAACGCGCTCTCTCCCACCTAATAAGATATCCGAAAGAAGCTGAAATCATTAATTAGTTTCTTTTCAAATTTTGCCTTTAACATCAATTACTATAATTCCCTATTACAAAATCATTAGATAATACCATCTTGGAATTGGGTTTTCCATATCTAAACATATACTTTTTTTTCTGAACAGGCGTTAAGGAATTGGGTGTCACAAAAATTAATGAATAAGGTGACAGCTTTTCCAAGTTATGACTGAAAATGAAGTTTTCAAATTCAATTTCTTTCAAGTTTAAATTTGAACTGTTTTAATTTTCTTATTTTGCTTATTTTAGTTTGATACATAGAATTTGATAAAATATTTGTTCCAGACGCATTGTACAATCAATAATAATGAAAATACAGACATGTTATGATGCAAAATAGAGAATGGTTTTTTATCATTCATTTGATAAGGATCAATGATTACTTAACGTTGTTATATGTCGATGCAAAGCAAAGAGGAGTTTGTCCACATTTGTACTTGCAAATATTCTTTGTCTAAGATTCTTAAGCACTGCAATAAAATATTTTTAAGAGGAGAAGGAAAAACGAAATAAAGTTAATTTACAATTTTTTTTGTTATAATAATTCATAAATTTTGATTGTGATAAATACATATAAAAAATATGTTTGACTAAGGAAGTCAATTTGGAAAATCGTTTTCACTTTAGGAGAATATAATTTTCCATTTGGAAAATTTAAAAAATGAGACGCGCAGGATTCGAACTTTTTTAAAAGTTGATTTAAATGAATTTTAGTGTGGAATATAAGGATAATATCATATTTAAAATAAGAATATACTAGTTTAGGTGGTATTAATTTTTTCGATAAATTTGAGAGTATGTACGTTTAGGGCATGAAAAGTGTCAATTCGCTCAGCGAAAGCTGAGCTAGCTTCGTTCTCGAAAGAATAAGGAGGGAGTGAAGGAGAATGATACAGAAGTTGACACTTTCATATTATTTCAACAAATTTTGATCAAATTGAAATTCAATAAAATTCAATTCAATTCATATCCTTCAGTCAGTACATTGATATCCTTCTGCATCACAATGATAACTCGGGCATCAATAGTTCTACAACTAACTCAGAAAAAACAAGATTATTACTTCCTGCTTACAGCTTTTAAAAAGTTTCGATGATAAAAATCACTCTACTCTCGTTTATCGACATATGGTGATAGTAGGTAAACATATTCTTATCGATATTAATAAAAATATTTGTACGAAAATCTTATCCAATTAGAGAGTTATTCATAAAGTATATGATAATTATAATTACTTTATCTTTGTTTTATCTTTGAATAAACAATTTAATTTAAATTGCATAATATTTTTTGGTTGAAAGACAGGAAACTTAGTTGAGTTTGTATTATTTTTATCGTTTAATTCATCGTATCAGTGAGTGATCCAGATATTTAAGGGTCCACTGTAAGGCCAAATAAGGTCTATCGTCGTCCCAAAAATACTGCTCGAGATGGTGTTTTACTAAGGCCCAAAACTTAAAAAAACTCAAAAAAATTAACTTTACTCTTTTGAGATCCTTATCAGATGTGCATCAATTTGATGCAGTATCGCAGTTCGAATCTGATTTTTTAATGTAGATATACTCTAACATTCTTGAAAAAATGCAAAATAATATTAATTAAGCTTTTCATTTCTGTATCATACACGAAACAAAATCATTCATTATACTAAATTTATTAAAGTTTGAATAATGAAAAAAAATATATCTAAATTTTTACATTGAGTCTGCTATTGATATGGTTAATATTAAATCTTGTAACAACGGGCATTGGCCAGAATAATACCCGCTAAAATACACAATTTTTTAAAATTTTATCAATTTGTTATGGTACATATTTATGACAATGAATAAAATGCTTATCCTTCATAAGTAAATACATAATTTATGCTTAAACACAAAAAATAACACGAAAATTTTTGGCCAACATATCAAAACTAAGGATAATGTTTTGAATATATAAGCAATAATACTTTGTCTAGAGAATTAAATTTGTGCTATCTAATTGTCAATTCTTTGAATTTTTTTTTTAATGCAAGATATCCCGGCATTGGCCTCAATGAATATAAACTACATGCATCATAATATTAGTTTGTAATAGCATAAAAGCGAAATTCCTAATTTCTTCTCAAATAAATTCCTAAAAAAAACATCGGAATTAATGATTGGAAATAGGTCAAAAAAATTCCTAATATAAAACTTATTCTTAAGATAAATCAAAATTCGAAAATATCTATTTTTCAAAACACGCATCCAAAAGCGAAAAAATTCGAAAAAATCATGTTCTTATAAAACTCGCCGATTTTGCAATTTTTATCCGATTTGAAGTTATAGAATATATTACCATCTTACAAAAACATATACTTCATTATTGCATTCACAAAATATTAATCAGAACATTAGGAAAAGTGGATTTTCGAAAAAAGACGATAACGATTATTTGCAAATCGCCTCTCAATTTTGAGAGACTTTCAATTTTTACAGTGGACCCTTAAGATATTTAGAAAAAAATTATTAATTTGATTAACAAATTTTAATCAAAATAGCAAAAATCTATTTGATAGCTGTAAACAAACAATAATTTTTATTTCAAGCAAAATCACTTATTTTCATCTAAACGTATAAAATTGTCAATTTTATGAAAATAAATTGAAAATCTCATGAAATGTAAATGAGAGTAATATTTTTCAATTTTCTTTTTTTCTTTGTCTCAAATATTTTCTGTTGGGAATTTTCTTGTTATCAAAAAATAATTTTAATATTTGTTTATTTTATTACATACAATAAAATTTTAAAAACTCTATTTCTTCTCAAGAAAATTTTTTCCTTCATATGAAAAAACATTTTGTTCTCCATTTGATACTGAGTCTAAATCTCGATTTTTGAATTTTCTTCTTTCCAAATTTCTTTTTTCCAAATTAGAAGTTTAATTCAAATTTTCAATAGTTTATATATTTTCTCAAACCGTCTCAGATTTTCTCACTTTTTAGGGATTTTCTCTCAAAATATACAAAAATAGTAATATCAATACATGTGTCTAATATACTTTAAAACCATCGTGACAAAATTCAAAAACGAAGAGTTCTTCTCTCCAAATTTTTTTCAAAATCAAAAAAATGAGATAAAAAAGTACGTTTGGAAAATTCATTTTTAGCATTTTAGGAATTTTCTCACTTTTCTTCCAAATTGACATCCTTAGTTTGACACATTTTGCGGGCGTATTTTATAAGCCCGCAAAAAAGTGTCAAACATATTGAGTTATTATTTTTATTTTTACATGAGAATAAAAACAGTAAATAGAATAGTTGGAATAGGAATGTTCAGTATCTGTTGTGGTCTGCAGCTGAATGCTTGACATGTGACGAGAGATGTCTTGGGAAGACCACTTGATGTGAGAATATCGACGAATCTTTGTGTCTTGTTCTGGAAAAGAACACCACATTTAAGACTGATGCAGTTAATGAATGCATTGTCACCAATCGATGAGACACTGGATGGAATGCTGATCTGCTTAAGACGAATACATGATTCAAATGCACGACGGCCGATGCTGCTAACACTGTTGTCGACAAAGACAACAATCTCGATGTATGCACTGTTGATGAATGCGCTGTCTGCAACACTGTTCAGACGACGGTCGAAGCTGATGTAGTTGTCTCGGCACGCAGGAGCGTGCAGGTAAACGCGGCTGAAATCTTTGCTGTAGATAGTGCTGTTGTGACAAACAAGGTTTTCGCTGGTGAAGTCGCTGATGTATGACAGAGATGTGCAGCCTTCGAAGATTCCTGGGAATACCTTTGAAAGATTGCAACTAGAAAAGATGTCGACACGCTCAAGATTAGTGCAGCCCTTGAAGCACTCTGAATAAAGAGATTCGACGCTGTCTGGAAGACTGGCACGTGTGATAGATGTTCCACTGAAGCACTCGCTACCGATAGAGATGATGTTGTTCGGGATGCTGACTTCGTTAAGATTTGAACATCCCTTAAAAAGCATAGATGGAAGTGTGTCGAACGATGTCTTGCTCCCTTCGAATGTGATAGTGATAAGTCCGCTGTTCATGAAACTTCCGGAGTCAATCGATTTGATATGATTGATGACATTGAATGTCGCGAGAGATGTACATCCTGAGAAAACATTTTGTCCGATGAAAATATCACACGTACACTCATCGAACGATACAGTTCTCAAAGATGTACATCCGGCAAACGCAGAATCTTGAATAGTCAATTTACTAACAGTTGATGAAAATGTGACACTTGGTAATGTTGTTACTTGGGAAAAAGCATTATTACCAAGATATGCAAAGCTTGCTGGAGATATAAATTGAGATGAAAGTTTTGTTTGAAAGAATGCCATGTTACCGATTTCTTTAAGTTTTGGGAAATATGGAATTGATGTCAAACTAGAACAATATGCAAATGCACCTTCTTCAATAATTTCTAGTTCAGATGTTCCATCACAAGTAATAGAAATTAGATTCTGTTTATTATTAAATGCTGATAATTTAATTCTTTTAACTTGACTTGGAATGTTAATTGATGCCTGTGATGAATCAAGTAATAACGATATTGACGAATTATCTTTAGCCATGATTAGCATTTGGCTGTCAATCATAATTTGAGAATCACCTTTGAAAGTAAAATTAATATTTGAATTTGACGGAAATGCACCTCCACCAACCTCAGTAAGATTTCCTGGAAGAAGGATTGTTTTCAAGAAATCACAACCTGCAAACGCACCAACACCAATCTGAGTTACTTTTTCAGGTATATCAATTGATGTTAAACCTGAACAATAAAAGCAATAATCATTAATTGCAGTTATGTTTGGAGGCAATGTAATTTGTTTGAGATTAGAGGTAAAATAAAATGCATATCCTTCTATTAATGTAACACTTGGAGGGATTGTAATAGATGTACATTTTGCCTTAGCAAAAGCTCCATGCTTAATGGATGTAACTTTAGGATTGATATTGTATGTTGAATTTGAATTTGCGGCAAAAACTAGAATTTGTGAATAATCTTTGGTGTATACTGCATAATTATCACTGACAAAATATTTATTGTTTTGATGAACACGGATAATTGTCAATGTATCAACTTCACCTACAAATGTTCCAACAATTGATTGGACTGATTCTGGGACTTTAAATTCAACTAATTTTGTCCATGAGAATGCATTATTTGAAAGTGATCGAAGTTTAGATCCTTCTTTGAAAGTAATTGATGTTAAAGTATTAATAAGTCCAAGTCCATTATCTAAAATATCAATAACAGTCGTTGGAATTTCAACTGATTGTATTGATGTTTGTGAAAATGCGTTATTTTTAATATATTGGAGCCCTTCTGGAAGAAATAGTTCTGTAACTGATGTGCAGTAAGAAAAAGCACTTTCACCTAAAACTGTAAGTTTCAAACATAATGAAAGATCAATTCGTTGTAATTTTGAACAATTGTAAAAAGAGTACTTACCAATTGTTGTAAGTTGAGGATTTGGATCGAACCTGAATGATCGTAATGTTTCTTTTGAATGTAAAAAGCAATAGTCACTTACACTGTTTCCATAAATTTCGAGACAATTACTCGAAATAATGAGATCCGGATCAGGCATATTGACAGCTTTGAGAAGTGTGCCTGAATTAAAGTAGAACTCAGGATTAATATTAGTCATTTACTTTTTTATTATCATATTAATCTTAATTTTTATAAAAATAAAATTGAAAGGTCTCAATTTTTCAATTGTTAAGTGGTTGGCCAAAATATCCAATTAACGACTTTCATTATACTGCATGTTGGTGAATTGTGTTAGCTCAAGAAAAGGGAAAAAAGTGAAATTGAATCAAATATTGATGTTTTCATAAAAAATTGAATGGAATCGGCTTTTCATTTAAAAACATTAAACTAATGATAATTTGGTCATGACGTATTCCATTTATATTGTAAACATTTTGAGATGATGGTGGTATAACATTTATAATATTAGTCAGAACAAGCTGGAATGAAAACAATGGAACATTATTCCGATTAAAAGGCAGATAAGTGAAAGACCCACATTCACATGTGTATATAGCGCCTATGAATATTGCACTTTTGTTTGAACATTTTATGAACGAGCCCTTTGTGAATGAAATATGATCCACAAATATATTAAAAATACTAATTATACTTCAAATCCTAAATTCGCTCATAAATCTTGAATAATATGATATCATTTAATGCCAAACTTTTTTTAAAAAAAATTAACTGAAAATTAACGCTAGAAGTAATAATATTCTAATTATTTACAATTAAAACTAAATAATAAATTAATAAAAATTAAAACAATGACCTTGAATGTTTTGCTGGTAAAATTGCAGTCTTCAGTTCCTGAAGAGATGCATCTGTACCAGCAAATCCTTTTTCTCTGAGAATCAATCTCGCGAACTGTGCAGTGTATTTCGGATATCTCACATCAAAGAAGTATTTGATGGCGAAGAACTGCTGATCATCAGTTATCTTTCTGAACTCTTGAATAAGCATATTTTGGTAATCTTCATCACTTTTGATGGAGTGAGTGTCAACAAATTTACGTAATGCGGCGTAAAATGGCAAAAAGCTCACATTTCCGAATATCCTCTTTGTCATGTAATCGATAACCATCTCTGGCTGATAGTGATATATCAATTCAAAAATTGAATATATCACTTCACCTTGGAAATACATTATGTCACTTTTTAGTAAACCAATCAATTCATCGACCTGAGTTTTGAAGAATTCTATTCTTAACTGCTTATCGAAATTAGAGTTTTCGCATGCGAGATTAATGAGACCGATGTGGGACTTGATTTGGACCAAGTTTCCTCTCATTCTCTTCATCATCAAGTTCATTATCAAATAAATAATATCATTGTAAGTATTTTGTGACTTTGTGTATGTCAATGTCAAACAAGGAAGCAAACTATCGAAGTTTGCGTGTCTGTGTCTATTGAATATTGTTTTAACGAACTCGTTCAAGTCTTTCGGTTCGATTTCGAACGCGAAACACTTATAAATAAACACAGGAATGAATTTCATCACGAATGGATTCATTGGATATAATTCAATGAAATCAGTAACATTTTTAAGCATTCCTTTAACAACACCATCTGGCATTTCGCAATCTGATTGTAGGATCTTCATCAAACAGAAGATTGCGTCCACAAATTTCTGTGGATCAACAGGAGTTTTGATTGCATCAGTCAAAACATTCGTGTTCAAATCAGTGTTGATATTAAATGATGTCAAAATACTTTGGAATATTGTTTGGCGCTTCCAATCAGGGAATGTCGTTTTAATGATAGTATCATCATCAAATTCAAATTCTTTGACATTCATAAATGCCATCAAAAGTGACATGTCAATGTCAAACCATTTATCATCACGTAAAGTGACAAAATTAAGAATTTTTGTCACTGTTTTGTTTGAAAAATCTTTCAAACACTTTGCGCATAAAGCAATTAACAAAGTACTTATTGCCTTTTCTTCGCAAGTTAAGAGAGCAGTCATTAAATGGCTTGTTAATATAGGATTTTCATTAATTTCCTGTGAATGTCTTTGTATATTGTAAGAAATCGTATTTATCAGGTCCAAAACAGTATCAGGATTTCTCAATGACGATTCACTGATTGATGAAATGTAGTTTGTGAAATTGATGGCTCTGTTCTCGTACCTTGATTCAGGAATGACATATTTGACAATGACACTTTTGTCATGTAAAATGTCAGGAGCGTATTTATTAATGAATTCTGCCAATTTATTTTTATATTTATCTTTGTTCAAAGTCAAGAACTTAATGATTTCTGGGATTGAATCCGGAGGGAATTGGTAGGCCAAGTTATTATCTTTTCCAATCAAATCCATTGTATTCAAGTTATAGTTTTCAAACCAATATCTTAAAGTAACAATAATTCCTTCAGTAGAGAAAACACTGCAGTAATAATGCAACAATTCAGAAAGTTTTTCAGGCAAAATTTGACAAATATTAAATTTCGTAATTGCAATATAACGAACAGTATCATTTCTTGAATGAAGATTTGCTGGTAAACCAACATTAAGATTATCTCTAATGATTTCTCTTGTTTGTTTACTTGATTTGGCCATTTCATACAGTTTAACTCTTCTTTTTACATCAGTATAAATTGATTTCGTGAGTTTGATCATTTCTCTCATTGATTCAATCAAACCTCCTGCGAAATTAACTTTTAATTCTGGCAAATCTCCATCAACAATTTGTTTTGCAACTGATTCATCGAGTTCTCTGACTGTTCTCAAGAAATCAACTCTTTCTTCATCAGGCAAATTTTGTATTGCTTCTTTGTATTTCTTAGTGACATCAGAACCAGTTTGCAAAATGAATTTCGTGTATCTCAAGAGAGAAGAAGGTAAAATGAACTTGGAATGGCTTGGAATATTGTTGATATGCATAACAAACGAGTTCTTGAATTCAGGAACTTCCATTATCAATCCTTCATTCGTTGGATCCATTACAATCTTCAGCCATTTAGCTGCAACATCGAAATTCGGTGACAACTTAAGATGTGTCGTTATCGAATTCAACACAATCTGTTTGTCAGCGCCAACAAGTAAAGGCCAATACCTCAATAATCCTTCAGATGCCATATCAGGGAAAATCTGAATACATGCATCAGTTATACAATTGTACAAACTCGCGATTGTATTCGATATTGGTAATGAGTTATACAACTTCAAGGCATAGTATAACTGTGGGAACATCGATTGTCTGTCAATTATAGGATTCGATCCTAAAATTTCAATTGGATTCGCTTTAAAATTCGCGTCAATTTGACTTATCAAAATTTTCGGATCGTATCTTGTTGACTTTAATTTTCTCATTGTTCCAACAATGTAATTCGTTGACTCTGTTACTATTTGATAGATGATATTCGGTATATCTCCGAACATCTCTACATCCAAAGTCAACATGTTGAACATGGAGAGATATCGCATCGCCAATGTCAAAGTTGAAATTGGCAAAACATTAAACAACAAAATATCAATTGTTGTTTGAATTGTTGGTAATAAATAATACATGTCTAAATCAGGTTTCGATTCACCTAGTATACAACATGAATACAAAGTATATTCCATTTTCTTGTAATCAAAACAATCCAATTTGTTGAAAAGTAGTTCAATGATTAATTCATGTTTTTTGTGATGACAAAATGAATCAAGACATTTGATGGCCGAATCTCGAAGTGCTGGGAAATCACTGGAAGCATCTTCTACAACATAATTAAGTACAGTATCATAGACAATGCGATCGTAATACTTATCTATGTTCGATGGCGTGAAAGAAACAATTAATTTCAAAATTGAAGATTCAATATCTAAACTTGGACGAGTTGTGACTTGTTTCAGGTAGATAAGTTCTCGGATAAGGGCAAGTAACTGATAATGACGGGATTTGTTCAAATATAAGGTACAACATCTTGAAAATTGATCAATTATCTCCAAAGTGTTCTCGTGGTACTCCATTCGAAGTGCGTAACTGAAGAGATCGAATGTTTGCTCGAGAATTTGTGGATCTTTGGTTTTCGATGCAATATTTGCGATGGATTTAAATTTCGCGTTGGAATTGCTTTTGTCTTGGGGTTTCCACTGGAGATAACTAAAAGGAAGAGGGAGTAAGTACTTGGAGGCCGATTCGGAGCTGTTTATGTCGAAATTTATTTCATATGTCTCATTTCTCGCGAAAAGTTTAAGTCGGACGAGGTCTCCTTCCATGGTTGTCTGTATTGTGAATGATGCCGATGGTTTGGAGAGGATTGTAAAGGCTGCTTCGAGTAATGTTTCATTATCGTGTCTTTCGAGCATAGTCATGGCAAATCCAGCGGTAGGAAGTAGCTGGACACGATCAAGATTGATATCGTGAGAGATTAAATGAGAAATTAATGGTAAAGATTTCGGAATTAATTGTCGATTTTTGTGTAGTTCTTTGAAGAGTATAGAAACCAAATCTTGATTATGAAAAACTACATTAGTGATAGCATTTTGCAAATCTGAATCCGCTTCCCCATCTAACATTTTTTTAAGTAATAAATTTAATAATGTTAATAACCAAACACGTGGTGGATTTCGGAGCTGACGAATAACCTTGCTCATGTTATTCTTGACCTCAGGAGCTTGATTTGCAAAGTATTTAATGCAACAGTCGTTCGCGTAGAGATCTTGAAGATAAATTTCATCAGTATCATGGGTAAGCCATGCAAATACGTTCGCAATGAATAGCTCGGCGTAAGGGTTTCCATCTGTGGGAAGTAAATTAGACTGTGGACCTAATAAAGTTCGAAGAGTTTTTGGATAAAATGGAGAAATATGTGCTAAAAATCGTGCCGTTGTAGAATGAGCTTGCACACGAATATCTGACTCGGCATTGCATGCAGCATCCTTAAGAAATTGCAAAATCTTTTCAATTCCACCTGATGCATTTTCCGGAAAAGTTCTTTTTATGTTAATAACGTTAACTTTCTGATCTATCTCTTGGAAAAGACCAGAGATAACATTTTTATCAGCTCTGCTGCCATTAATCTTTTCAATTTTCCCTAATAGATCATTCATTAAAGTTATGCGATATCGCTTTTCACTTGCAATTTTTTTTATTCTCAATTTTCATTTCTGATAATGTTATTACATTTTTCATCCTATTTCGAATAAAACTAAAATTGTTCACAAATCTTGATTTGGATGAAATTCAAATTCTTACTGTTGGAATAAGCCGTTTTAACAGCATAATATCAAAGAACAGAACATATACAACATATGGTATTAGTAAAAAGACCTGAATTCAATTCCTTCATATAGAAAATGTGATTTTTATTTGAGTCTTTTTCTGATCCGATTTAAATTAGGGGGTAAAATGACGATTATTTTCGGAAAAACCCTTCTCCCTCATTTTCTCCCCCACCTTATGGCTCCTCGTTTAATCTAAGTGAGAAAATCAATACAGATCTTGAAGTACTAAGCATTTCTCATCACAAATGAAATAATTTCAAATAATCGGTTTGTAATAACGTATATTTTTGATGACACGCCTTCCACCAAAAGAGGCACCAACAAAAGATGAAAAGTTCAAAAATCGCGCAGAATTAGACAAGCTTAGAATAGAAAACGAACGTTACATGAAGGATCATCCAGAACTTAACGCTGCAATTCAAGAATTCGTTTATGCAGTTCTCAAAAGGAAACCAGATGATGTTCGTGGCTTTGCAATTGATTTCTTCACAAGACCTATTCAGGAAACTCCAAAATAAAAGATTAACATAATTTTTATTTTGGCTTGCAATACCGATGAACAATTCATCGAAGATTTGTCTACGATAAGAAAAATAAAATTGTATTTTCAAAATTTATTGAATAACTCATACATTTTTCGTAATTTTTCGTTTGATATGAATATTAATCCCAAGAATCGATATGGTATGTATACTAACTTTCTTCTATTGGTATATTATGGATGTTTTAGCTAATGATATTTTTTTTTGATGATTCGTGATTGAATTTTTTTTTAAGATCAATTATTATAAGTCAACACATAGAATCAAAATAATACCATTTGAATTATATTTGATTGAAATATAGAAAATGCATAAATTACAATCAAATCCCACTAAGGATGTATTTGATAGTAAAAGAATGCAGAAAATCACCCACATTATCACTAAACATATAGTGCTTTTATTTAACTAAGAACAAATCATAACAAAAAACAAAAATATACAAAACAATAAATAAAATTTCTAATTCCAATAAGGCCATTTGGCGCCAGCTGGAGGTACAGAACTACATTTTCCATCTGAGTTCAAAAACCATAATTTCTTCGATTTCATCAACTTAAGTTTATCTTCATTTTCAGATAAATGGAAGAAATGAACAAAAACAGGTTTCGATATATTCTTAACTTTTGCAACATATTTCCATCTTTCTTTTCCTGCGAGAAACACTCCGCCTGCATTAACAGCGAGCATCGGATCCAAATAAGAGATAACTATTGGATAGAACGACTTATATCCTAAGAATTTCCTTATGTCAGCAAGTAAAACCGGATGATTGTCCAGTTGTTTTAATTTTTGACGTAATATCATATATAAAGTCATTTGATCGTGACTTTCGGGCATTTTATGCATTTGCATCTGCCAGACAGGCCAAAGAGCTAAAACTGCTGGTGAAGGGATTGCTTTGTAGAATCCAAGATTTACTCCCCAGTAAGGAAGGTTTTTATTAAATGGAATTTCTGTAAATACTTTCGAATCACTTTGTACTTCTAAATCGGCTCCGTTTTTGAATAAATTCGTTGTATTCTGTATAAAAACGATATCAATATCGCAAATTATGACTTCTGCACCTAAATTAAGTATTTTCTTGGCTATGTACGGTCTGACTTTGACAATATCGTAAAATTCTCGTTTTTTGCGATAGTTTACTGCATCAGCAGTTAATTTCGATGAAAAGTATAGTACATTAGCGCCTAATGCTTTAAGAGAAACGTATGATACTGCATCGAGAGCTACAATTACATACGAATCATCATTTCCTTGAACGTTCCATAATGAACATAAACAATTTTTTGCAAAATTCAATAAACCTTGGTTCGTTACTAGAAGCATTAGTTGATGTCTGCCAGTTGCACTGTTGTAAGGCGATTTGTTAACACAAAAACGTAATTCTTGATCGAATTTTTCTTCTGAAATTTCGTGGAAATCATCAAAGAATTCGAAAAGAACTTCATCTGATATATTATTAAAGAAATAACCACTAACAATGGTTAGAATCGTGAGGATGATTACAGATGTGAAGAAAAAATGCCTATTCATCCTCAGATTGAATTTTTGACACGTAATTGATTTCAAAATCTTTGACAATTGTCAAAAATTCAAATACAACAACTACGATATCAAATTAAGCATTTGCGACTTAAGAACATAATGCACACAATGTAATAGATGTTAATCCTTGAGATTAGCTTGAGTTTCTGTTTATTTGGCTCTTCAATATTGGCATTGTAAAAAATGCTATGAATTTATGAACCTTAATAGGGCCATCAAACTAAGAATTTTCTATATTGAGCATATACACATTAAATGTGTGATAAAAATCAATTTTCGAAAAATGCAAAATTAATCCGATTTATCAAAACCAATAATATTTAGAATATTTATATTTGTCTAATAAAATAAAATATAAAATTCATAAAAGCATTTTCATAAATGGATTTGAATAAATTATGCGCGGATTGGAAAGAAATAGGAGGGAAAAAATACATAGTTAGAAATATGTTTGGATGCTTGGGAATCGTTGATGATCATTTTGGATTGATTCCTTGCTCCTATGGAGGTCCTTTCTTGCGCAAAAGAACTCGCATGCCATCATTCTTCGATATTATCACAAATTCAGGCAAAAAAGTTGTCTCCAGAGATGTTAAATGCGAACCCGGCTCTATTAAGACAATTTGGTGCCAAGGTGGCAAAATTGGCCTGTTATATCAGCCTGGCATAATTAATGTTTACCGCATTTCTGGTGAGCTTGTAGCAACATATCAAGATGCGAACAAATCCGACATTATACTCTCGTCAGAATTTTACAATGGAATTGCAACTCTTCATTCCGATGGACAACTTACAGTTTTCGACTTTTCTTTGAATAGATTCCATCCATTCCAGAAAATCAATCTCGCTAGTCAGCCTCTTTGCATGGATTTCATTCGTGGCGAACAAAATGAATGTTATATCGCTTTTGAAGACCAATCAGTTTACGTAATAAGAGAAACAGAAATTGTTTTCGTCAAAAAAGTTCCGTTCGTTCCAAATACAATCCTTATTTCCGCAACAGGAACTTATCTTGCTATTACAAACAATAATCGAATCTACATTTTCTCAATTGCATCCGAAGAAGAATCTATATTCACAGCACCTTATCCAATCGATTCCTTTGCATTCTTTGATGAAAACCGAGTCATTGCAATTATCAACTCAAAAACTTACGTTTTTGGTGTTCCAAACATCAATTTCGAGCTTCCTTTCGCCAAGGCTTCTCTCGTTGTCCAAGATACCGATCATACAAAGCTTTATACTACGGATGGAATGTATTTCATCCAACCTATTCCTTATGCGATAGGATCACTTGTAAAGAACAAGAAATTCCATAAATTGTTTACAATGAGAGATTTATACGAAAAAGAAGATCCGAATTTCATTACTTTACTCAGAGAAGTAGAATCTGAAGCTCCCAGGTCAATTTCAACACTTCTCTTTGCAGCACAATCTGTTATAGATCCAACTCTCCAAGAACTCATACTCAGTGTCGCAATTTTCTTAATTCATATTTTCGGATTAGACAGATCCGAATATATTTACACAATTAGGAAACTGCGTATGCTGAATACCATCAGATCACCTGAATTTGGCTTCACAACTACAGCGCAAGGCTTAGATTTGATGCAACCAGTTCATACAATCGAATTTGCCATGGAAATGAACTTCTACGAGTTCGCCTACAGAGCCTGTAACTTATTTGACTACAATTCTTCGCTTGTTGCCATCAGCTGGGCCACTACAATGTTTTATCTCCACGGAGATAAGTCTCTTTCACAGGTTATTGGTAAAATCGAGACTATTCAGAGTCCAGACTATGCAGCACTCGTCAATGCCGCGAAGAGTTCGCATATGTCCTCTAAATCTCAAGAAATTTTAATTGATAGAGTCCGAAATCCAAAGCAGAAGTGCATTTTCTTGATGAGACTTCCACAAGCTCAACCATTAGAGTATGCTTTGCACACTTTGGATGGAGAAGCCATAATTCGAACATTGTATTTCAACAAATTAAAATTAACTCCTCCAGGATTCCAAGATGTCCTCACTTCCAACCCCAGAGCATTGGATCATTACGTTGCGTACAAGAAATTCGTTGATCCAAAGGTTCTAACACAAGTCCCTGATATCAATGTCGCCAGACTCATGATGTACTTAATGTGTTACGAAGTTCCACCCGCCAGGTTCGGAAAACTACCGGATCAGATGTTCGCTTTGGCCAGATTGATGAATAAAAAGACAGTTTGGTCTAAAAACGTCAGACGCCATGGAAAAGCACTTCTCGACTTGGAAGAGAAGAAAGAGACATTAGAACCAGGAGAGACACCAAGAGAATGCGTAAGAAGGATTTTCAAAGACGGAAATCACGAACTCGCAATGAAAGTGGCGAAAAGATACCATGTCACACCAAGAATGTACACAAACATACAGCTAAGTGTTTTCAAGGAAGTTGGCAACTGGAACTCCATTGAAAACATGGCAAACATGAAACAACCTTTGTCATACGAAGAATTTGCCAAGTTTTGCGCTGAAAACGGAAACAAACCTGTTGCAATGGTATTCATCCGAAAGATGAAATCATACGAGAAAATGATTGAACTTGCAAAGTCTCTTGGAATGGAAAATGAAGCAAATATCCTTTATAATGAATGGGTTAAGAGCGGAAAGAAGCCAAAAAAATAATCTCGTATTTTTATATTTTTTTGTTTATTAAACTAATATTGATATTACAAACAAAAATTACAAATATTGCACGAAAATTTTGAAATTAAGTTTTTTAAAGAATTTCAGCTTGAAGTCATTCAAAATATATCAGAACCTTATATAAGCTATTTTTAATATTTTATACTTTTATATTTTGACAGTTTACAAAAATTTACATAGTGTATTTGTACGATCAAAACTTTCACTCAAATAAATTTAGTGAATTGCGTAGTATCTATAAATACTACATCGATTCATATGCTGCGTTGCATCAGTTAAAAACGGAAAATGAAGAAGGACTAAACTCAATTAACAAAATGCTCAAAACAGAATTGATTGATTCTAATAAATGTTCTCCATCAAATGTAATAAAAGATATTTTAAATATCATTCCATATAATAATCGCTATATAAAGTCATATTTATCTCTTGCCAAACTCATCTCTGATGAATATCATGTGAAAGAGATCAAAAATATTCCAATGATTTCTAACTTCTTTTTTTATAAAGAGTATGGAATTAAATTAGACAATTCCTATGATTTCGAAAAAATTAATTTTGGAAATCTCGATATTCATATAGGAAATACAATTTACAGAGCAATTATGAATAATGACAAAGAAGTGTTCATCGTGTTCACGGAAAGAGATGAATTTGATGAAGATCAAAAACTTGAAAGCAAATTATATCCATTTTCTGGTGAAAGATATTCATTACTTGAATTATGTTGTTACCACGGAGCAGTTGATTGTTTCAAGTTATTAATAACAAAATTTAATTCAGAAATAACTGAAAAATGTCTACAATTTTCATTTTTAGGAGGAAATCCAGAGATCATGAGCGAATGTCTGAAATATCATAAACCAAATAAAGAATGCATGCATTATGCAATTATTTCACACAACATTGATTTTGTTACATTCTTGATGAATGAATACAATTTAGGGATAGATTTAGAAGATTGTGGACTTCAAAACAATCTTGAATCATTTTTAGTATATTTCGATCAAACAAATGATATTAATCGATGCTTTTTTTACTCAACAATATTTGATATACCATCCCTTTGCGAATATTTCCTTTCACATGGTGCAAATATCAATGCAAAAGATTATTATGGACAAACAGCTCTTCATATTGCAGCAAAATATAAAAGAAAAGGAGTAGCCAAATTTCTTCTTTCATATGGTGCAAATATCAATGAAAAAGATAAAATTGGACAAACCGCTCTCCATATTGCAGCAAAATATAAAAGTAAAGGAGTAGCCAAAATTCTTCTTTCACATGGCGCAAATATCAATGAAAAAAATAAAAATGGACAAACTGCTCTATGTGTTACAGCAAGATATAATTTTAAAGAAACAGCTGAGCTTCTTCTTTCATATGGTGCAAACATCAATGAAAAAGATAAAAATGGAATAACCGTTCTTCATATTGCAGCAATATAGAATAGTAAAGAAACAGCTGAGCTTCTTATTTCACATGGTGCAAACATCAATGAAAAAGATGATGATGGATATACTGCTCTTCATATTGCATCTAGATGTAATTTTAAAGATACAACCGAGCTTCTTCTTTTACATGGTGCAAACATCAATGAAAAAGATAAAAATGGACAAACAGCTCTTCATATTGCGATAAGATGTAATTTTAAAGAAACAGCCGAGCTTCTTCTTTTACATGGTGCAAACATCAATGAAAAAGATAAAAATGGACAAACAGCTCTTCATATTGCGATAAGATGTAATTTTAAAGAAACAGCCGAGCTTCTTCTTTCACATGGTGCAAACATCAATGAAAAAGATAAAAATGGAATAACCGTTCTTCATATTGCAGCAATATAGAATAGTAAAGAAACAGCTGAGCTTCTTATTTCACATGGTGCAAACATCAATGAAAAAGATGATGATGGATATACTGCTCTTCATATTGCATCTAGATGTAATTTTAAAGATACAACCGAGCTTCTTCTTTTACATGGTGCAAACATCAATGAAAAAGATAAAAATGGACAAACAGCTCTTCATATTGCGATAAGATGTAATTTTAAAGAAACAGCCGAGCTTCTTCTTTTACATGGTGCAAACATCAATGAAAAAGATAAAAATGGACAAACAGCTCTTCATATTGCGATAAGATGTAATTTTAAAGAAACAGCCGAGCTTCTTCTTTCACATGGTGCAAATACCAATGGAAAAAGAAAAACATTGGGAGACAGCAACTCATTATGCAGTATATTGTAATAGTAAAATCGAACATCTCCTTTCACATGGCGCAAAAAAATTAATTTTCCTATATAAGACACTTCTCTTTCATAGTAATCTGATTTTAATGGGATCATCAGAATATCTCTATCTGCAAATCAGGGAAAATCAAAATCTTGTTTTTCTGAATTTTTCTAAAAATTTATATTGATTATTATACAACTTAAGTATGTGTTAATAATTCTCATAGTGTTTTTGCTCAATTTGATGGGATTTCAATTTGGCCCAATGAAATTTTAAAAATTTCGAGCCAATAAGTAATTCATTTGATGATTTAAGATGAGTATTTCTAAATCTATAAATTGAATTTTTGTAATAATCTATTTAATTTAGAGTAGTATATTTAAAACTGAAATCAATTGAAAATGTCTTAGCGATTCTGTACTTTTACTTGAGGGATGTAGCAGAGGATGAGCGTGTAGCGCCGACACCAGCCTTAGAGTGCTTGACAACCTTCTTGGATGGAGCGAAATCAGCAAGAACGTGGCCAATCATTTCTGGCTTGATTTGAACTTCGAAGAAAACGTGGCCATCATAGATGCCGATAACGTTATCAACGAACTCTGGAAGGATAACCATATGGCGGAGGTGTGTCTTGACAACTGGTGGACGAACGCCAGCCTGGCCCTCAACAGCCTGACGAGCCTTCTTCAGCTTCTCGATAAGATGAACGTGCTTAAGATCGAATGAGCGGGAGATGAAACGGCGGCGCTTTGTTGGGAGGAGCTCAACGAAATCCTTAAGCTCCATAGCACGGAGGTCATCGAGGGTCTTGCCACGGTATGTGTAGTTACGCTGTGCGAACTTGCCAGATGCAGACATAATCGCAAAAAGGAAGGCCAAAACCGTTCATCAAGCGGTTTTGTAAAATTGAAAAACTCCAATTTTAGTTTTTAGGCCTTATTACAGATTGCATCATTATACTTACATACAGTGCATTAATTTTGTTACTTCTAATTTGGAGAAACTTCAAAAAATAATTTCATCAATCTTTGCAAACTGAAGTTTTTACAATAATATTCAGAAATATGACGTTCAAATTGAAATAACATTGTGAAAACATGTTTGCAGAATGTATAAAATGCTCCATTATTGAATTTCATTTGAAAAAAAGAATATACACATTCAAAAACCATTAGCTACTTGTTCATCATCTAAAGAGTATTGATATTGTGCATCTCTTAAATGCTTTCATGTTTTTAGCTTCTAATTTCAATTGAATATACTAATAATGGCTGGCATTTTCAGCCATTATAATGTTCTTAAGTTAATTGACAAACACGTCTTTAAATGCTTTATAAGAACACAACAAAACAACAAATTAAAAAATGATATGAGGTAATATCGAATATAGAAAACAGTAATATATTCCATAAATACGTCTGCATGAATTAATATTAAATCCATTAACTATAATAGCTAAAAAAGTAATATATACCGATTTGATATGATTATTTCTGAAAAACGAGAAACTACGTAAAACAAGATTAATAAACTAATAACATACAATGTAGAGCAATCAGAATTCAATGCTATCATCTGAGCTGTCTGATAAAATTTTCTTTGATGATTTTTTAACTGCTTTTGGTGGATTTTTATTATGACCGTGCTCTGATGATCTGTATGGAGGAGTTTTCCTTCTTGGTGGCTCGGGTTCTTTATATCTTGGCGGAGGATTTGGAGTATGTCGATCTTGTTCATATGGACTTTTTGATCTTGAGTCAGTAGCTGCATGATGATGCTCTGATTTCCTTGCTGTTCGAGGAGGAAGCATTTCAGTATGGTATTCGCTTGAAGTAAGATCTTCAACAGTGTTTTCCCTTATATATTGATCCAAATCCCTATTCTCTGAATTGATTGAGTCCATGAGTTCTCTTGCTCTCTTTTCGATTATATCGAGATTACTTAAAAATACAATTTGATATTGGTTAATTGCGTTCAGAGCTTGTGATCTTAATGACTTGAAGCCATTTTCTATATTTTCTACATCAGTTTTCTCTGTATTCATCTATTTCAAAAAAAAAATTGGATAAATGAAAGGGGTAGTTCAAAAATATTTAGGGGAAAATAAGAAATCTCCAAAATGAAATATTTTATTATAATATACAATACAAATTATTGGTTTATTGGATGAGAAGTGCCCGATTCTATGCTGAGAGTTCCGATTTTTGTGCCAAATGGATCTCTAATCGTGATATTTGATGAAAACAGCAAAGTATCGTTTAAAAATGGTGAGAAGTTAATTTTAGATGTTCCAATTAAATCATTACAATCATCTCCTGCAAAGATTTCAATTACTCCTCTTGAATTTTTGATATAATTCACCAAATCATTATTATTTTCAACAATAAATGTAATATAAGCATTAAATTTAGGCACATGGGCTGATCGTCTTGTTTTTGTTGATGATTCCATTCCAAAAGCTTTTGTAATCAGTTTTGCTTTAACAGAATGATGTCCAACAACTTCTTTCGTGAAATTAAACTCTCCAGCATAAATAACAATCTCAGTTTTGTTGGTATTTGAGAGTTCTTCAGTAAATTGAATGTGATTTGCGTAATTTTCAACAGATTCTGTATCGCTTTCAATTTTGAAGCTCATAATTGCATTTGTTTGGATTTCGTTGATCCTCTTCTTGAGATATTCGACTTCTTCATCTTTAATTTTGATTTGTAATTCTAAATCTTCAATCTGCTCTTGAGTAGCTTCACTTGTATTGGTAGAAAATGTAGGAAGTAGATTGTCAGTGCTATGGTTTGATTCTCCAAACAAAGCAACGAAATGAGGGTCATCAAACGGATCTGAAGGGCAAGAATCGAGAATTTTCTTGAATGGACCATTTATTAGATCGAAATCATCCCTGAGATCATTGAGTTGCTCTTCTTTTTCATGACTTTGGTCCATGATATCGTTTGATAATTCTGTGAGTCGATTTATCTTCTCCTGAAGCTCATCATCGATCTCATACAACTGTGACTTGATTGTCTCGGCGAGTTGTACTTGAAATTCAAATAGATGCTGCTCATTATCTGCTGATTCTTTCTTTTTTCGATCCATTTCTTTTTCTACTTCGATTTTTCTCTCTTTAAGATTATTTACTTCAACTTGGAGATCAGCAAATCTATCTTGAAGCTCTTTATAAACAGCATGTTCGTGTAATAACTGAATATGTTTTTCTCGCTTAGATTCTAGCTTGCGAGTGAGCTTCTGGACGAGTTCTAAATGTTTGTCATCCTCATCGACATCAGGAAGGGCAACTGTATACAATGTTTCGTTTAATTGCCTGATTTGATCATAGTTATCATGTATTTGTTTACGTAATTGTAGACTTTTCATTATACACATATTGCACTTACTATTCTTCAGCAATTCTTCAAACTCTTCTGGATGATCTTGATGCTGATTATTTAAAATTGCCGCAGATATAGCAAAACGTGGATCATTTTTCGCTTCGGCAAGTGACTGAAATGTATTTGCCAGATCTGATTTAGTTCTTGTTGAATGGCAGAAAGAAGTATTTTTTGGACGAACTCTCTTCTTATCACTTTGACATAAATTCTGGTAAAACTTGAGTTTTTCAGTAAAAATATCATTTTTTGTTTGTCTATCAATGAATAATTTTGTTATTTGTTCGGTTTTGGATTTGATTTGTTGTAAATCTTTCTCTATTGTTCTGATATCATTTGGATTCTGGTTTTCTAAATCTGAAAGTACTTTTGCATTCATTTGAAGCTCTGCTTCCATTTCGGTACGAGTCATTTCACTTAGTTTCTTCTTCTTCATTTTGATAAAACTGAAAATCTGGAATCAAAGAGTGTCATCTTAGCATGATTTCAAACAAGGGTTGATAGGCTATAATTCAGAAATCTTCGAAATAAATTTCCATGAATTTGTATTTAAGGAAGTTAATTGAAGAAAAGGAACGGGAATAAAAAGTATTTAAATTTCTATAATATCCGATTTTATATTTTATTTATTTAAAGGTTGGATGAGGAGAGGTACTGGGCGACCTTAGCAACATTAGCAGAAAGAGCTGCTGGAACGAAGGCACCATCTGTGTAGCCAGCAACGATGAGTGTCTTTGTCTTCTGGAGGACGACAGCCTGCTTGCCCTTCATAGCGAAGACCATTTCAGTGTTAGCCTGGTTGCAGACGTACTTCTCGCCACCATAGAAGAAACCAGCAAGAGCTGGGGATGGTTCCTGGAAGTATGTGATGTACTTCATGATTTCATCTTGCTTAGCCTTCCAAGCACCCTCGGAAGCGCAAAGAGAACCCTGCTGTGTGATGATAGCGCAGCCAGAGGACTGTGTCTTAAGTGTAACAAGCTGATCGTTCCACGACATGAAACTTAAAATGAAGTGAACTCAAGATGAAGTGTTCAGACAAATTTTCATACAATTGTATCGGCGATATATTCAAACTATCCATCCACCTTTTGCTAAATATTTGTATCATAAATTAACAATATTGGGTAAATTCGATTTTCGATTTGAATTTCATTTAATTTGAATCAAAGCCAAATCAATTGTGAGAATAACCTTCCATTTCATAAAATCAAATTAATGATACCTATTATTAAAATCAAAATTTACAGTTATTTGATTTTATGAAAAACCAAGGGCGGAGGTTTTTGTGATATGGAAAAATGTTCGTTGCTCAATTATCTCACTATTGGATGGACTTTTATCGAGCGAAATTTTGGCTGTAAAGACAATTCTGATATTGGTAACATGGTGATAAGAACAAATAGTCAGTTTGCATGGTTTATGATGAGATAATTTCGATTTAAAAAAAACAAAAAAATTTATTTTAATGAGCGATTATATTTGAATATGCTCTCCTAATTTGAAGGAACTGGTTAAATCATGAATTGATCATGAATAATTTTTTTCAAAATAACAATTATAATTTCATATTCATTATAAGTTGAAAATATATCATAAAGACTTTATGAATGATAAATTCCTAAAAAACAAGTTAGTTTGTTTCTGAAAATAATAATAATAAAAACCAATTTAGACCTAATAATTTTTGGCGGGATAATTGAGATGTTACGATTGAATTAAAAAAAAAGCGGTAATACATTTTTACAATGATGAAGAGGCTGGCAACCTCTGAGTCAAAGCACTTGTTAATGCAATGATGAAGAGGCTGGCAACCTCTAAGTCAAAGCACTTGTTAATGCAATGATGAAGAGGTTGGCAACATCTGAGTCAAAGCACTTGTTAATGCAATGATGAAGAGGCTGGCAACCTCTAAGTCAAAGCACTTGTTAATGCAATGATGAAGAGGTTGGCAACATCTGAGTTAAAATACTTTTCCCAGTGTGGGAGTAATTTGAAAAAAAAAATTAGTTCATATATTGAAAAAAACAAAAGTAAAAATTAAAGTTTATAGGTTGTGTTTTGATGAGCTAATTGTTAAGATATTGTAGTTCTAAAGAAAAATTTGAGTTTCGAGGAAGTTTCTCGACAGAGGAAACTTTCATATCGAATGTTGCCTCTGTCGAGATGTATGTGACAGGCAAAGTGCAATCACCTATCAATATTGCACTTTGCCTGTCAAAAGTTCCTCGCATCTCTTGAGGTGTGAGGAAGTTTCTCGACAGAGGAAACTTTCATATCGAATGTTGCCTCTGTCGAGATGTATGTGACAGGCAAAGTGCAATCACCTATCAATATTGCACTTTGCCTGTCAAAAGTTCCTCGCATCTCTTGAGGTGTGAGGAAGTTTCTCGACAGAGGAAACTTTCATATCGAATGTTGCCTCTGTCGAGATGTATGTGACAGGCAAAGTGCAATCACCTATCAATATTGCACTTTGCCTGTCAAAAGTTCCTCGCATCTCTTGAGGTGTGAGGAAGTTTCTCGACAGAGGAAACTTTCATATCGAATGTTGCCTCTGTCGAGATGTATGTGACAGGCAAAGTGCAATCACCTATCAATATTGCACTTTGCCTGTCAAAAGTTCCTCGCATCTCTTGAGGTGTGAGGAAGTTTCTCGACAGAGGAAACTTTCATATCGAATGTTGCCTCTGTCGAGATGTATGTGACAGGCAAAGTGCAATCACCTATCAATATTGCACTTTGCCTCTCCAAACTCTCAAATATGCTTCTCACCATACATCAAACGGGCAAATTTCTCCTTAAATTTCTCTTTATTTGAAAGGTTTTCAACAAAGCTATACCTTAAAAATCTGTGCTTGTTATATCTGATCATTTGTGTGTTAGGGGAGGTAAATTTATTCCACTAGAGCAAATTTTTTCCGAAGTTTCTCATTCGATGAGAAACCTCGGAACAACTCTTCAATAGTGTAATGAATTTGTGGTATTTGTCCTGCAAACAGCGAGAGAACTTGTCTGTAATTCGTTTATGATGAAGTTATCTGGATGTCTCTCAGATGAGGAAGGAAGTCCAGAAAACTTCACCATAAGTTAATACTTGTGTATTTCTATGACTCTCTTCACGTCAGAGAATGTAAATTTACTCGAATAGGGCAAAGTTCTGCTCAAGTTTCTCATTTGATGAGAAACCTCGGAAGAACTTTGCCCTAAGGTAATGTATATGTGATTGTTGGCCCGCAGAGAAACAAGGAATCTGTTTGTATTTCGTTTATGGTGAAGTTCTCGGATGTTCTCTCAAATTATATGGAAAATCAAGAGAACTTCACCATAATTTGTTGTAGTTGTGATTCTCTGGCTCTTTGCCGGCCAGAAAACTAGAAAATAGTTTATAGTGGGAGTATGCTCGATGAATACCTACTCACTAAAAATATACGTTATTTTTTGTTTTCCTATGGGAAAATAGTTTTGATTTTTATACTATCGTATGCTTTGTTATTACATGAATTGTCTATTTTCTTAATAAAAACTCATTTTTCCGTGTGGTTCTGAATCAATGCATTCCAAAAAAGCGTTTTCCGCCTTTGAAACGTGAAAACACACATTGCATGAAGAATCAGAGAAGATTTTCTATCTTTCAATTTTTTAGACTTTTTGAAATTTGATAATAACTCTAAATTAAGCTGATAAACTCATAGAGCACATAAAATAACACATGTCTATCATATTTGAATTTTCTAAAAATCTCCAAAAAAATCGCGTTTTAAAAATTTCGTAGTTAAAAAGTGAGAGAGGGTCAAAGTTGCTATTTGTCACTTTTCCACAAGAATATAATGGGGAAAAAGTTATCATATAGTTGATCTCATTCACTGAGGTGAGAGATGTATGTAGTGTAATGGGATAAACAGTGGGATTGCTGCTCTAAGTCCTAGGTTCGAGACACATTGGCTTCATTTTTCTCTTTTTTATTGACGTAAACTATTCAATTTTTGTGTTCTCCATTCAAATTTCAGAATTTTTTTTGCAGATTTCACGCTACATTCGAAGTTACCTTTTGTAACAACCACCACTGCCTACGAAAGACGAAAGTGTGTCACGATTTCACCCGGAAATCCGACGGTTGTTTAAGAGTATGCACTTTTGTCACCTACTCGTTAAAAAGTAAATTTTTCAGGATAAAAAACTATAATTGGTTTTTTTTTTGGAAAAATGAGTTTTTATTAAGAAAATAGACAATTCATGTAATAACAAAGCATACGATAGTATAAAAATCAAAACTATTTTCCCATAGGAAAACAAAAAATAACGTATATTTTTAGTGAGTAGGTATTCATCGAGCATACTCCCACTATAAACTATTTTCTAGTTTTCTGGCCGGCAAAGAGCCAGAGAATCACAACTACAACAAATTATGGTGAAGTTCTCTTGATTTTCCATATAATTTGAGAGAACATCCGAGAACTTCACCATAAACGAAATACAAACAGATTCCTTGTTTCTCTGCGGGCCAACAATCACATATACATTACCTTAGGGCAAAGTTCTTCCGAGGTTTCTCATCAAATGAGAAACTTGAGCAGAACTTTGCCCTATTCGAGTAAATTTACATTCTCTGACGTGAAGAGAGTCATAGAAATACACAAGTATTAACTTATGGTGAAGTTTTCTGGACTTCCTTCCTCATCTGAGAGACATCCAGATAACTTCATCATAAACGAATTACAGACAAGTTCTCTCGCTGTTTGCAGGACAAATACCACAAATTCATTACACTATTGAAGAGTTGTTCCGAGGTTTCTCATCGAATGAGAAACTTCGGAAAAAATTTGCTCTAGTGGAATAAATTTACCTCCCCTAACACACAAATGATCAGATATAACAAGCACAGATTTTTAAGGTATAGCTTTGTTGAAAACCTTTCAACGAATGAGAAAGTTAGGAAAAACTCTACCTTATAAGATCAACTATAGAATTCATAGCTCTTTGAATACTAGGAAACATTAATGCAGTAGTTTAAGGCAAAGTTTTTCCGAGATCTACGAAGGATAGAGAGATCTCGGAAGAACTTTGCTCTGCACAAGTAATTTCAGAATCTATGGTCCTCTAAGGACCAGAGGACGGTAATGTAAAAGAATGATGTCAATAGCAGATAAATAATAGCCTTAGAAGTTCAATACGTGCACAGTTTGACTACATTGCCCTAGTAGTTAGACTGTACAGGTATTGTACTTCTGGCCTAAAAAATCCTCATTGAAGACAATAGGTAGAAACTCAAATTGTTGATAAATATCCCAAAATATCATAAGAGAGCCCATTATTGTTACCTGGCTCCTTCCTGGCTTTCAAAGTCTGTAAACGAGAAGTCTTGGCTCTTGTGGTAATTGCTTCCAAGAGGTTTACTCAATTCGAGTAAAACTATAAACCCTGTAACTGACATGTACTTCCTTGAATGGGCATTAAAAGTAATTTAACCTAACGAATAGTAACATGACCACTATTTTGATGACTAAGAAATGTAATTCATCAAATTGGCAGTTCGATGAATGATACCATGCAATCAACAACTGGTTTGTTACAATTTGGCTTGATTCATCAAATTGGCGGTTTGATGAACCGAATATTGTAATCCAGACTAGGTCAGTTACAATTTGGCTTGATTCATCAAATTGGCGGTTTGATGAACCGAATATTGTAATCCAGACTAGGTCAGTTGCTTGTTGGTCATAGATAATAATGACACCTTTCAGTTTTTGTTAAACATCTCAATTATCCCGCCAAAAATTATTAGGTCTAAATTGGTTTTTATTATTATTATTTTCAGAAACAAACTAACTTGTTTTTTAGGAATTTATCATTCATAAAGTCTTTATGATATATTTTCAACTTATAATGAATATGAAATTATAATTGTTATTTTGAAAAAAATTATTCATGATCAATTCATGATTTAACCAGTTCCTTCAAATTAGGAGAGCATATTCAAATATAATCGCTCATTAAAATAAATTTTTTTGTTTTTTTTAAATCGAAATTATCTCATCATAAACCATGCAAACTGACTATTTGTTCTTATCACCATGTTACCAATATCAGAATTGTCTTTACAGCCAAAATTTCGCTCGATAAAAGTCCATCCAATAGTGAGATAATTGAGCAACGAACATTTTTCCATATCACAAAAACCTCCCCAAAACCAAGCAACAACAAATAAAAAACTGCTATTTCTAGAGATTATTGTTTTCAAATACCTCGAAAAAGGATTTAAATGACTGATTATTATATTTAAAATGTATTTTATTAGGTTTGCGAATAACATATTTGTTCAAGGGACAAATCGACAACAAAAGAATCATACTGCTAATGCTTGGATAAAAGTTCCTTGACGTTACTCCGAAAGCAAAATTCTTATCGCCTTATTCTTGATATTGGAATATTCATTCTGGAGTCTAAATCATTTTTTTGCAATCACAACTCGCTTACAAATGGAAGGCTACGAATCTTATTTTGCGTTTATACTATTTTAGCAGTTTAACATGAAGAACATTGATGAATGTTTTACCTGATGCTGTCTCTTTTTACTTCATTCTCAATTTAACCATAAATCTAGTAAACGAAGAATGAATTGAGCTTAAATGAGCAAAAGGCCAAAGTTTGGAATAAATTGGATTTCTATCCAATAGTGTAGTGTTTTGGATTGGCTTGACCTAAAAATTAATGCATCTAGTTATATGCTATAAGATTTATATTATGGAAAATGATAGTATAAGATATATTTTACTTTTTTCAATGAACATTATTCCATGAATAATAGAAATGGATGGTATTGATATAGAATGAATATATGAAAGCTTACCTCAATATCGATGAATGATTTCTGCAATGACTTATAAAAAAAAAGGAAAATGATTTATTTTAAAGATCATATGTATCATTAAAAATATTTGTACTTAACATAAACAACTCGCAATCAGCTAGTTCATATTTACTTATCAGCATGTTTAAATCATAATTTCAATTGAATTTTCAAAAGATTTGATTTTTGAAATAAAAATTCTGATAAAACAAACAATTTACCTTTACCATACATACAATCACAAACATATTCTTCCGACACAATTGATTACTCGGCTTCAATATTATTTTGTTGAATTGAATTATTCTCGAAACTATCGTCACTGACATCTAAAACTATAGGAAGCGAATGGAATTCAAGTTTGCGTTCATAAATTCCATAAGCAGCATCATTATAAAATTCGTTATAATTTGAAGCTGAGAAAATGGTAAGTATGCATTTGCATCCTTCCTTTTCTAAATATTCGAATGGATATTCAAATCCATCATCGACGCATTCATGACCTCTTAAAATTAAAGATAAACGATTTCTCCTTAAGGGTGCACACGAGAGGATCATGTAAACTTCAGAATTTAGAACCTTATTTTTAGGCATTATCTTGGCTACCTATTTAGGCTCGAAAAGCAAAAAATATCAAAAAATACAACTTGACTCCATTATGACCCTTTCATGGAGGTAGTTTTTATCCGCTAGTATTTTCCCTTTGAATCTCTTTACAATTCGAAATCAAATTCAAAACTCAGTAGAAGAAAGGAAGAATCGACTTACTACGGTTGTAATACGAATAAATACATATATTTAATTATTTTTATTTACATAATAATTGTTTGAAGCTCATATTCCATCAAATTTTTAAATAAAAACATTAAAATGTTGAAAATGTTCATATATTTTAATAGGGTTTTGGCACTTTATTGAGGAATTACTACATACATAGTCGAACTGAACTTGATATTTTGAAATTTAAATTATTTATCAAAATTAAAATTTAACTTGAAATTTATAATTATTTAGTCATATTTTGCATAATTCTAAGTAGATTTTGTAAAAAATCAAGAAAGAAAAATTTTAAGGGAGGCTTCCGACCAGAAAGCCCTCTCAATTTTTTGTGATGTTTACACCAAAAGTGAGATTCGTTAAGCGTTTTTCTCGTTGAATATTGAGTTTCCCGGATTTTGAGTTATTCATAAAGCTCCGCTATATTATACCCTATCTACTGATATGATTATTTTTGAAAAATCTCTTAAATCGACCTGCACTGAATTTTTTAGGGAAAATTCGAAATTTTATAGGCGTTTTTTGTAATGTTTTTTTACGGAATAAAATCCGAAAAATAATTTTTTGAAGAATCATTTGGGTAGAATACTTATCGAAAATTATATTTATTATAATTTTGGTCGATAAAAATAAGCGGATTCAAAACTGGCAAAAACCCTTTCGGCAATTTGTGGACGATTCCGAACCCCCTCATTTTTGAAATTTAATAAGAAAAATAGAATCTTTATTAAATATAGATTTTAAAAAACTTGGTTATAAATTACGAAATTTTATCACTCGGCTAAAAAGTGACAATTTGGTCGGAAGCCACCCTTAACGTGCTTTATTTTTTCTTTTTTATAATAATACATATTATTATATAATTAACATATTCATAATGTTTCACCCTTTCAAAAATATAATCCTCCTCCTCTCAAATAAACGTACATGCGGGTGGCCTCTTTTTTCAAAAAATTAAAATTTGAAATTTTGGGCTCAAATATTAGATATTTTTTCAACCTTCAACGATATATGTTGTCTATATCAGACCTCCTTTCTTTTTGATACTTAACATTGTTCCTAAATCTTAGCCGTTAAGGTAGGGTTGTTAAAAATATCAAAAATGAGCGTTTTGAAGAAGAGGAATTGTTTTTCTCTTAATGAACTTTAATTCTTTTTATATAAGAATATTAAAAACATTAATATAATTTCGATTTCGGAAATTAAATTTCCAAATTTTTTGTCGATTTCGGAAATAACAGGATCCCGCATCCAACACGCAACAACACAAAACAAACACTTTTTGGTTCTTTCATCGTTTTAATCGTAATTTATGTAATACATGATTTGGATAAATTTTACAAAAATAGAACCTATATTATATTTTTTTCAAAGATTCTTGCAAATCATCAAAAATAATTGTATTTTAAAAAACGATCAAATTATCCTTTCATTATTTTAAACTTAAATTAGTTTTTATGATTGACTAAAGCAATCATATTTATTCATCATTAAATAAACAAAAAAAATATTTGAGAGTTATTTCAAAAAAAAACACATTGAATTTATTAATTTGTCTCAATTTCAGTATTATAAATTTTTATAATTTCAATATTTTGAAATACACTTTTTAATATTTCAATATTTATGATATTTCAATGTATTAAGCGGTCTCAAATTGAGCTTCTAAAATATAAGTTGGCCTATTCAAATAATAAAATTAAATAATATTTAAAATAATAAATAAAAGTGATTGAGGTCATAGCAAAACGGCTGTTTCAGTCATTAATTCTTAAAAATAAAAAGGGTAAAAACTAAATAAAATGGGTAAAATTCAATAGTGTCTGTGCTATCGTTCAATTTGAAGGTGTCTTTTGAAACCGCAAGACACATTGAATTTTTGAATAGTGTATTATGGTTTGACAGACACCAATGAAAAAAATAAAATGATATTTATTTTAAATATATAAGATCCTTATATAAAATATAAATATTTTATCGTTTCATTTTCTTGTTTTAGAAATGTTTTTTATTGAAAAATCAATAAAACTAACTCCAAAATAAAATTTTTGATTTAAAGACACTATGATGACACCAATCGTCGGGAATCTAACAACCCTACGTTAAGGCTGTTCTGAAAATATTTTTTTTTCGAAAAAATTCAAAAAAAATTCTTAAAATTCAAAAATTCCTGAATTCCTGAGGATTTTGGAAAAAAAGTTTTTACATGAACATGTGTATATTATATGAAGTATATTGATAAGGTAAAAATCAAATTTTATTGCATATTCATCGAGAAAATAAACTAACGAATCCCTCAAAATTGAGAGGGTAATCCTCCTCCTCTCAAATAAACGTACATACGGGTGCACCCTTAAAAATGTTTTAAGGATATTTTCTAATTTTGAGTTTGTCGCCAGGAGAGTTATTTTTGATAGACCCGCTTGACATACATCATGCTTACGATTTGAAATGAGAAAATTAATCTTACGGAATCTGAAATGAGCGATTGAGTCATTTTAACTTATCATGATTCAGAATTTTTGAGAGAGAATAAAGATTCTGAATGTTTTCAAGATGATGAAATATTTCATAATCTATTGGTGAAAAGAACATAATTAATGAATATATAAAATTTTCAAAGTTGAGGGAACTCGTACAAACTAATCTTAAAAGATATATCGTTTTATTGTTTGTCTTAAATTCGGTTTATTTTTTAAGAGGCATTAGATAAGTTTTGAAAGTATGATGATTGAAAGGGTATTGATTTTAAAATTAAGGTTCGATGTAATCATCACATAAACATCAAAATTAAACAGAATTTTTAAAACAATTCAATTTATCTTTTTGGAAAATTTTATTTATTATTAATATATTTGCATTTGTGAACATTTTTTATCGTAATCAAAAGTTCCTTGATTTTTAAAAGTTCTATCGGATTTTTATTATTATTTGCACATACTTAACATTTTAAATACTATTTTCTCAATTTTCTTTCCAAAATAGTCAGATGCTGGCAATTTGCCGGCAAAATTGTGAACTATTCTCAAAATTCAGATAGCTAACCCCTGAAAATTTATTCTCATGTTTGGTTTATTATTCACCCTTGCATGCTCTCGTAGAACACACTACCATCACAGATCCACAAATGGTGTTGGCGACAACATTCTCGCTGTTGCCAGATCAAAGCAGGGCTGCCCATATGTTTGGGGCGGCAATGGTCCATCCCAGTTCGACTGCTCTGGCTTAGTTAAGTTCTGCCACAACGCTTGCGGCATCAACAACATTGCTCGCGTTGCTGCTGATCAGGCTAGAGCCGGCCGCCAAGGTTCTGGTGCTGCTGGTGATGTTGCTTACTATGGCTGGCCAGCTTACCATGTAGGTGTTTGCTGCGGTGATGGTGGTATGATTCATGCTCCAAAGCCAGGCGATGTTGTTAAGTATCTAGCATTCAAATGGTGGGCTCCTTCTGGCTACCGCAGGTACTGGTAAATTCTTCAGTAAAATTAAAAATTTAGCTCTTCGAATTTTCATCGCTTTTTCTTAACTCCTAACATGAAATTTACTATTAATTCTAAATTTCGTTATTTTCAGACGCTATTACCATTCTTTATTGAATTTCGATATGGTGCTGTTATGCTTGTATGCCGATTCATACAAATAGTGTTTTTTTGATATTGCGATTTTCGAAATTTCATATATTTGAACTTTGGTCAAGATTAAAATATCAGCAATTAGATTACCAAACTGTGGCGATAAGAATTACCTTTTCGAAAAACGATGCATATTTGTGAAGCATTGAAAATATCACCAATTTTATCCATGATCAGAATTCACAGCTATTGAACTTTAATATAATGAATATTTTGCTACTCAAAGATATGTTTTTATATTATTATATCATTTATATTTCGGTGAACCGAAAAACCGCCTGGCAGTTTGTCAAATTATTATAATTGATACATCTACATTTTGTCCCAATCCATATTTTCACAAATTTTTAAATCTAAAATTTGACAAATCTTTGAATTGTAATAAAAGATACAATTCTTATATGACTAAATCACCCTATTCTAAGTTTTTTGTAAATCTTTTCTTAATTTTTACCGCTTACCAATTTGGATAATACAAATGTTTTAAATTCCAATATTCAATGAACAATCCCTTTAAATTCCAATAGTTCATATTGTATAATATTGGAGCTCTTAGCTCTCGAAATGTGTCTCCTAACTCATAATGTTCAAAAAAATGCATGATGGAATATCAAAGATTTACTATAATTGTAATATAAACTACGAAAAAATAATTTCTACCAATATAATTTATTATTTTTGGTTTGAAAGTATTTATTCTTCTTATTTCGCTCATTTCATTCATTAAATTTCTTTTTTAGCACGCAATTTCTTTATGAAAAGCCTTGTTAAATAAAATAAATCAGCTTCTATAGAATTTTTTTTGTCTTTTTTTAGATTCATAAATTATTGAAATCTGATCTCAGCCATATATAATGATAAAATAGCATGGGTGTTTCTTGTACTTCGATATTACTGTTCTTTTCGTTAACATAAAAGCAAATGAAAGAATAAAGTTCATTTTTACCCGTTTAGATGAAATTGCTGAAAATCCCTACGTAGCATATCATGTATGCACAAATTATTTATATTACGCGCTCTCAGAAAGACTTTGAACGCTTCTGAGATCATATTGCGATGAGTGGTCGCATTAGATTATTTTGATTGGCCGTTTAAGAATAATGATATACGATATGATCTAATGATCTAATATCAATTCAATTATCTCTAAACGATTGTCAAAAAAATGTAAATTCTGAACTTTTCAAACTATTCAATAGGGAATTCTCAAATTTAAATAGAAAAAGTGGATGAGTGTTCGACAATCCACTTCACTTTCAATCTATGGCTGCTAAGTACACTCTTGTTCTCCTCCGCCACGGTGAATCCGAATGGAACCTTGAAAACAAGTTCACAGGCTGGTACGATTGCGATCTTTCTGCTAAGGGTAGTGAAGAGGCCAAGTCTGCTGGTGAAATTCTTAAGGCCGAAGGTTTCACATTCGATATTGCTTTCACATCTGTCCTCAAGCGTGCTATTCGTACACTTTGGATCACACTCGATGGCATGAACTTAATGCACATCCCAGTCATCCGCTCATGGCGTCTTAACGAGCGCCACTATGGTGCTCTCCAGGGCCTCAACAAGGCTGATACAGCCAAACAATATGGTATCGAGAAGGTTAACGAATGGCGCCGTGCTTTCGCTATCCCACCACCAGCTCTTGAGAAGACATCTCCATACTACCCAGGCAATGATGCTCGTTATAAGGATCTCGACCCAGCTTGCCTTCCAGTTCACGAGTCTCTCAAGATGACAATCGAGCGTGTTCTCCCATTCTGGTTCGATCAGATCGTCCCAGCTATCAAGGCCGGCAAGAGAGTTATCGTCGCTGCTCACGGCAACTCCCTCCGTGCTCTTGTTAAGTTCCTTGATAACATGTCCGAGGATGAAATTGTTGCTCTTAACATCCCAACAGCTGTTCCACTCGTTTACGAGCTTGATGAGAACCTCCGCCCAGTTTCCCACCGTTACCTTGGTGATCAGGAGAAGATCGCTGCAGCTATCAACGCTGTTGCCAACCAGACAAAGGGCAAATAAATAAATAATAACTGACTTCTCTCTTTACCTATAAATGACAATCTTTTTTTTAATAATATCCAACAATAAAAGAAAAATTGATATTAATAAGGATAAGAATTGTTTTATGACTGTGATGTTTTATATCCATATGAAAATCATTGTATATGATCTAAGTCAAATTCTGCAGAATAAGTTTCCTGATGAAATTTTATTTGGAAGTTATAACTTTTGAATGATGAATATAAGTATATCAGCTCATTCCAAAGCTTATTTATATCACCTTTACCTGATTTCGTAAGGTTGATTCAGATTTTATTGAAAAAGCAGCTCGGAGAAATCACTTCACTGAAGAAATATGAATTACATATTATGTTGATTGATATTTTATAATAATTTCATAATGAATAACATCGAAAATCAGAAGTTTCAATTAATAATTTGGCAAATACCAATGCAATATTTTTATCTTAATTTCTTTCTTGACTTTACACGATTGACATGAAATTGAGAGTTTCTTTGAAAAATTTCATAAGATTAAAAAATGTCGGACGTCACGAATTTCACCTTTACCGAATGGTTTAAAAATATCCATACCGACATTTTTGGTGTCTTTCAAATTTATAGAAATGTTTATTGTCACAGAGCGAAATTAGCATTTCTCTGTCAGCAATTAAGTAATTTCCAAAAATCCATCAGTCAGATGAGGTTCCCACCCGAATCACCAACTCCTCTCCAGATCCAAAAACTACGTGAACTCCTTAAACTTATCAATGATCTAAGACAGATGTTTTTATATCTTGATGCAAACCTTTTCGTTGAGTTTATTACATCCGCTGACTCCGGATATGTTAAAGCATTTGTTGAGAACTTCCGCAAAGAGTTTAATAACCTCTGCAGCTTCTTCCCGTTCCTGCGTCCAGAACCTTTAACTTCAGAGCCAGCTCAGGAATGTACAGACGACAGATCTGATGTCCAAGATATTATTCAACGCATTTCAGCTGCTTTACGCCAAGCAAATCTCCCGCCAGAAGTTGCCAATTGTTTTAATCAAAGATTAAACGAATACCAGAATGCAATGATGGCTCTCAACGCTTCTATGGTCAACAGCAACATTATGACTAAGAATCTTAACGGTGTAATGCTCAGACAAAGGCTTGAATTACCAGAAAAGTTCTATTTACCAAAGAACGACTTTGTCATCAAGAAGAAGATCGGATCTGGTGGCTTTGCTGATGTACATGAAGGTATCCAGCAATCTACACAGAAAGTTGTTGCCATCAAGATTCTTCATTCCACCGAAATGAGTGAAACGGTTTTCACTTCTTTCAAGCGTGAGATCGAAATCCAAGCCTCCCTTAGCAACTTCGCCATTCTCGAGCTGGTTGGTGTCTGTTTAGAAGCTCCATTTTACATTGCAACAGAATTCATGCCGAAAGACTGCCTTTTCAAGCGTCTTCATTTACAATCTAAGCTCAAACCTACACAACGTACCATCATTGCCCTTGGTTGCGCTATTGGTTTGGCTTATATGCACAAACATAATTATATCCACAGAGATATCAAATCCCTCAACATTCTTTTAGATGCCGATGACTTCCCAAAGATCTGCGACTTCGGTATGAGTAGGACTCTCGCTAAATCCAAGGAATTAATGTCAGGCGGTGTCGGAACTGCACAATGGGAAGCTCCCGAGGTCATCAACAACATGCAATACAACGAAAAAGCCGATGTATACTCTTACGGTATCCTTTTATGGGAAATCTTAACATCAGATTTTCCATTTAGAGGATTATCACAAGTACAAGTGGCCATGAACGTTGTCGGCAATGCCATCAGACCAGTTATTCCCAATGTAGCACCTCCAAAGATCACGAAAATGATCAAATTATGCTGGGACCAAGAAGCAAGTCGCCGACCATCTATGGAACAAGTTGCCAGAGCCATTGCATGCGGTGAAGTTGTCTTTCCAGGTACTCACATGCCAACTGTCGAAGCATATTTGGCGAGATTTGGAGATGATCCAATTGTCAACGCGATTAAAAACGCAAACAACAAGGAAACACCCTCTGTTCCTTCATTTCCTCGCCATCCATCCATGGCAGAACCATTACCATCTGCACCATCATCACGTCTTCGCCAGCAGAGATCGATGACGAAATACGAGAAGAAGGCATCTCACAGGTCTGAAGGGCCGAAGACACATTCTCCACCAAACGAAGTCAGGATTTTGAACTTGGTTGATCCGAGAAGGCCAAATCCAGCTCTTATTCCTGGTATCATTGAATTACTCAAAGGAAAAGAACAGGAACAAGTCATTACAATGCTTGTTGAAATGGCAAATACTCCTGAATGGTGCACTTCCATCAAAGATTCCGAAATCATCCCAACATTGACAGGAATTCTTAATACAACACAAAATCCAACTTTGGCAACAAAAATTTATTCAATTTTTGTCAAATTTGACAAGAACCAAGTTCCATTGAATTCTGCTTATGCCTCTATTTTCTCATCCTTCCAGAGACTCGGAAACACATCAATGGCCGATGTTTTGCAGTTAATCATCTCCGCAATGCAGCATGGAATTGAACCTCCAACAGTTGAAGGATTCATGGTAAAACTTGCCGCTTTCTTGCAGGCAGGAAATATGAATTGCAGAATAATAACTGTTTCGATTCTCCAGCAGTTGATAATGAAATCCAATTTCTTGCAGCAATTCTCTGTCATCTTTTTACCTGCAATTGCAAACTTAATCCCTGGCGGTGAAATTTTGTCTCAAACAATTGAAATCATCTACTTTTTGATAACAAAAGGCGGTTTGTCAAAAGAATTTGTTGAAGCCAACGGTTTTCTGACAATTTTGTCATTGATTCTTCCAACAGATACGACAACACCACAACTTAACCAGCAAGACAAACAGAAGGCTTTTGCTATCTTTGGAAATTTAGTCAAAGTACAAGTCAATGATGAAAACCTCAACAAATTCGCTGACATGTTGCAATATGTCTTGAAATCTATTACAGATTTTAATGATTTATGTGTCTTTGTTGCAGCCACAGCCTTTTCATTCTCAAAGCATGATTTGTCGCCAGTTATTTTAGTCAAATACGCTGATTTCATCAAATCATTGTATACAATTGAAGACCAAAGAGTTGTTTTGATTGCATTGAAGATTACTTATTTCTTCTTGCAACACAATGAAACAAGAAAGGTTTTCTTGGATTCTGGAGCAGCATTGACTAAATTACTTAATCCAGCGAATGAAGCAATTGCTGCTATCACTGCTTCTTGCATGATACAGTTTTACGCTTCATTGGATAATGAGAAGTATTTGGAGTTGTTGAATCAAGAACTATTTACTTTCTTGTACACGGCATTGATGACAGAAAACAGCTTGGCACCTTATGCTTTGAGATTGTTCGGAACAATCTCTTTGACATACGATGGAGCTGCTTTCCTCCAATCAAACTCCATTCCTCAACTCGCTGGAAACTTCATGATGTCTTCAACACCGGAATTGAAGTTACTCGGTTACCAGGCATTTACAGCGTTCGTTGTTACTTATCCGATGTCTGATACAGCATTGGCAGCAACACAAGTCGCCACACAATCATTGAATGATAGTACATTGATGCCTTATCCTTTGTTGATGATCTCTTCTTTGATTGTTTGCCCTGCAGCTGCTGTAAACATCGCTCCAAACATTGGTTGCCTCGTGAAGTTACTTGACACTGATGCCTCGCAAACTAAACTTGTTTTGCAAGCATTGACAAAGGTGTTTGGTACTTTGGAAGCAAGAGATTACTTCTCGGACACAGAAGCACTCGTAAGTCTCTTCAACAAGGCTGGAGATTACGTAGGAACAAGCGATTGGTGGACTTTAGTTGAGTTGATTGATATGGCAACTGGTACTTCTGTTGGATTGAACGCTGTTGCTCAGTCTAACGTTGCAACTGTACTGAAGCAGGCAATGACAATGAAGAATATTACAAGAAAACAGAAGTGGCATATCAACAGAGTCTTCGTAAGACTTGAATGCTCAACTTAAATTAATCACAACATAACTTAATTTTTTTAAAAACAATTTTTTTAATTATTAGTTAATTTTTATTGTAACGCTAGAATTGATAAAGTCAAATGCATGTAGTTTCTGATAATAGTTCATATTCGAAATGATCCTATTAAAATTAGATGGGCATGAAAGTGAAGCGCCTTATGTATATTTGTTGCAATACGAAGAGTGGCTTGTCCGTCTTTATCTTTTTCTTTGATATTTGCACCAAATGCAATTGGAAGTTAGGCAGTTTCTTTAGTTTTGCTGAATATGTGAAGAGCAAGCTTGCTAATGAAAAGTTGAATATTTGTTAGTTTATTAATAATAAAGCAGATGTGAATATAATTGTTAAAATGAGAAAATATGAAAAGGTTTAGAACTTTGGGAGAAAAAAAATTGACAAAATTTGAAACTTGTTTCTGCTTTCTATAATGGAGGTATTGATTCTGGATATCTAACATGTAGATCAACTGCGAATTCTTGTACGCAGGTCTTCAACTGGAACTTAACTCAAGAATTCTGCGGGTTTTCTGAAACATATAATTATTTAGATATAATTTTTCCTAAAACTATCCAATATGTAGATCAAATTGGCATTAAATCGTTATATACTTACAGATTTTATCAGTCAATTAAAATTGAATCCTCTAATGATGGAATTAATTTTCAAAATGTTATGAATTCAAATACGCCATTGTGCGAATCATATTATAAAAACACTCTTTGTGACTATGATTGTGGTCAAGCAATTACATCAAGTCACGTTTTTCCTCATCCTGTAAATGCTAAGTATTTCAGAATTAGTGGAATAGGAGATGACACTTGTGGAACAAAACATCTCTGTTTTGATGCAATTGAGTTTCATGGAAATATTTTATCCAAGGAATATTCTGATTGCTACTATTCGATATTTTATATGCATTATATTTCATTATATTTCATTATTGTGTCAAATATTTATTTCGTGATGTGTAATGTCTAATAAAAATATTTATCTAATTTTTTTAATTTATATTTCCTTAACAAATGAATTCAAATGGAATAAAAAGGCTTATTTATTTTTGAGATCTCTCGAAAATCGCCTCAAATTTGCAAAAGTTATGAATTGATGGTATATTATATCCTAAAATAACCCATAATGCTTTCTCAATTCTGGCGATGTTTTGTGTTTTTTATGAATAGCGTTTTGAGTATTAATTTGGCTCATCAATCAATATAACAATCCATTCCCACACCGCATCCTAATAAAAAGTGACATTTTTGAAATTAATCTCTGCGTTTTTTAATGCAGGTCTTGATGCTGGATATCTAGCATGTAATTCAACAGCAGAATCTTGTACAAAGGTTTTTAATTGGAATTCTCCTGGGAGTATGTGTGGGTATTCCAAAACCTATAATTTTTTTGATATAATTTTTCCTAAGACAATGCAATATATAACTCAAATTGACATTAAAACTTTGATAGATACGAGATTTTATCGGTCAATTAGAATAGAATCGTCAATTGATGGTGTTAATTTTGAAAATGTCATGAATTCAAATACACCATTATGTACAGTTTTGAAGAGAAATCCTAATTGCGCCACTGATTGTGGCCAACCGATTACTACAAATCATATTTTTCCGAAACCCGTAAAAGCGAAATATTTAAGGATAACTGGAATAGGTAAGGATAGTTGTGGAACCATAGATCTCTGTTTTGGTGCTATTGAGTTGCATGGAAATTTAATATTGAACGAGCATTCCCCATGTTACTATTCAAGGTTTTATTTACTTCAACATATTGAATTTTTATGCCAAATATTTATTGTATAATCTCCAATTCATATGTAATATAAAAAATAATTTTATCAGTCAAATCATTTTTGTAAAGGAAACATGATCTTGAGCTAATACATATAAGAATAATATATTGAGCTAAGATAGAAATATATATGATATGAGTTTCAGCTTTCTATCATGTTCTTAAATCCCATCCATCTAATACTTCAATGACGTGTACTATTTCATTAGAGAATTCAACACATTTCTGCTGTTTTGTTCTCAATAATTACAATGATTCTTTATAATTGCTATCAAACCAAAAAAGATTAGAGAAATTTAGAATTCTGTTCAAATGGAGCAAAGAGATAATAAAGGTGTTAATATTCTTACTTGATCCCGCGATGAAACTCAGATTTCAGAAGCAGAAATTTGACATTTTTTGAAATTAGTCTCTGCTTTTTTTAATGCAGGTCTTGATGCTGGGTATCTAGCATGTAACTCAACAGCAGATTCATGTACAAAGATTCTAAATTGGAACTCCCCTCGACCTATATGCATGGATCATGAAAGTTTTAATTATTATGAGATAATTTTTCCAAAAACCATGCAATATGTTACTCAAATTGACATTACATCTGTGTTGGACACAAGATTTTTTAGATCAATTAGAATCGAATCCTCATTTGATGGAATTAATTTTCAAAAAGTTATGGATTCAAATACTCCAATGTGTGAAGTTTATAAACAAAATCCTCTTTGTAATAAAGATTGTGGAAAACCGATTGTAACCAGTCATGTGTTTCCCAAGCCTACTAAAGCCAAATACTTCAGAGTCAGTGGAGTAGGAGTTGATACATGTGGAACAAAAATCTTTTGTCTTGGTTCAATTGAGCTTTATGGGAATATTATTTTAAATAAAAATTCTCTCTCTTGCAATTCAATGTTTTACATGATTCAGCATATTGGATTTTTATGTAATTTGCTTACTATTTAATTTTAATTCCTTTTAAAATAGTAAAAAATTATATTATTCAACATTTCTTTCCATTTTCCATATTTTGCAATGTTATTTTAAATGATATGTATTGATGATGAAATTTGGAAAATATGGAAGAGTGATTCCAAAAAGAAATTGATAATTTCAAAAATAATTCTTTAAAATAAATGAATAAATAATATTTAGCAGCAGTTTCCGCTGCCACAGCAGCAGCAACCTGTTCCATTTGATGCTTCACTAGCAAAGACTACTTCCATGAAGGATGGAACTGGATCTGGAGCTTCACGAGTTTCATCTTTATTGATATCGAAGAATGGAGAATATCTCTTTGTAGATAAGATCTCAGCAATGTTTGAGTATACTGGAACTTTTTCTCCAACTTTGAATGAATGATTAGAATCGAGTTTATATACTTCTGGGCTGCCTGGAATGCCACCTTTATACACGACGATATCATGCTTCCACTCTGGCTGGTTTACTCCCTTGAATGCCGAAATTGTGATACTCCAGAAAACTGTTCCTGGCTCAATAAGCTCAGGAGGGAATTGTGGTAAGTTAAGAACGCGAGATGTAACAACACGGAAGTTTTTGAAGCCAACACTGAGCATGTAAGCGATGAATGTATTGATATCCATTGCATTTCCGATACATTCTCCAACTAAAACCTTGTCTTCACGAGCGGCTTTAGGAAGTGAGCGATCACTGAAGACGTCAGAGAAGTGTAATTCGCCACCATCTTTGAGAACGCGATAAATTTCTTTGAAAACGTTTTTCTTCTGTGGAGAAAGGTTAATTACACAGTTAGAAACAACAACATCTGCAAAGTTATCTGGAATATTGGCAGTATGAAGATCCTCAATGAATCCTTTTCTGAATTCAATTGGAGATGCCTCAGGAATATGTTCTTTATGATATGCAATTGCCTCGTTAGCAACATCAATTTGCTCTTGTGTCATGTCAACGCCGATTACATGGCCTGTTTTTCCAGCAAGTGCTGAAATAACGAAGCAATCACGACCTGTGCCACTTCCAAGATCAACTGATATAGTTCCTTCGAGTGGATCTGGAATTGGCGATCCACATCCGTAAAATGATTCTATGACTTTCGGTGAAACTTTTGCTAAAATTTGTTTATGATGCTTTGTTTCTTCGCCTCCAACGACGCATGCTTCATACTTGAGGTCCTCTGTCTTCTTGATTGTCTTGCCATAGTATTCGGAGACTTGCTCATGCATTGATGACAATCATTGGAAATGAAATGAATTCGATGGTGAATTCAAAAAATCGGATTTTGAATTGTTCGATACTCAGAATATTATTTTGGTGTCACGTTTCAGTGTAAATTCTGTTTGAATAGTTTACATTTGGTCTGCGACACTCAATTTTTTTGCCAACTATTCAGATATATCTGTCTAATGAACCAAGGAAGGCGATTTATTTCTTGATTGAGAATATGAATTTTGGTGCTGTTTCTCAAATTTATATTCGATTTATGAGGGCAAGCATGATAATTGATATTTATTCCACCCATTCTCTTTCAATTAAGTGGTTTTTACTTATTTCTTTCTCTTTAGATTATACATACTTTTATTTTTGAGTTTTAGCTGTATTTCAATCCATTAAAACTCTACTATTTAATACTATCTCAATAAAATTTATCTTATTCAAGCCAAATATTTATGGATGGCTGACATAAATCTTTTACACTTTGTATATTTAAGCATTACGGTATTTTTCTCTATCTATTTTAAGTGTGTTTGCGATATTAAACAGTTCAAGTTAAATATTTCCTCAAAGATAGATATTTGATGTGTTATCACTTGTCATTATATATTATTCTCAAAATAAAACTATATATCCTGGAATACTGATCCTAATATGCGATATTCGTGATTAATCGAGTGATCTAAATAAGTAATAGTTATTTAATATTATTGAACATAGAAATGATTGATTATAGTGTAGCTATTGTTATTGCGCATAAATCAAATATTAAAACTCTAAAGTTAAGCTGAGATTGAGCTTTGTGAAACATTTGAAAATTGTAAAAAAAAATTAATTCAATTTTTAGTGTAAACTTTGCAAAATTGATTTGAGATTATTTTATATTGATTGCAATATATGCCTACATAAGATTTATCCAAACCATTCGGATTTTTAATTCTGAGCCTTCAGAAATAATTCATATAATGGACGATCAGTTAATTGAGCCAGCCACGCATTATTCCTCATGCAGAATACTCTGTATATGTATGGCTTGCTTATCATTTCATGTGGGATGGTCTGTTGTGTATGAGCTCCTAGATCCATTAATGACATACTTAAATTTATCACAAGTTATCAAATTCTTCGCTTGGACAATCGGACCAATAACTGGTTTCTTCGTTCAGCCAATTATTGGCTTTTATTCTGATAGATGCAGATCAAAGTTTGGTCGCTGAAGACCATACTTGTTTTGGAGTGGTGTAGGAACGTTTGTAGGCGTCGGTGGACTTTTCACTTTATACATGTTAGGAGAAAAGGCATCGAAGAAATTAATCACACCAATTCTATTTTTAGTAATTATAATAACATATATTTCAATTAATGCATTACAGAACCCAGCTCGATCAATTATTGGTGATATACTACCTCCTGATCAAATAACCAAAGGTTATGCATATCATTCTATTTTGATTGGAATAGCTACCGTTTTCACAAACATTCTTGATGGGATTGGCTATTTTGTTAATAGCCCATCGTATCAAAAGAAAGTTTTTCCTTATACTTTGATATTTTCAGCTATCATTATTATTCTGTCCTTAGCAACGACTATATTTTCTGCCAATGAGAAAAAATTTACAAGACTAGTTGAAAAAAGCAGTATTTTTGATTTGAAAGTAATACGTCACACTTCAAAAGCTCAAATAAGAGTGTCTATTGCAGTAATGATATCATGGGCAGCCTATTCGGGCTTTTCAATGAAGACTACCACATTCTTTTCAAAAGAAGTTTTCCCAGATGATAATAATAAAGGTTTATGCTTTGGATTGCTTGTGAGCGCTGTAGTTTACACATTAGCATTTATGTATGGTGCAGTACATGAAAAAATAGTCAAAACCTTAGGATCAAAAATGACTTATTTTGTATTTCACTTTTTAATGTTTGGATGCCTATTTGGAATATTATTTACAAAAAACAAATGGATATTGATGGCGTTGATGGCACCAATTGGCATTGCATCAACAGTTTTCAATACAATTCCTTATTCTATTATATCAGCCTCTTCTCCACCACAATCCCTAGGTAAGAATATTGGTGCCCTTAATGTATTTATTGTTCTTGGCCAGCAGACTGCAAATCTTGTTATAATCGCAGTTGGATCGATTTACAAGAAATGGAATTGGCTAAATCAAAGAGTTGGTGAAAACCAAGCATATGTTAGCTCTGGTGTTGTAGCTAGTGCGATTTCATGCTTTTTATCTTTTTGGATTATTGATCCAAGTAGCGAAGATGCTACAATTTCGATTGTAAGTTCTGAAGATGATTACGAACAAATCAATTGAATTTATATATAAATGATTAAACTATCTCTATACCATGATAAATTTTATGAGAAAAGGTTTTGTGTGTTCTGAAAAAATTGAAAACTGACAAAAATTTTATGTAAACTATTCTGAAAAAAAAAGAGGTGATAATCCCAAATGTTACAATCGGGAAACAAATTGACTATGGAAATAAGTATCGTTTCACATTGTTTAATGATACAGTATTCCAACTTATTTTTTATCACGACGTAAGAACAGTTGAGGAGTATTTTACTAAAACAAACGTTCGATATTTCATTGGTCAATACAGATATAGTATATTATCAGATCTTGAAAACGAAAAATACTACAAAACTAACGACAAGTACGAGTTTCTTCTTCACTACCCCGAACTTAACGACACTAACTACAACTGGTGGCGTCAGAGTCTTTCCCCTACCATCCAAAGAGAAAACTCAACTCAACAAGATGCAGATGACCATTATGTTCTTGGATATGAAAAAATAAGTATTCATTATACAAATAATTATTGGGGCGGACTATGCTTAACTGGTAATAACTACGGCTCATATATTAATGGAAACATTAATGATGGTGGCTGGCATTACGCAAATGGATGCTACGGAACTCATGAAAAAAACATTCCAGGACCTTTTGCTACCAAATCAAACTATGTAAAATTAGTTGCTCTTTATGTCAAGATAGGCAACCTAAATATGATTAGATGCAACACGATAAGAGCGCAAAAATGTTCATTTTTGAATTATAATGCATTTTTGTATGTTTTTATTTTGATGTAAAACGTATTTTATCCTTTGAATGAATTCTGAGTTTGATTATAAAAAAATTGAATTTTATTAGATATAGATTGCCCTTTCCATTCTTAGACATAATGCGGAATTCCAGAGTAAGCAAATCACCTCAGCTTATACTAGTATTCTCGCAATGATTTTCGGAGGATTCCATATATCTCAAGGAGCTCTGAAAAAATCGAAAATTGACAAAAATTTTATAAGGGAGATAATTCCTAATGTTACGATTGGGAAACCTATTAACCACGGGAATAAGTATCATTTAACAATCTTCAATAATACAATACTCCAACTCATCTTTTATCACGATGTTAGATCAAAAGACGAGTATTTTACACCAGGGAATGTTCGACATTTCATTGGGCAATACAGATACAGTCTATTATCTGATCTTGAAACAAAGCCATATTACAAAATAAATGATAAATACGAATTTCTGATTCATTATCCAGAATTAACCGGTAATAGTTACAATTGGTGGCGACAGAATCTTTCACCCACAATACAAACCGAAAATGAAACAAAATCTAATGAAAATGACCACTATGTTCTTGGATATGAAAAAATTGATGTCCATTTCACTGACCTTAATTGGGGTGGACTTAGTTTATCAAGAACTGATTATGGTTCTTACATAAATGGCGACATCAATCATCCTGAGTGGCATTATGCAATTGGATGTTATGGAACTCACGAAAAAGGAATTCTTGGGCCAAGTGCTTTTGCACGTTATTCAAGCTGGGTTGCTCTTTATGCAAGGATTAATGACTTAAACATGATAAAATGCGAAACATTTAGAAATTATCTATATTCATTCTTGAATTTAAATACCATTTTGTTTGTTTTTGTATTACTTTAAACAGTTATGTGAGGATTTTGTGTTAGCTGATAAATATTGAATGATAATCACATATATGAGCAAAATTTCTCAACAAATGAGAAGAATTTGAACATGAATATACATAAACTATGGCTGCATATATGTTATCTAATTAAAATAGTCGAAGAAAAGTTAAAAAAATAATTTTTAAATTAAAAATTCTTGAAGTATTGGTAAAGCCTTAAATTAAACTTGAAATTGTATTCTTCGTGTATGCGTCTCAAAGTTTTGGTGAATTAAAATGTTTATACATGAAAAATATAATTTCAAGTTTAATTTGAACGAAATTTTGAAATTATTTGTCAGAGCTATCACCAGAAGTGTACAATCCTGAATAGTAATCAGCGTAGCTATAGTCTGAATCACTTTCCTTCCTTTCATTTTTCTCTTTCTTTTTGTCTTTCTTCTTATTCTTCTCATTCTTTGGCTCAGGAAGTGGTTTAACTTGTTCTCTTTGTGAACGCGGAGTGCTGTTTTTGTTGCTTTCTGTTGAATTCTCATTCTTCTGAGTAGCTGCACTTCCCTTAATGATATCTTTCTGAGTGAGTTGTCTTGAAACGAGCTTGTAATAGAATCCTCCCTTTTGAACTAATTCATCATGTGTTCCTTGTTCAACGATGACACCAGCATCAAAAACGTAGATTATATTGGCATTCTTGATTGTTGACAAACGATGAGCAACAATAACTCCAGTTCTGCCAATAAGAACCTTATCGAGAGCAGCTTGAACCTTCTTTTCTGATTCAGCATCTAAAGCAGATGTTGCTTCATCGCATAAGAGAATTCTTGGATTCTTGATTACTGCTCTTGTAATAGCAATTCTCTGACGCTGACCACCTGACAACTGACCACCGCGATCACCAACTAAAGTGTCATACTTCTTATCAAGTTTGTCAATGAACTTCTTGGCGTTTGCGATTTCAGCAGCGGTATCAATTTGAGATTCAGTTGCTCTTTCGATTCCATAGAGAATATTTTCCTTGATTGTTGTTGAGAATAGTGTTGGTTCTTGTCCAACTAAGCCTATCTTATGATGTAGCCAACGTGGGTTGTACTCTTTGATATCTTTTCCATCAAGAAGAATAATACCTTCGTTAACATCATAATATCTCTCAAGTAATTGGACACATGTTGACTTTCCTGAACCTGAGTGGCCAACTAATGCAGCAATTTGTCCACTTTTAATCTTGAATGAGACATTATTCAGAACATTGATTTGACGAGTTGGATATCGGAATGTAACATTCTTGAATTCAATATCACCAATAAAGATGTCTGATTCGATTCCACCTTCAAATGGAACAGATGGCGGTGTGTTTGATAATTTGAAAATTCTTGCACCTGCAGCAATTGCTCTTTGTTCTCCCTGAAGTGAACCTTGGAGCATTAAGATACCCATACAACCGAACATGCAATAGCCCCAGCAAGACATTAAGTCACCGATGCCGAAACCAAATGTTCCATCTGCTTTACGGGATTTCTCAACTAAATGTGTTCCGTAATAAAGATTGCAAAGTACCATTGTCCAAAGAAGTGTTAAAACGATTGTGCTCATTCCAGAAATCAGGAAACCAATTTTCCTTTCGCATTTGATTGTTTCATATTGAGATTTTTCAAATCTTTTTGCTTCATTTTCTTCCATATTGAATCCCCTGACAGTTCTGATTGATGAGAGAGTTTCTTCGGCAATAGTCATTGACTTAGAAAGGCAAAGAAATCTTGTTGCTGTTATCTTAATAATTCCTGGCATAAAGAAAGTCATAATGATGGCGGCAACAGGAATTATAGCTGTGGCAATCAATGCAAGTCTCCAAGAATATACATATGCAAAGATAATACCAGTGATAAACTGGGTAAGGTTTGATATTTGTGTTCCTTTATCTGTACCGAATGCTTGCTGAACTTGTTGAGCATCTTCAGAGAGCAGAGTTAAAATCCCACCTATTGGATTTGTATCAAAGAATGTCACATCATTTTGCATCATGTTTTTGAAAAGATCTCTTCGAATCTTGCACGATATTTCGCATCCAATTCTAATCCATGCATATTGATGCAAGAATTTGCAAATTGCTAAACCACAAGATATACCAATCATGCCGTAAATATACTTGAGACATTGGTCGTATAACTTCGGATCTGGAGCCAAGGAATAAGATGAGATTAGATTAAGAATTTTACCGAACATAAAGAAGGTTAAAATAGTACCACCACCACTAATAAAAGATGGGATGACAGCAAGCAAATTCCTGCAACTACCAAAGGCCATTTTGTATAATGCACCTTTTGCCATTTTCTTTTCATCGACCTGGACTTTAATCTGGGAACTAAGTGAATATTCGCTGGATCTTCTAGATGAGTGTTCACTAGAATTGCGATGAGTTGATTGCTCCGCAAACATAAAAAATGATGTGAAAAAAAACGTAATCAAATCTATCTCAAAATTTCGATCATGATGTAATGAACATTCAAACATCATCGATGAGAATTGCAATATTATGATATATGTATTATTATCTGAGTGCAAATTTTTTTGAATGACACTTTCAATTGATCGGAAAATTTGAGATATAAATAATCGATACTCGGAAACTTTTGAATATTTCAATCTGAACTCTATTTTGTTTTAAAATTCTTTCCAAAATAAGCATGATTGCATCATAATTCTTAATTGATAAGTATATGTTATATTTTCATGTCAATAAACATTCAGAGGATTTTTGAATGCTTTTTGACTGATGTCAAATGTCAACCATTCAATTATTGAATAATTTTTCATTGTTGAAAAAAAAATATAAATCCTGTATCATCATTTTCCCTTAAAGATCCATTTATCAGGATAATATTAATTTTAGCGTGAATCTTTCAATTTCCATTTTTTTTATGATATTTTAATAAAATTGCAAATTTTTATGAGTTTTTAATCATTTAATTATGTGGCATTCAACAGATGATATTCTAAACAGCAAAAGAATATGCATCATTTGTTAAATTTCGCTATTTATGGCTCGGACTCCTTCAATAAAAATTGAAACTTGTATTTTTAGATGGTACTTCATTATCCTATTATGTACATTACCTTGCATTATAAATTGGTATTACTTTTCTAGTTCTTATTAATAACAAATGAAAAATCAAAATTAAATAAAAAACATTCAAAAATTGACATGGGATTCAATGTATTTGAAAACGCTTTTAGATCTGCATTATCATTTGTTAAGATGATCGTATTGTTTCTATTAACACTGTACAATATGATGCTACAAATCTATAGAATAAAAAAATTCATACATGCCTCAAAAAAAGAGAGAGATGTTGCATATTTTCGTTAGTAATTAATGCTTGGATTATCAACTTTAACAGAATTTACGTACTCATTCCTGAATTAAAATGCTATTTTGTTTGTTTTGATATTACTCCAAAGGGGAATTTTGAAGTGTTAATAATGGTTATAAGTTCAAAAAACATTCCTGAATAAAGTTTCTAAACAAGATAAGAAAGAATATGAAAGCACAATAGCAACGAGTCTGCTATTATTCTATATTTCCGATCGACTTCAGAAAAAAAAATTGAAAGTCGTGAATATTTGATAGTGTCAAGTCAAAAATGTTATCGAGTTTGCCTTTTTGACGACCATTTAAAAAAGCGTAATAATCCCAGATGTTACAATCGGGAAACAAATTGACTATGGAAATAAGTATCGTTTCATGTTGTTTAACGAAACTGTATTCCAACTTGTCTTTTATCACGACGTAAGAACAGTTGAGGAGTATTTTACTAAAACAAACGTTCGATATTTCATTGGTCAATACAGATATAGTATATTATCAGATCTTGAAAACGAAAAATACTACAAAACTAACGACAAGTATGAGTTTCTTCTTCACTACCCCGAACTTAACGAAAGTAGCTATAATTGGTGGCGTCAGAGTCTTTCTCCCACTATCCAAAATGAAAACTCATCCAAGCAAGGCACCGATGACCACTATGTTCTTGGATATGAAAATATAAGTGTTCAAAGAACATCTAATAATTGGGGTGGATTAAGTTTAACTGCTAATAAATACGGTTCGTATATTAATGGTGATATTAATACCATTGGTTGGCACTATGCTATTGGATGTTATGGACATGAGTCAGGGATTCCAGGTCCTTTTGGAGGCAAACCTAATTATTTAAAGTTTGTAGCACTTTACGATAAGATTAATAATCTTAACATGATAAAATGTATAACAATTAAATTTAATAGAAATTCATTCTTAAATTCCAACTTATTACTCTATGTTATTATAATCGTGTAAAACACTGCTAACTAATTTAAATAATAAGATATGATTTTTCATATTTTGACCGAATTATTCAATCATTTCATTGAATATCCATAAATAATCATTCCAGAGTTTATAGAATGCACGTAATAGTTTGAGATTATTGAAATACTTCAGTTATGCAAAATATAATACGGAAAGAGGTAAAAAAATACACAATTTATTGAACATAGAAACTATTAAGAAGTTTCAGTAATTTGTCGAATTGTTCACCTGTAACGGTAGTTTGGACTTCAACATCGCAGAATTGAGGATATTCTGCTTCAGATTCTTCTTCGAATTCGTCCTCGTCCTCTTGAATATTCGGATAGTTTTCGTACTTTTCCAAGATCCTCTCAGCCATCATATTTGCGTATGATGAAGCAGTGTCGTAGCTGTAGTACTTTCCACGTGCATAATCAAGCATTAACTCACGTGCGAAGTCATAAGGAATTTGGAGATTCGCACTTAAACTCTTTGCTGCTGAATCGGCCTTTTCGTAAGAAACGTATCCACCGCGAATTGAGTTGCATAATTCTTCATAAATTTGTCTTGATAAGTCTTTGATTCGTTTCTCTTTCGCCTCTTTTTCATCTTTGGCCAACAATTTGTCTTGATTCATTTGTTGAATTCTCTGATAAATTAAATCAGCGCATGTTTGTGCAGTCTCGGCACTTATATACTTTCCTCGAAAGTATTCATGAATAAGCTGTGTTGCAAACTGTTCACTCAATCCAAGTTGCTCACTGAATAATTTTGCTGCATTTCCGACAGATGCATATGATACATAGCCTCCTTGTAATGTTGAGGTTATGATATTGAGGAGCTTGCTTCTGAAATCAAACATAATGAAGTGAAAAAACTATCATTCGGTTTTCATTTCAAGACTGTTATCACAAAAGAATTTGAATTTATAGAATATGTTATTGCAGAACAATGTATAACCTTTTTCCAAAAATTGAATTAACATTTTGAATTTTTGAGAAAGGAATTTGACTTTGATGTAAATTAAATTCAGTCTTTATTCAGTAATTAACAATTTGAAAGTATGATTCGAATTTTGAATTGGTAAACATTTTTGATAAGCTTGTTTGCTAATTTTGAAAATGTATTGAAATTCTGGTAAAAATTTTCCTTTATTCCTTTTCGGAAGTTTGATGTCTTAAATGTATTAATTATTATGCTATTTTTAAGCTATGGACTGATTTTTTCTACAAAATATTGTGTTTTTGTTCATAAATTGTAATATCTCATATAACGCACCATGTTTAAAGCAAAAGAAAATAAATATAAGTTTACATCAATATGTTTTTAGAAATTATAATAAGAGAAAGTAAAAATTAGCTAGTTTTAGTAAAACAACAAAATATATATAGAAAATTATATAGAAAATTATGCAAAATTAACGACAGGAGCTATAAACTTAGCCACTCTATCGATATAATAGATAGTCGCACTCTCAGCTTCGTATTCTTTTTCAAGATTATAAATCAAAGTCGCGGAAACTGAAGATTTCGGAAGAATCAAATGGTTATTATACACAGACTTTCCATTTGCCGAAAATACTACGATGGCAGACCTGCAAAAAGACTTTTTCGCGTCAACATTAAAAATTAATTTTTTGATTTTTGCAGTTCCATTGAACTTTGCATTGAGAATACGCTCATTTTTGTTGAGTTCTTGGATGCAGTCGATTGCTTTGATCTCATCTTTCGGTTTTAGAGGGAATTCGTTTTGAATTGGTTCATTTGGAACTACAAGGATTGTTCCGAAGACTGTGAAGTCGGATATCTTCACTTTGTCATGGACAACAACTTTAACTTTGATCATTCCGGACATAATTGGGTCTTCTATGACAAATTGCAATTTTCCGTCTTTCAAAACATTCTTTTTCGCTTCCTCGTCATTAATAACTACCTGTACATTCTCATCAGTTGACTTAAAGCAGAGGAAAGACACGACAGCAGTGTTTTGGAAGGAAATTTCGAATTGAAAACTTTCCAAAATTTCAGTTTCAAGTCGATAATATACATCTTTGGCTTTGTCTGATGATGCTGATATCAACGTTGACTGGCAATGCGTTGAAATATCACGACATCTGTCTATAACTTCAAGTGACAAATTTAACATGTCACATTTTGTCATTTCCCTTGGACTTTTGACAAATGACTTTAATTCTTCTTCTATGACAGATGTTGTACTTGCGCAGATACTTGCTGAGTCAGAACAGTTCTGGCAAACGTAAAGAGACATAAGATTCTTGTCATATGGATCAGAAGACAACAAACCCTTTAAAAGATCTGATCTTCTTACGACAAATCTGTTTTCGTCTGATTCAAACTGCTTGAGACAGAAAGCACAGTGTTTCTCATCATCTGATCGTGCTATTATTTGAGAACATGAGTCACAACGCCATGGATTTATTCCGGAATTTATGGCAAAGTTAGTTCTGATCTTTTCTGGAACAAATAAACCAACTCTGGCTCGTTCTAGTTCGATAACATCGCTTAATTGCTTTCTAGACTTCATGTATTGGTCGAAAGAAACTTTAAATCTTTCAATTGTTTCTTCATCATCTTCTTTGAACTCTTTTTTAGTGGAAATGTCTCCATTGGCGAATTTTCCGAAGAATCTGATCGGTCCAATTGAAAATTGTTGCTCTGAACCTGAAAATGTCAATTTTACAATTGTTGCAAAGCTTGGAGTCTTGTTTTCGAGTCCGAAGTTGAAAACTTCGGATACTGGGAAGCTGGCAATGATATTCTTTTCAACAACAGGTATCTCTATCTTTGATAAAAACTTGAGATTTGCGATATCTTCTCCAGCTTCAATTCTCATGAAGCAAGGACCAGGATTTAGCTGACTAGGTGTTACTTGGATGGATTGGAGTATGATTGGCCTTGGAAAAGTGGCACAATACGCTTGATTATTATTTAATAAAGATAATGAACTTCCTAATCCGACCAATGTGAATGGTGTTCCTTCCATTGGATGTATATATGATGGTGATAAGCAGCAAGAGTCGAATTCGAAGTTGTTTGTCCAAGATTCGATAACTTTTTGTCTTGAAGGGTCAATTAAGACATTTTGAACTCTTCTTTGTAATGTAATGGCTGAATCATTGGATGAATAAGGTAAGTTTGGTGAAAAATGCTTGATTGCGTTGACTTTTATCGCTTGAGTGTTTGTAGAGATCGTTGAAACGATATTTCCGCTCTCTACAAATGATTTCGCGAGGAAATCAATGACATCTTGTGGTACTAAGTCCTTTGGATTTGAATCTTTTCTGACAATAATCAATTTTTGGTTTTTAAGCCAAAGACTTGTTACATAAATGGCAGCATAAAATGTAGCAAGGTTAGTTCTATCCAAAGAGTCAGCGCAGTTATATCTAAGAAGACATTTTTGATGACCTTTATTATTATTTTCTTCAAAACCGCCATCTTCTATCATTGGCTTCACATATTTAAGGAATTCATCAAATGCAACAGCAGATCCTCCATCGTGGAGTGTTTTATTAATGTCATATGGCATATATGCAACTCCAAGAATGTTTTCATCGGGTAATCTCGAAAGAGCCTTTGAATAGTACTCAACAAGTTCTGATTCAGAACCTCCTGCGTTAGTTTGGAGTAAAGAAACGCATAAAATTCTGTCAGATTTGTATCTTTCTTGTAAATTTCGGAAATATTTGGGAGTTCCTTCGAAATAGCGATCAACTTCGACTTTATGCTTTGGTGTTGAAACTTTTGAGTCTAAAATAGTATTCCAATGAATCGGAACTGATCCTCTTCTCCATCTATGCGAATAAAAGTTTTCTCCACGGATAAAAATCAGTTCTCCTTCAACTTCGTTACCTGGGAAAGCATCTTCATTCAAGCCACGAGATGAGTATCTTGTTCCTGGGTTCGCAGAAGCTCTACGACAAATGTTTGTAATTGTATAATCTTTTCCTGGTGGAGAATATGATTGACATAAGCCTTGCAGTATTGATATGCAGCAAAATCCTATTCCTAAATCTTCAAATGGCTTCCTCCAAGCGTTATTCCAGCAAAAAGTTGGATCTGGTTGATATGATGGTTTATCTGAAGGAATTAAGCGTGTGATATCGTATGTCTCACAGTAAAAATGATTATTAAGTAATTGGAAGTTCTCTAATTGCGAAGAATTCTCTTCATCGGTTTGGCAGATTTTTATAAATTTTGCACTTGTTATTGTTTGAACTAAATGGCCACCAGGCATCCATCCTGAAACCTGTGAGCCATCGATAATGCCAAGAACTACTTGATTATTTGATTTATTTATGCCAAGAAGTCCGTCGCCTTTATATTTAAGTTCAGATTCGAAGGATGATGTTAAATATGAGATTGCAAGTGAATGATCTTGAAATACATCGACCATCGGAATTCCGAAGTATTGAGGACATCCAGTCATCGAATCAAGGGTTATAACATAAGTATTTGTTGTGCAAAATGGTGAAACTGCAACATGCCAATAACCTTGAGCACTATAATAAACTTCTACTTGAGTTCTTCGCTTTTCCATTTTCTTTTAGATAAAAATTTTTATATCGTGCAATTTTTTTTTACTGACGGAACTGCCAATAATTAATTGCATTCGATTTTATTTGATTCTGCATTGATTGACAAAGGACTCAATAATTTTTAAACAAAAGTTAGTATGTTTTGATATTTTTGTAGATTTCAGATTTGATTTTGCACACAAAAGTGAAATATGCATTGCACTAGCATACTTTAGTTTTTCATCTACATCATTATTTAACTCTATTATGTATCTCATAGAATATTTTATGCTTTCTCATTGGATGATGGTACAATTCATTCAAACATAATGAATATTATAGGATAAACAAGATACTTATGATATATTGATTGAAATATTTATATGGGCATGGTAATTTTGAGTTATAATGTTAAAATGAACTAAAAAATATCAAATTGAATATCAAATTGAATAAAAATTTCTGAATTGCATAAATAAAGCGTTGAAGTCATTTGTCACTATCCACAGAAACCATGCAGCAGTGATATTTTTGATTTATCAAGGAAAAAATTAGGCATCAATTTCAGAAGTGGAATTCAACTCCTTCGTGTCTAATACAATCTTAAATGCGTCTGGTTTCATGGTCCTAACAATTTTATGTGAGAAACTTGCTTTTCTCCAAACCATTGCAGCATGACAATTTCAATATCAACGTTGAATCGACTTTTTTAAATGCATCGTAATTCTAGTAGTTGAGTATAGTTCTTTTCCCTTTTTTGTGATAAATAAATTTTGTAAATCTGTCAATTCCGTTATTTGATTTAATCATCTCATTTTTCAATATGAATCTAAATCTTCGCGTTATAGAAGCAAAAGACATGCCTAAGGAAGACTTATTTGGGAAATGCGATCCATTTATTGAGATATACCTCGATGACAAGCGTTTTAAAGAGACAAAAGTTATCAGAAAAACGTACAATCCAGTATGGAATCAAACATTTGTCATTCCCCTTGACCATCCTGGAAGTGTCATTGAATTTCGTTTTGCAGATTTTGATACATTCAAAAAAAATGATAAATTCGGATACATTAAAATTAATCTCGATTCAATTCCAATTGGAAAAGTTGTGAATGAATGGTATCCACTGACACCATTGAAATCTGGCAAAAAAAGTTGGCCAAGCTCACTTTGTCATGCATATTGCCCCAGAATCTCATGAACCATTCACGCCATATGATGGTCCTGCTGATTGGGTACGCAAACAACCACCCAAACCTATACCATTATGTGTACCGTCTTCATTCCCACCAGATGCTACACCAGGCGAAGTCATTGTTCAAGTATTCCACATAGGCGCCGTAGGCCTAGAATATGTAGAATTACTTCGAGGCGATGCTGCATGTGATCATCTTCAAAAATATTCTCGTAATACTGAAGAATTTGAGGAGAATTTGTCCCTTTGTACAGTTCCACCAAATTGGACATATAGTCCTCCCCCTCCACAAAAATACCCATTTCAATATAATTACCCACTTTGTGTGCCAGTAGAATTTCCATCATATGCCTGTCCAGGTAATGTAATAGCTCAAGTATATAAACTGAAAGGACGTGATGTTGTACCTGAACAATATCTGAGAGGTAAAATAGCTATTAAATATATTAAGAGACTTGCCTTAAAGTTTCCACATTTATATAATACACTTTTGCAACAATGTACAGTTCCATTGCCAGGCTTCCCACAAGGACAATATTATCCTCAAGGACAATATCCTCCTCAAGAACAATATCCTCCTCAAGAACAATATCCTCCTCAAGAACAATATTATCCTCAAGAACAATATCCTCCTCAAGAACAATATCCTCCACAAGGACAATATCCTCCACAAGATCAAACTCCTTCTCAAGGACAAAATCCTCCACAAGATCAACATATTCCTCAAGGACAGCTACAACAAGGTCAAAATCCACAACCACCTAACCAATAAGTACCACCACCAAATATGTTGCGATAAACAATAAATTGTTTTAAAGGAACTTTTGTGAATTTAAAGAACATCTAGTAAACTGCGGGACAAAAAATATACATTTTGTCCCGCAGTTTATATATCTGCATTTTATTGAATGTGAAATTTACTCCTTATATGTTTTTTGTATGAAAAACAAATAAATTTATAGAGTAAAGTATATTCTAGGTATTTCATTAGCATATTCGACTAATTTTAATTCCTGAAATCGATATTTTTCCTGCAATCATATCGAAACCTTCATAACAACAAGAAAGATGGAAGCATAGGATGAAATGAGGAAGAGAAAAAAGAAAGAGAGGGGAGGAGAGAAAAAGGAAGTGAAAAAATGGCATATTTAATAATATTTTTTGTTATTATTGCTTTTTGGACCTCTTTCTTCTACTATTTAATAACATATATATTAAAAACTCAAAAATTGTTTACTACTAGACAAAAAAAAATTATTGATTTTATTTCTACTTTGGTTTTGCGATTTTTCCTTTTTCATAAAGATAGTAAGCATTAGCGTACGATTGAATATTGGCTAATTGGCCTTTGATCGTGTAATCAAAGCTAATTGCTGCTGGTTCTTGATGTTGTTTGAAATCAGTGAAATTTCGGAACAACAGGCTTGCAGTGAGTGAAAGGTTCATCATGACGTTCTTGTAGTAAGTTAAAATGAATTCTTGGTCGCATTGAATCGATGTCAACTGACCACAAGCGTTTACAGACCTTTTGAGCTCGAAATCCTTGTAATTCTTAATAAGACTGATGATTCTTGACAACTCTTCTTTGTCATTCTTAATTGCAGTTTTGATATAAAAATTATCAGAAACTTTTGTTACATCTACAGGGTGTTTTCCTTCAATGTAGTACAATCCATCGATAGATTGTAAGAAATCAGTCTTATTTTGCTTGGATTCCATATAAATCCTCTTCCAATTTTCTGGATAATTCTCAATTCCAATTTGTGGAGCGAATTCCTTCATTGTAGGGACATGTATCAACGAGTACTTGCTTTCAAAGATGTTTTTAGGTTCGAAACACTCTTTGAAAAGCTCTTTTCCGTTGAGTTTTGAAATAATTGCGAAATCGTAACGAGAAAGTATGATATCTCCAGTTACTCCGCTATCAAATGTTGTTGTAGATAATCCATCGAGTGTGAATTTGATGTCCTGGGATATAATATCAAGTGTTCCCTTTCTTGGCAAAATTGATTGGAAATTATCAATGATATTCATGATGTTTGGTAATCCTTCGATCTTTGCCTTGAGTTTGGAGTAGACCTCGTGTTGTGGACAAAGGTAATCAACGGTAAAGAAAAGGATTTTCTTTAATAATTCTAAATACTTTGATTCGTCATCGATATAAATGGCCAAAATGTCGTGCAAATCCTGTGAACAGAATGAAAGAGTCCTTTCGAAAGCTAATAACAATGATTTTGCGCATTTAGTTTGATTATTCCAGTCAAACTCGCTTTTTGTAACAAACTGATGGAAGTTCTTGATGTATCCTGCATCCCAAAGGAAAAATGAACAAATAAAATGGAAGATCAATTCTTCTGAAACGCCTTCTTGCGATTTGATGATTTCAAACAATTTTCTACGTGCTTGGCAGCGGGATTTAGTTGTGTATCCACCAAATATCGCTGGAAGAAATGTATTAAATATATAAATTGAAAAACTTTCCTCTTTGCAATATTCTAGTAAACATTTTGCGCCGTCTTCACTTAAAATTTTAGCAATAATACTGTCGTATTTAAACATTTGAGCATCCTCTGGTTTTAAGCCGTCTGGAACAAACTTAAATTTGTTATCAGGCTTCTGCTGTGATTTGAGCAAATCATATGCACGGAAGATTATTTGTGACTTGATCTGGAACTCGTTATCAATAGCAATTAAATTATCTTGAACAGCTTTTAAATGCAAAAAATTGTTTTTGTTAACGATAGCGACTGTTTCTTGGAGCTCGTTGCGTAATTCGTTGAATTCATTTCCTTGTGTTGATGAACTTTCGTTTTGATGCATTTCGAATGAAAGATTTAGTCAGGAAAAAAAATTATGAGAAAAAAATTCCATGATACATTTTCCAACTCATTTGAAAATATTTGGGGGATTACACCATTGAAATTTAGAATAAATAACAATAAAAGGATGAGTCGTTTTTTAGTTCAAAATAGCAGCACTTGAGTATAATTGTTTCTGCTTTATCTGATCATCGAAATGGAATCGATCCACGTTATTTGTATAAATCAATGATGTACTAGGAACTAATTAATAGCCATATTGCAAAAATCCAAATATTTGATCTTCAACTCATCATATCTTTCATTAACATTTCAAATTCGTTTGTTTTTGCAGCAATTACTTCGTCCTTTTGAATTTTCTCTTCTACAAAATAATCATATTCGGTTTTCTTCTCAAAATTAACGACTTGTAATTGATTTTCCACCATCTCAAGTTTGCCTTTTTGTTTTCTTATGATTACTGAATCACTTTCTGCTAACTTTGTATCTATTTCTTTTTGAATAGCTAAATTTGATTTTAATATATGAAGATAGTAAAACTATTTTTCATTATACAGCAAAATAGGAATGAAGTATATATGGGAAAACAGCCCTTCAGTATGCAGCAAATAATAATATAAATAAAAAAAATAGTTAAACTTTTTATTTCATATGGCACAATTATCATTGATAAAAAATATATATGAAAAGATGTTCATCATTAAGAAGTTCAAGGTAACATCTTATTAAAAATAACTGAACTTCTTATTAAAAATATTTTGGGATGCCTGGCAAGTTTGGAGCTGAAATCTGGTTCAGAAATGAAGAAAATGTGAAATACCATTGTAAATACCTCTGAATCTTTTAGAAGGATTATCGTCACTTGTTCTGTACTACTATAGTTTTCATTTTCAGAGAATATATAGTGTTCATACTAAGAGTATTTTGATAATGAATTATGAAATTTACCAAACTCAAAAAAAATGGATAAATGAACTAATGATAGTGTGTTGTTGTAATTCGACATAGAATGTGATTTAGAATGAATTGAAAATGAATTGAAAAATAATTTTTTGATATAAATATATAAATATTTATTTTGTTCGAAATTGGAAAATGATAATATGAAATTATTCGAATACAAGATCAATTTGATGAATTTCTTATGTAGTTCATGATGAGTTTTCAAAGTAAGGGAAAATGTTTTCAAAATTATGTTTTTTATATGTATTTGATCAAAATTTAATGAAGAAGTGGATTAAAGATACTTGTGTATGTTCTGTTTATAGATTTTAAACGTTCGTATTTTCATCGTCAGAATGGGGGCAGAAGGAAAATGTTTGACAGTCAGATCTGACAAAGTTTGATAAAAAAATCGATTTTTCCTGATTATGAATTTTTATAAATTTGTGATGAATAATATTGACATTTGGCTTATCTGGTTTTCAATAAAAAAGCATTTATAATTCGTTTTTTCATCATCATTGTTCTGACAGTCAGAAGATATTTTTTGAGAGGATGCGGTAATAAAAAAAATTCATTTCACATATTTTGATGCTTCCTTTGCTTGCATTGCGCACTGCGTATAACGCAGATGATGATAACATATGGTTCCCAATTCCAACGAAGTTAGGACTCTTACGTATTGGAATTGATAAGAACGATGCAGAAGATGACGACAACTGGTATGTTGGTCTCTCATACCACTCACCATGGGGAAAGTTCTCAATCGGATACCATAGCAACGACGAAGAAGATGAAGATGACGAAAACATCAGACTTTGGGCCGATTTGGCTACAAAGATTGGACGTTTCTCCTTCGAGTACCACAACTCCGCCGAAGAAGACGACGAAAACATTCACTGGATATGGGGACCTGTTGATTTCGATCTCGAGCTCAATGGTGACAAGAAGGTCGCACAGAAGAAGCCAGTCAGAATCAACAAAGCTTTATTAAAGCGCTGGTATGAGAAGTATGGACGCCGTGCTTTCCCACGCATGTACAAGAAGCATTCTTTACCAAAGTTTTCTTCCAAGAAACAACCTGCTTCAAAGAATATTGATTCTTCCTTGATTAAGCTTGTCTTGGATCAATACAAACCTGAAAAAGGGAAAATTTATTGGTATTAAAAATCTTCTTTGAAGGTATTCAAATATATTTGGTATCCTTTAATTTTGAATTCATTCAATAATGGATTAGCAAAATGAATTCACAAACAAAATCTCTCCATTATTAAAATTGTGTAGAAATATTTTTAGGTGAAGCCTTGGGAATATTAATGGCGTTAAATGAGGTAATTATTTTTAAATGGCGTCACTTAAAAATGGATACTATAAAAAGTATGAGTAGAGGTATCTTTCTTTGAACTTCAGATTAATATCTCATCATATTTGTTACTTTTAGATGAGTGTTATCGAAAATTAACAAGTAGAATCATTATTGATTGGTCATATGGGAATAATAGTCTTAGTATTTATAAACTAACAAGATAAGTAATAAAAAAGCTCCTTGAATCTAGAAAAAAAAAATTTATTACTAACAAAAACATAAAAGACGATATGTCAAAGATAATTCATTTGGCATAATGTAAAATAATCAAACAAAATTTGATAATATATATCAAAATTAAATAAAATTAATTTCTTGAAGAAAGAGATTGTTGTTATATTCAACAAGAAGAGTTGAAATGGAGTTATGTGATATGTTCCTCCATTGTTCAAGATCGTTCTCTATCTGATTAATCATATCCAACAACATTTTTGTGGAAAACTGGTTATTGCATGATTTATATGTTAAAAGAGAGAGTTCAGCCTTCTTAACTTTCCTTCTTAGTTCATTAACCCTTTCTCTTTTCTCTAAAACACTCTTTTTTCTGGAATTAATTTTCCATTCAATTTCTTCAATTTGCAATTGATACAGTTCTGGTGATATTCTTGGGGTTGGTATATCATTGTTTCGTTTGGATTCAATGATTTTGCATGATTCTTTATTGATTTCAATTTTCAAATTATTTATTTCAAGTTTCACTTGATTTATCATGTTTGTGAGAGAGTTTGTATCTTTTTGAAGTTCATCCTGTAAGAATTCAACACCATCGAAGTAGTTTTGTTGTGGAAAATCTGATGGATCATTAACAATGGTTTGTACTGTTTTTTTCGTGGTCGGAGGTATCACAAAAGTTTCGTCAACGGCTTTTTCGTATTTAAAATCTTCTTCTTTAATAAGGTTCTTGATTTTTATTGATTCATTTAAAAGATTTGAAACTTTTTTCAAGAGTTTCTTGTATTTGGTAGTTTCTTCGTGCAATTTTGATTTAACTTGTTGCTTTTCAGTTCGAACTTTCTCGATTTCTGAGATTGGTGGTTTAAATTTCTGAAATTTTTCTTTTTTGATTTGGGTTTTCGATTTGTAATGCTTAACCTCTGATTTAATTGCTATAAGTTCTGTCATAGAGATAGATTTTGTATCTCGTTGCCTTTGAATATCTTCTAATTGTTTAGATAATTCTTGAATTCGTTGTTGATCAACGATAATGGATCTTCTGAGGAGATCGATCTTCTTGGAAATTACATGTTTACTGTATTTCTTCTGTGTTTGTACAGATTCTGTGATTCGATTTTTCATTTTTTTCAAAAACAAATTTATTTCTTTCTGTTTTTTCTTGATTTTTGATTGTAACTCCCGCGATGTTGCTTTATATCTTTCCATATCTTCAAATGAATTCTCTATTTGAGTATTAATTGCTTCTATTTTGCGTTGAGTAAAAAAAATATGATTTGTAGCAGTATCCATATTTGTTTTATAGGTGGATATATCTCTGTTTAGTTCTGTCTCAAGATCTTCGTTATTAATTTTTTGTAATTCGTGATCAAGCTCTTGATTGGTTTTTTCAAAAGTCAAGTCAGCCTTGTCTCGATTATATTGCACATCTTCTTGAATATTAGCTAGAATGTCATAAAGATATGCATAAAAATTCTGAGTTGATTGTATTTTTTGTTCGATTGAATTTGAAATTTGATCTAGGCTCTGATTTCTCAGATCAGTAATACGTTGAATATCATATTCACACCCTATTCGTTTCGAAAGTTTCTCGATTTTTGTTGAAATATTGATCGGTTGATCTACCAAAATTTCAACGATTTCATTCATATAAGTGAAGAGATATTCCATCTAAATGTATGATTCAAACTCACAGAATGCATCAAAAATAAATCAAATCTCGTTTATAAGGAAGAAAAATTAATGGATAAATTCAATTTTAAAAATATAAAAAGTTAGCATGAGCTGATGATGGACGGAGTGTTATTGTTGTTTGGCATCTAGTTTGATATGGAGTCAATTGAAAAACAATAGAAAAATATTTTTTGATATTTATTTTCCTCAAAATATGGAAAATGATAATATGAAATTATTCGAATACAAGATCGATTAGATAGATTTCTTATGTAGTTCATGATGAGTTTTCAAAGTAAGGGAAAATGTTTTCAAAATTATGTTTTTTATATGTATTTGATCAAAATTTAATGAAGAAGTGGATTAAAGATACTTGTGTATGTTCTGTTTATAGATTTTAAACGTTCGTATTTTCATCGTCAGAATGGGGGCAGAAGGAAAATGTTTGACAGTCAGATCTGACAAAGTTTGATAAAAAAATCGATTTTTCCTGATTATGAATTTTTATAAATTTGTGATGAATAATATTGACATTTGGCTTATCTGGTTTTCAATAAAAAAGCATTTATAATTCGTTTTTTCATCATCATTGTTCTGACAGTCAGAAGATATTTTTTGAGAGGATGCGGTAATAAAAAAAATTCATTTCACATATTTTGATGCTTCCTTTGCTTGCATTGCGCACTGCGTATAACGCAGATGATGATAACATATGGTTCCCAATTCCAACGAAGTTAGGACTCTTACGTATTGGAATTGATAAGAACGATGCAGAAGATGATGACAACTGGTATGTTGGTCTCTCATACCACTCACCATGGGGAAAGTTCTCAATCGGATATCATAGCAACGAAGAAGAAGATGATGACGACAACTGGTACGTAGGAATCTCATACCACTCACCATGGGGAAAGTTCTCAATCGGATATCATAGCAACGACGAAGAAGATGAAGATGACGAAAACATCAGACTTTGGGCCGATTTGGCTACAAAGATTGGACGTTTCTCCTTCGAGTACCACAACTCCGCCGAAGAAGACGACGAAAACATTCGCTGGACATGGGGACCTGTTGATTTCGATCTCGAGCTCAATGGTGACAAGAAGGTCGCACAGAAGAAGCCAGTCAGAATCAACAAAGCTTTATTAAAGCGCTGGTATGAGAAGTATGGACGCCGTGCTTTCCCACGCATGTACAAGAAGCATTCTTTACCAAAATTTTCTTCAAAGAAACAAGTAGTTCCAAATTTTGCTCCATTAATTAATTTACTCTATAAGCAATCATGGTATCCTCAATGGCTAAAACCACGTTATTGAAATTAATTCATTAATTAAAAATCTTCTTTGAAGGTAAATTTTAATTTATTCGATATAGTTTCTTTCTTTCTCTCTCTCTCTCGTTTTCTGTTTGCAATCTTTCAAATATAAAGAAAATACTAAACCCAAAAGGATTTCACGGTGAACTTATCACTTTCTGACGCCCTATCAAAAAGAAAAATACGGGAGTGAAGAGGCATGGAAAACCATAAACGGAGATTTGAGATTGTGCATCTTTAAATTTGATATTTGTATTTCAAATAAATAGCAACAAATACAGTAATCATTGCACAGCATAGCACTAAGATGAAATAAAATATGCATACACACATCTGACATTTAATTCAAAACACTGACAAGTGGCATGAAACATCATTGAAAACTAACCTTAAACAGCATAATTGAAGGATTTGTCAAACCCCTAATGACTTTTGAGAGAGAAAGGTAATATTGAATGTTTTTAATTTCAATAGATCAAAGGTGTATTTACCATTTTCAAAGGTACATTCACTATTTTTGACAAAATTTTAAATTTTCATGGGGTTGTAAATCTTATAATAACTAGATGAATAAGGAATAAATCCCAGTATGATGTGCATCATTATATTAAACACTATATGTAAGCCTTGTAATTCTATTAACACTTATGAAGATCTATAGTATTTGAGCAGATAAATTTGATAATTTCCAAAACTCTTATATTTCAAAATTAAAGTGTGCGAATGCATTTAAATGAGAGCAAAAAGAGAATGATGCTGTTAAAACTAGGTGTTAATTTCCAATTATTTCGCATCACAAGAACTACCCAGTAAATTCGGCTATCTTTCTTTGCAATTATTCTCCATTATACATATAATATAATGGTTAGGGTTTGAAGAAAAGTTACTAGAGAATTATTGACTTTTGAAATAATGCAGAATTTTACTTGAAGAAATCATTAATTTATGAGTTCCAAATTGCTAACCCTGACGAAGGATCATTAAATTTGCTACAATTAAATACACTTATTGCAACATCAATATATTTTTATTCGAATAGTAAAAAAGAATAACAATCATATAAAGCACTATGTATAGTGATTTACAATAACTTCGTCCCGACCAATAATATTAGCTTTTTACCTTAGAAAATTGGGATATTCAGCCTCGAGTCAAAAAAAAAATGAGAAAATGTCAGAAAGTACATCCTTAAAGTATATATAATTCGCCCGCTGTATTTATTGGGATGAATATCTTGTTCGGACATCAATAATTTATACAATAGAGAGAGAGAGTTTAAGTTCGTTCACATGGTTCAAAAACATGTGTTCTTATATAAGACGCCATTCTTTCTTTTTCTGATATTTTCGAAGAGAGAGTTTAAGTTCGTTCACATGGTTCAAAAACATGTGTTCTTATATAAGACGCCATTCTTTCTTTTTCTGATATTTTCGAAGAGAGAGTTTAAGTTCGTTCACATGGTTCAAAAACATGTGTTCTTATATAAGACGCCATTCTTTCTTTTTCTGATATTTTCGAAGATGAATTTCATTAGAAATAAACCAAATAGTTCTTTTTCTAGTGGAAATGGGAACACTAGAGCTCCTGAAGAACAGAATGGCTGCCATAATCTTCTGATCAGCAGAGGTCCAAATGGTAAAAGGCCTCTGTAGATACAGATTCAGGAACTTCAAAGCTCCATTTTGCAGAGATTGAGAGCTTTGGAGCTCCTCATGCAAAGAACTGCAAAAGATTTAGCCATAAAATTTAATAGATCTTAGAATATACAGATCAATCTATTAATTAAATATATCCCTTTATATACATTCAAAAAATCAATTGATTTGGAATGATTGACAATAAATTATATCCGAAATCATTATGGTCATTGTTTTCTACATATGTAACATAGTATTTTTTTTCTTCTAATGAATTTAAGGGTATTTCATATGGTAAAACGCAAATGTGTCTTTTTTAAAAATTAATAATGTCGGACCATGACGTTCATCCAAAAGAATACAACAAATTGCGAAGTACTTACAAATACTACATTGATTCATTTCTTGCATTGTATCAGCTAAAAACGGAAAAAGAAGAAGAATTAAAGTCAATTTACAAAATGATCAAAACAGAATTGATTGATTCAAAGAAATATCTCCCCAGAGATATTATAGAAGTTATTTTACATATCATTCCGTATAATATTCGCTCTACAAAGTCATATTTATTTCTTGCCAAACTCATATCTGATGATTACCATGTCACAGAGGTCAAAAGTATTGAACCTATTTCAAACTTACTGTTTTACAAAGAATATGGAATTAAATTATACAAATCTGCTGATTTAGAAAAAATTAAATCAGAAAATCTTGAAATTCATACAGAAGATACAATTTACAGAGCAATTATGTATAATGACCTTGAAAGATTCATATACTTCACTGAAAGAGATGAATTTGATAAAGATAAAATACTTATAAGTAGTTTATATCCATCTTTTTTGGGAGGATATTCATTACTTGAATTATGTTGTTACCATGGAGCAGTTGATTGTTTCAAGTTATTAAGAACGAAATTCAGCGCAGAAATAACTGAAACATGTTTACGATTTTCATTTTTAGGAGGAAATCCAGAGATCATGAGTGAATGTTTGAAATATCAAACACCAAATAATTGGTGCATGGAATATGCAATTATTTCACACAACATTGATTTCGTTACATTCTTGATGAATGAATACAATATAGAGATCGATTTATTTTCTTGTGGATTTTATCAAAATCTTGAAGCATTTTTAGTTTATTTCGATCAAACTAATGATATTAATGAATGCTTTGTTTATTCCCCGCTTTTAAATATCCCATCTCTTTTCGAATACTTCCGTTTACATTGTGCAAATATCAATGTAAAAAATGAATATGGAGGAACCGCTCTTCATTATGCAGCAATGAACAATAGTAAAGAAATTGCCGAGATTCTTATTTCAAATGGTGCAAATATCAATGTAAAAAATGAATATGGAGAAACCGCTCTTCATCTTGCAGCAATGTACAATAGTAATAAAGAAACTGCCGAAGTTCTTATTTCAAATGGTGCAAATATCAATGAAAAGGATAAAGATGGACAAACCGCACTTCATCTTGCAGTAAAGAAAAATAGTAAAGAAACTGTCGAGCTTCTTATTTCACATGGTGCAAATATCAATGAAAAAGATAAATATGGAATTACATCTCTTCATATTGCAGTAAAGGAAAATAGTAAAGAAACTGCCGAGCTTCTTATTTCAAATGGTGCAAATATCAATGAAAAAAATAAATATGGAATAACCGCACTTCATTATGCAGCAATGTACAATAGTAAAGAAACTGCCGAAGTTCTTATTTCACATGGTGCAAATATCAATGAAAAAGATAAATATGGAATTACATCTCTTCATATTGCAGTAAAGGAAAATAGTAAAGAAATTGCCGAGATTCTTATTTCAAATGGTGCAAATATCAATGAAAAAGATGAAAATGGAATTACATCTCTTCATTATGCAGCAATGAACAATAGTAAAGAAATAGCCGAACTTCTTATTTCACATGGTGCCGAAGAATAATATTCTTACTTAAGATATTCTTTAGTTTTCTGGTATTTTCGAAGAAGATTTTCATTAGGGAGTAAAATAATCTTTTTTTTTAAATTTTTGAACTTGAGTTTGTTAGATGTGATGAGTTTTATTATATTCATCCTCGTGAAGTTGCACTTGAATTCACTGGATAATGTCTTTCAAAAATACACTACATGTTTAGGAAGAGTTTCAATCCTGATAGCCATATGTTGAACAAAAAACCGACCGAAAGTCCACATTTCTCAAATTTTGTTGAATTTCAGACAGAAATGAGCATAAAATACAATCCTCTTCAATGGAATATCATTGAAATGTTCAATTCTCTTGAAGAAAAAGGAAAACAAATTACTTGAAACGTTATTCATGATTGCTGGTGAAATATAAATAAAATATTTAAATAAACATTGACAGATTGTTTTTACAAAATATGAATTTCATGATTATTATATGCTTATCTTGGTGATTTTGGTAATGGATAAACTTTCTTCGGTGTTTCATCGACTCTCGGGCTTCGTTCGGAGGAGAAACTTGGAGTTCCAGATGGAGATGGCGAATCTATTTGAGAAGGAGACATAAACATCGAAGAAAGTCCTGGTCTTGGCGATTTAAATTCTTTGATTGGCAAAGAACTTGGCTGCATCTTGCGAGGAGTAGTCTGTGATGATACCGGAGATAAAGAACCCTTTCCATTTGGCTTTACTGGCGAAACTGATGTTCCGAGAGTAAATGTGTTCTTTCTTGGCCTTGTTTCATGGGACAACTGCTCGAAAACAGCATCTTCTCGCTTTAGAACTGGTATTGCAGGGAAATTAAAGCATTTAATGTGCTTTTGGATGATTTGGATGATTCCTGATTTGTTTGCACTGGATTTAGAGTAACTACTAGAGCTGAAAACAGTGTAGAGGTGATCGTTTTCAAATTTCTCGACGCCGTTTTGAACGCATTGGTGTCCACGAATGAGAACTTGTTAATTTATTGTCAGAGAGAGATAGCAAAGATTTGTCGTTTGAAAGTTCAGATCTTGTTTAAACAATAAACAATGAAAAGGTTAAACAATAAACAATGAAAAGGTTAAACAATAAACAATGAAAAGTTTAAACAATAAACAATGAAAAGGTTATATGAAAGTATTATAACTCATCCTTCTTCTGAAGCTTCCTTTTGATCCATTTTGTCACTGGTTCCTTTAATAACTTCTTTGTGTATGTAAATGTCTTTGATTTCGGATCTGATCCAAAAATCTTAATACAAGGAGTAGAAGGAAGCATGTGGCCGTACAAAATGTCGTTCTTACTTGCATCCATCTTTGCAAATTGCAAATTCGGAAATTCCGCGGCGATTTCTCTGAAAATCGGAAGGAAATCTGAATACAGTCTGTCCCATTCTTCGTAAAACAAGATAACGGTCTGACAATTGTAATCTTGAATTTTAGATTTCATCGTTTTTGAGTTAATTTCAGAGACAATATCAGTATTATTCTGTGGAAGTTCTGAGCACCTGATTGTCTGGTTGATATTTCCGGCAAATACTTCATCAATAAAGTGCAAAATTTGTTTTGGCCGAAATTCGCTTCCTTCTGTGTACAAATACTTAATAACTCTCTTGCCTGTATAGTTTAGAACACAAAATGCAGGGTCCGCGTAACGGCTGAACCCTATACTTTGCATAAATCTGTTTCCATTAACTGCATCAATGACTGCGAACCGTAATTTGTTCTTGTACTGGGTTGTTACCATTGATATTGTTCTAAGGGCTTTATCGAGGTCTTCTTGTTCGACAGGAGTAAAGAATAAACCTAATTCTTTGGTTTGTTCGTAAATTTGCTGGTTATTGATATTAAATATCTCGTAATTAGGATTCTTGTTCTGTTCAATCCATTCTGTAATGTTTTCGACTGTTCCTTCTGTTAAATTGTAAGGATAAAATACTTTTGACTTATCTGTATTTCTGTAAAGCACAATTGATGGTACGTATCTGATACGAAGCTCATAGGTAACATCTGGATCAGGAGAACAGCCAAAAGCGTAGTTATCTCTGTTTCGCTCGGCAATTTCATTAAATTTTTCGAAAAGAGGGCCACCAGCCTTTTTTTCAAAGAGAACTACCGATATTGGATGAGATTCGATGAACTCTTGCGCTGTAGGATAGTCATCAAAAGTTGTGAACGGAAGTCCTGTTTTTTCCATCGCATATTTATATATACTATCTGGAGAGGGATCTCCTTTGTATTCTTCTACAAATTCACCATATCTATAAAAATAGTAGCCTTTTGTGTGTTTGAGATGTAATTGCTGAACAAAATACTTATTTCGATCGCCATCCATGATAGCAAAGTAACATCTCGTACCTATATACGAACTAGCTGATATAAAGTCTGATAAGTATCGATAACGTTGAAAATCACCTTGTTGAATAAAAAGAATTGCAGCTGGTTTCGTTTTCATTACATTGGTGAAGTTAGATTCTGTCACATATACAATGTTATCATCATCATATGTGATAGACTCACTTTTGGATAAAAATGTCAATGCAGTGAAGAAAAACATATAAAATTTTGGTTATTTGGTCGAAAGAAAATCTTCTTTGACTAGGTCTGGTGATGCATTCTCTTGCATTTTTGAAAAGATAACCAAAAAATAAAATGCTAATTTTTCATAAATTGAATTTTAAGCGAACAATAATAATTAACATCATGCGATCTCATGATTTTCGCTTTCCATTTTTTCAAAAAATCTCCAAAATTTTTTCAAATTCCAAAAAATAAATTGCAAAATTACAAGTTTTATATTCAAAATTGGGATTTCAAAATATTTTTGGAAAATTTGATGAAAGTAAACTTGATTAAAAATGTATTACAAATATATATGTCATTGAAAAATGTCCTTTTTATGTTGATTTTGGAATTTCAGATATCAATTTTTGATGTACAAAGGTTTTTATATGCCAAAACATTTAATTAAGCAATTTTAAATTTAGATTCTTTTCGTTAAAAGTTGTCATAACATTTTTTTTTTGATTTGGTCGATTTCCTTTCATTCATGAAACCAAACCTAGATATTTTCCATTAGGATCATAAACTGATGAATAATCTAACTGTTTATTACACAACCATTTATTTTGCGGAGAAATTACTTCAGAAATCATCGAAAAACGGTTATGACAGGTCATTTTTCGCGCAATGTCTTACTACGATGATGGACGCGATGGCGAGGAAGGCGGCCGTGCATATGGTGCCGGTGGCTACGGTGGTGGCAGCCGTGCATATGGTGGCCGCGGAGGCTATCGTCCAAGATATGATAGAGGCTACGACGACGGCGGCCGTGGCGGCTATGGCGGCAGAAACGACAGAGGCTATGGTGGCCGTGGCAGACATGAAGACTTCAGTTATGAAGCAATGACACCAGCACAAGATGATCCAAACTTCATTCCAAACTGGACAACACGCGTTGACGATTTCGATCAGATGGATCTTCCTCCAGCCCTTCTTCAGGGTGTTTACAGCTACGGTTTCAGAGCACCTTCCGAAATTCAAGCCATTGCTATTGGAGCCATTCGTGATCCTTCTAACAGACACGTTATCGCCCAAGCACAGTCTGGTACCGGTAAAACAGGTGCCTTCTCAATCGGTGTTCTTTCTAAAATCGATGTTTCCCAAAAGACAACACAAGCCCTTGTTTTAGCTCCAACACGTGAACTCGCTACACAGATTTTCAACGTTTTCAAGGAAATCGGTTCCCGTATCCCAGGCCTTGATATCGCTATCTTCATCGGTGGCGCACAGAGAGTTGTTGATGCCCAGGCCCGCGCCGCATCACATCCACACATCTGCATCTGCACACCAGGTCGTGCTTTGGATCTCATCGTCTCCGGACACCTCCGTGTTCAGAATTTCAAGATGGCCGTCTTAGATGAAGCCGATCAGATGCTTTCTGATAACTTCATTGAGCAGGTCAACGATATCATGGAATACTTCCCAGAAGATGTCCAGATTCTCCTCTTCTCCGCTACAATTTCTCAATCTATCTTCCACATCATGAACACATTCATGAACGATCCATTCAGAATCCTCATCAAGAAGGAGCAGCTCACACTCGAAGGTATCAAGCAATTCTACGTCGATGTCCAGGAAACATCCAACAAATTCGACTGCCTTCTCGATATCTACGGCTCAGTTTCCATCCAGAAGGCCATTATCTTCGCAAACTCAAAGAATGCCGTCGACTACATCTCAGAACAGCTCCAGCAGCACGGTTTCGGAGTTGCTCCAATCCACGCCGGCCTCGACCAGCTCGAGAGAGACAGAATCATGAGAGATTTCCGTACAGGCACAGCCCGTGTACTTATTTCTACAGATCTTCTCGCTAGAGGTATCGATGTTCAACAGGTTACACTCGTTATCAACTTCGAATTGCCAAAGAAGCTCGAACAGTACATCCACCGTATCGGTCGTTCCGGTCGTTATGGTCGTAAGGGTGTCGCTATCAACATCTGCGACCACGAGGATATGAACGTCATCGAAATGCTCAAGAACCACTACATGACTACAATCAACGAGCTTCCAAGCGATATCGAGAGAGTCGTTAACGAGGCTAACGCTCAGTGGGATGAAAAGTAACAAATTTATTGTTCGGATTTTGATACTTTCTAATAAAAGGAATATTTTTGTCACTTTTACGATTACGCAATATTTTTAATCGTTGAACTACCTTATTTTAAAAAATTTTATTGAAAAATTTGTTTTTATTTCAATGTCAGACCATTTTATATTTTTTTTTACAATTGTAAACTCAGAAAAAATTTATTTCCGATCATTTTTTTATCGATATTTTTTTAGAGGAGAAATGATTGAAGAGAAGGTTCCAATCATTATATTTATGGCTATTGATCTAGCACTCCTTGTTTTGTATGCTGCAAAGCTATTCGTTTTATCAGATTTTCAACTAGAAAAGATAACATTAACAAAAATGGATGCACAAATGGTATTTTTTAACAAACTGATTGTTGCCATATATATTCCGACAACCATATACGTTTACCACACTTTCCATTCTTTACTTGCTCCGTTTACAACTTTTTGCATTGCTTATTATGAATACACTCAGATAGATTACCATAGGAAGTCATTAAATTACCTAACTGCCCGCCAGCACATCCCGAAAATGCGTCGTAACGGTGTAATTAAGCTATCAATTTGCTTAGTTTTCATAATAATATGCATCATATCAATTCTAAGGCGTTAGAAGGAATTTCGATAATATTTCACGTCAATTATACGTATAATTGAAAATACAACCCTATATTGGAGTTTTGAAGAATGCCAGTTAACATATGTTATAATACACATGCATTATTTTCACAAAATCTAGTGAAAAGTGCTGAATTCCTCGGAAATTTTCGAAAATAGTTTTGATTATGATAAAACTGTGTGAGTTTTACATGAACGATGCTACACTTGGTTTACAGTGACGAGTAAAAACTATCTTTATTTATATTTTTAAACATATTGGATTTTGACACTTAAACTAATATCGATTTGATTTGGAATAGATGCTTGATCATGTCAAATATGGGAACAAATGGCCCACAAGCTTCTAATTGAAGAATTTATTTTCTCATAATTAGACTCTATCGTTTTGATAGATGTCATAATGCTTTTATATTTTATTGCTTTATATGTTCTTATATTTGAGCATTTGGTATCAATATGGGGCTATATTTTTTCGTTATTTTTGAAATTGGTTCAAAATGTAACCAAGAAGGTCTAAATGTGTTAATCTCGAAATGAATCTCTCATTATTATGATTCCAAAGAATTAAAATCAATATTTACATGAAAAATAGAAATATCTCCATTATGAAAACAGTTTAAACTTGGGAATCAGTTCTCATTTAAATTCACATCATTAGTTAACCAAGGTTCTATAATGCCAGTGCGCAACGACCTAAACATGAGTTGACAGTTATTTATTTATGGAGAGTTAACTATTACTGCTATGATAAATCAAACAAGCATCTCAAGCTATCTTAATTGTATGAATAAAAAACAAGTTTTTTTAGACCGTATATTTATTCGATGGATTTTTTTATTGTTGATAAATCGTAGGAATGGAATCATTTAGTCCTTGCAGAACTTGATAAGTTTGCAAACGGCAGCCGGTGGTTCGTTATCCTTGAGGTACTTGATGATTGCTGGGACACCGACTTCAACAAGTTTATCGCAGATGACTCTGAGGTCAGCTGTGACATACTGGCAGTATGATTCGAGCTTCTCAATGATTTCCTGTTCTGTCTTTCCGTCCTCAAGATAGTCTTCGATCATTGAAACATAGAACTTGCACATAACGCACTTCTGTGTGGAGTCACCAACCTTTGTAGCACGTGGCTTAACGGCAGCAGCAGACATGAGGCCCAATAATGCAAAGAACATTGCAATGGAATAAAAAGTGACAACGACAACACGATTTTTGTAAACTCACAAAAAAAGTTAATTTTTGGAATTTATTGAAAATTTTTCCGGATGTCGCTCATCCAGGGTTTTAATAAACTTGCAAGCACCCTGACTGAGTACACATCATTCAGATCTGTCAGGAAGAAGTTTCAAGAACAGCTTGCAAGCAGATTCTTGACTTATTCCAAACAAGATCAAGATAATTTTATAGAAACTCTATATAAATGGTCAACAAATAGAATGCACTCAACAAATAACGTAGATAAAATCATCGCTCTTGCTTGTTTTGCATATATACTAGATATTGTCGAAGATCAAACACATTATCAAAATATTGCTAACCAGCTCGAAAGAATTTTACCCGTAGAAAGCATCATTGTCATTGATGGTGTCACATTCTTGCTCGAACGCGTTGCCAGACGCTCAGAAACTCCAATTCTTCCAACATTATTCGAAAGATTAACATCCAGAATCTTCTCAACGAGTGTACTCTCCTCAGTATTCATTTTCAAGAACGTCATATTCACAGATATCGACTTATACCGCCGCTTTTCCGGCCACATAAACCACATCGTTTATGGCGCAATAAAACATCAAGAATCTCAAGTCAGAGCTTGCGGCGTTGAGCTCTTTCTAGGCAAAATAAACCACGACTCCTCCCCCGACGAATGCGCAAATACGATGCTCGATGACTGCTTCCAGGCCTTGGAATCACCTTGTCCTTTACACGTAGTCGACGGATATTTTTCAATGATCGAAGGAATCATCAGAACTAAGCCGCGCTTGCTCGCAGGGAGAGCGCAGATACTCACAAAGGTAGTCGTCTTCCAGATGAACCAACAGTCTATGCTGACAGTCTTGAATCATGTCCTGGCGATCCAGGAGTTCCGGAATTTCACACCTCAATTTCAGGCCAAACTACTCACAATATTTTCTGAAATCTCTCAATTTTCTGAAGAGGTATCACAATTGCTCTCAAAATTATTGAATACCGATTCAATTGATGGAGAAGCCTACGCGCCATTGATATTTAAGCTCCCCGATGAATGCTTTTTCATCGTAGCACCTTCTTTGCTTCGAAAATACAATAATTTCAACGACCAAATTTATTCTCGATTAAAAGTTGCCCAAATTACCATCGATGTGCTTAAAACAGCTAAAATATTATCAGAACAATCAACTATAATCGCATCAGAGATATCAGAAACGTACTCTCAATATATTCGCGAAAATTTCACATCTAATTTGACCATTTCTTATGAAATCATCAAATTAATATCGTTAGATGACTCAATAGATAAAAATGAACTGTTAGATGTCCTCATCAAACAGCTTTCCACTGTAAATGAGAAAGATTCTCCAAATCTTATACAAGCGATCTACACTTTGATATTATCCATAGAAGACAAGCAAAAATACCTCATGCAAACACTGTTCCTCGCCAATTCGTCCTCTAATTCTGATTTGAGACTAAATTCAATAGAATTAATTCCTCAAGAATTACTTTGTTTGTTCAATTCTCCGCTTATATATGACATACTGAACTCATTCATTTCAGATCAGAAGAGCTCTGTTCGTCAGGAAACTCAAAATTTACTTTTACGCATACAGAAAGTGATTCCTGATGATATAGAGGAGTATTTAAAGACAAACATCAATCTGTTTTTTCACCAGTTACAAGGATTTACCAGTCTTGTCACTAAAAGATATCAATTGGAATTAACTCCAATTTTTATCAGATTAAATACGAAAATTATCAAACCTTACGTCAGGAGGATGGTAGAATACTTCATAAACATACTAGAAGAAAGGTGTGAAACTCCAAAATCAACTTTAGAAGCAACTCTTAAGCTAAACGATAAAAATAATACGCGAATCATCCACAAATGTGTCCTAAAAAGCATTAACGAGCTCATTCCTCATATTGACGAATTCAAAGACCTTTTATCAAAACTTATAAACGCAATTACAAACCAATTGACGATCAGCTCTCACAAAAGTTTACATGTAGAGGTTGCAAATACGTTATTACTCATTTTCAGAGCGATAGACTTTCACGAAATCTTCAATGAAGCGGATATTGTGAAAATGCACAAGGAAATCTTCTCTTTTCTTTCAAATTGTTCTGACTTTGAGACCATTTGTGGCTTTTTCAGGCTGTTTGGAACAATAGGACCCCTTGAACCGACTCAATTCCACACATTTGACTACGAATCACATTCTTTTGACTGGTCACCCATCTGTGATGTATCCAAACGCCAGACTTGCTATCTAAACTTCGTCATGCAGTACGTTTTGGACCAATTACAACAATCTTCTTCAATTTACGAACCATCTGTACTAATTATAGCCATTGTATACATCTTTCAGAGCGATCCATTCAATTCCCTACCTTTCCTACCACAAATTGTCCCAGTTTTCTCGAAATTACTTAATGATAAAGTATTTAACCCTCCAGATGCCATTTTCCACTTCCTGAGGTCCATCATTCTACTTGTAGATGTCTCTATTCTCCCTTACGGTGACAATATCATGGAAATGATCCTTCCTTTCCTTCACGAAGCGAATCTTCCCGCAATTAAAGTATTTTCTGCCCTTGTTTTCGCATTGAAAGGAAACTATAAGTACGATCCAGCCATATTCAACCTGTTCGTATCGATTCTGAGGCAAAAGAACGTTTTACCAGAAGTAGACAATTATATCATGTTAACTTTAGCTCTTATGGTCATTTACAACGAGTCTTCGCCCTCAATATTCTTTGAACTCGCATCCCAGCGAATAAAGAACAACAACAAAGACTCAATAACATATTTATGTTGGATAATGAACACAGGGAAGTTTCAATCTCTTGTTTTGCAAGTTCTTAGGCTCGCACTCTCAATAAAAGGTCCTTTAGAACTCAAAGCTCATGAACTTATATCAGTAATTTACGCAAAAAATCCGAAAATCACAAAAATCGTGAATTTTCCAAAGGAAAACCTTCTCAGTGTAAACGAGACAGACTATCAACCAAAGCCAGACATCGTTCCTTCAAAGATGAGGCCTGCTTCCCAGAGAAGATTGATAGATACCATATTATCTCATCAAAACGTAGCAGAATACACCCCGATATGGATTCTACAGCTCACGCAAGACCTTGTTCTCTGTAGTAGTTCGGCTGCAATTCGTGCTTGTCGACCATTATTAAACGGAGCATCGAAATTACAGTACGATATCTTTCCTTTAGCTCTTGTTTCCGTATGGGAAGATGCTCAAGATGAAGAGCGTCGTCGATTGATGTCGTTTTTCGAAACAGTTGTCTCATCTCCAAACGCGAATCTTTCAGTTTTGTCAGTAATTGTTGATGGAGCAGAAGCTCTTGACCGCGCGGGCTTTTCCATGTTCTACAACCCAATGACTGCCGGAAAAATCGCTGAGAAATGCAAGTCTTGGTTTAAGGCCATACGGTTTTTCTCAAAAGTTGACTTCCCCGAGGAACCTCTAAAACACTTATTAATGATCGAAGCGCAATTAAAACGGAAAAGCACTGCTAATGGATTATTAGGAATAATTCCATCGCAAACAACAGATGCAGGGTTATTTGAGTCATTAAACAAATGGGACAAAGCGTTAGAGATATACGAGACACAAAAAGAGTCAGAGACAAGTGTCCCAGGCATTGTAAACTGTTACATGAACATGGACGATTACGCTTCAATTATTTCGAAAGACCAAATTTTCGAAAAACTCGTAAAAGAGACCAAAATCAAAGCCGCCCTTCCATTCTTCATAGCTGCATTAAACACTGGCCAGGAGACCGACAAATACGAGCAGTTCCTTGTCCCTGATACACCTACGAACTGTTGTTGGCGAGCGATTTGCAAAATCAAGAAAAATTTACAAAATGAAGCTGAAGAATTCGTGAACAGGGCAACTAACGCTGCTGTTATTAACTTTAGTCCTCCAGCAAACTACGAGAATGCCATGCCCCTGATAAATGATTTCTTCTCCATAGAAGACGTGAGAAACATCTTGGATGTGAACAAAAACAAAGAAAATTCAAAACACATCATTGAAATTTGGAAAAGAAATTCAAATTCAATGAAAAACGATTATTCTCAATTGAAATTATCATGGGCCATCAGGGAATTACTAGAGTGTACACCGGAACAAAGGAGAGACATGAAGAACACATATTTAGACATATTAAGACGTATAAAAGAATGGACTTATTTCGATGGAGTTTTCCAATCAATAGAAAAAGATGAAAGATCATTATTAATTAGATATATAACAAGATACGACCGTGGCATTGTTAAGAATACAGATGAACTGGCCAAATTCGTATCGAAACTCCAGAAATCACAGAGAATTGATGTCTATTGCGATGCTGTTTGCGATTTGGCAACAAGAACTGTTGTTACGGTGTTTGTCGTCAACCAATTGGGTGATGTGTTGAGAAAAAACACGAATCACGCAAGAGCGTGGAGATTATGGACATACACAAACCTTTCTTTGATGCAGAAACCTGGAAATGTAGCTGAATTTTATGCAAATAATACAATGAACGGGTTTTGGAAATTATTGGAACTGAATGGCTCTAAAATGCATTGGTTATGCCAATTATGCTCTCTCTTCTTTACTTATGGTACTTATTTGAGCGATTTCGAAAATTTTGCATCAAAATTTAGAAATTTGCCACCGGAATCAGTAATTTTAATCATCCCACAATTGGTTGTACAACTAGAACACCCTGTAAAGGAAGTTCGTGAAGTAGTTTTCGATATAATGAAATCATTTTCTGTAAACCACTTCCAAGCAGTTGCTCTACCTCTTAATTTGCAGAGACACACAAAGTCAAGCGAATTCATCGACCAATTGTTCAATGAACATAGTTTGGACGGAAATGATGTGACAATTTTCGCTCAATCGATGACATCTTTGGCCGTGACTCCTGCAGAAGAAGTATCAATATTATTAGAGAAGCTCCTGAAGATTGGTGATGATTTTCCATTGCAACAGGAAAGTTTAGATATAATTAAGCGAGTAAGTGACATTATATCGGCCAAGACCTACAAATCCTTCCTTAAGGACTGGTTCTCATGCAAACCTGCTAAACTGTTCATTGAAAAAAGCGCCAGAGTTTTGAATATAATAAATTCAAAAACAGCAAATGCAGATAGAGTCTTTCTCTTCAATGCTGCGAACGCGCTCCATATTTCATTGAACAAGAACATCGAATCAGTCAATTCCATTGACATAAAAGAGCTGGGACTTCCAATTATTACAGATGACCTCAAAGTTTGCATGCCAGGAAGCTACGAGATCGGTAAACCACTTATAACTGTATCAAAGATCCGCCACGTGCTGAAAATGATTCCTTCCGCGAAAAGACCGAGAAAAATGCGAATGTTGGGCAGTAACGGTCAATCTTACAAATATCTACTGAAAGGAAGAGAGGATTTGAGATTGGACCAACACATTATGCAGTTTTTCTCTTTGGTTAATTCGATTTTGAGGATGAATAAATCGACTGACGGAAGTTTCAACATAATCATGCAGTATCACGTTGTTCCTTTGACAACAGCATCAGGACTGATCTCGTGGGCTGCTGGAGGAGAGACTTTGAGCTCATTAATCTTATGGAGAAGAAAAATTTGCAACAGAACTGAAGAATCCGAGAAAAAGGTGTTCAACGAGTTCTTATATAAAGGTAGAGATATTGCAATCTACATGAACAACCTCCAAAAACTCGAATTATTCAGAAAATTAGTAAATGTGGCTCCAGACAACGAAATTGATGAAGCTTTGTGGCTGAAATCATCAGGAGCAAGACAATGGCTGATGCAAACAACGAATTTCAGCCGTTCTCTCGCTTTAATGTCAGTTGTCGGTTACATTATTGGTTTAGGCGACAGACATCCTCTAAATATACTGTTTATGAAGAGAAATGGCAATATCGTACACATAGATCTCTCAGATTGCTTCGAAAAAGCTTCATTAAGAAGATATGTCAGAGAAACAGTTCCTTTCAGACTTACAAGGATGTTAGTAAGAGCTTTAGGAGCTGTTGGTACTCATGGACTCTTCAAAACTACTGCGGAAGATGTTTTGGGCCAACTTCGAAGAAATTCTCAAACATTGTTGGCTTTTTTGGACATTTTCGTCCAGGAACCAGTAATAGACGCTCTATGGTACGAAGGAAGCCAGGATGACAAAGAAGGAAGAGGTTTGAAACAGGCAATTCGAAGAGTTGCAGAAAAATTGGCTGGAAACGACTACGAAATGATAATGACTATTCCTCAGCACGTACAGAAGTTGATAGAAGAGGCAACATCGGAAATTAACTTAAGTAGAATGTATCATGGTTGGGCTCCTTATTGGTAACAAATTTTTTTTATAATTTTTTTTGTTATTTTTATTTTTAAAATTTTGTTTGAATGTTTATTAATAAAACGATTTATATATTTATAATCTTTCTTTTTCTCTTTTCTGTGACTTTATTATTTTAATAATTTTTATTTTTTTGATATTTTTTTTAAAATTAATTTGTAAAATGCTTCCTTAATTAGCTTAAATGCTTTCTGACAATCCAATACCTCTTCTCGTGCTCATGATAATGAAGAGATACTTAATAATGGGTTCAAATTTGTGGGATTTTATTCAAAACTGTGATTCACAAAAGTGACTCATAATTGAATGCATTCAAAAATAAATTTGTTGTTCAAAATATTTCACTAAGTATATTCTTAATATTTTTAAATAAAATCGAAAACGTCACTTTTCCTAGAAAACAGATCTAAAATTTCCCCAATTTTGCTTTTATATGTCATAACATCATGTGGAGCAAGTATTTCGATCGAAGTCACTATAAAATTTTAATCAATTTGTGTCGGTTTATGAATTCAAATTTGCCAGGCAGATCTGTCAGTTTGACATGATGGGAAGAGTCAGTGAGCAGGTAGATATAAGGCCTATTAGTAATATTTTGTTAAAATCACACGTTTCTGATTCATAAATATTATGGATCAAACAAAAATGATGTATTCTTTGCGTGGCTTCTCTGTTTTCGAGTCAGGAGAGAAAAATCCAGGCACAATGGAAGTGTATAGCACAAAAGGCATAATTTCTTTCGAATGGAAACCAGAAAAATGCTCGAATTTATATTTAATAAGTGATAAAATAGAAGAATCACAAATATTCATTTATCTACACATGCTTAAAAAGATAGTTAAGACTAATAATGAAGACAGATCAACCACTATTCGATTCATTCTTCCGGACACGAGAACAAATTTGCATTTTATCTTCCCAGAATCCGAAATTGTAGTGTGTGAAAGCATGTTTTCAGATCTGTTATCATCACATTCAATAACACTAGTTCCAAACGAACCAAATTCATTTAATAATAATCTTGAAGTTGAATTGAGATACATTGTTCCAGAAAATTTCATATTATATAGCAATATAATCTATTTATACTCATATAGAACATCATTAAATAAGATATTAGACGACACAAAAGAAATCGATAATAATCCAATAGATTTAGAACAATTACAGCTAAAATTTGACGAACAAGGACATTTACTAGACTATTAATCACTCAAAAAAGACATATTTGTCCACGGATTAACACCAGAAGCGAGACCATTGGCATATTTATACCTTTTAGGCGTTTTTACTCCAGAATTAACGAGAGAAGAGAACGAAAAGCACTTAGATGATCTTTATGATGAGTATATGAATACATTCAACAGATGGGAAAACAAAATTCCAGGCCAAGAAGTGTATTTGACAAAAGTTTTTGGCGTCATTGTTTCCGATGTCAAAAGAACAGACAAAAAAGAAGAAATGTTCCAAACAGAAGGACCAGCACGAAGAGCATTAGAAGAGATATTGATGATATATTCATTACTTGTTGCAGATGTCGGATATATCCAAGGAATGTCAGATATCGCGGCTGGTTTGATGGAAATGTTCTTCAAGAAAGTAACAAAGAAAAAGATCACTTTATATGATAACAAAGTTGTTGATTTTCATAGAGGAAACAGTTTAATTTTCTGGTTGTTCTATGGATTACTTAAACTCACAGGGAATGACCAACTGTTCAAATGCATGGATGGTAATAGAGATTTCCTTGAAACCCGTATTTTCTCTATTATTCAAACGAATATTCCTCCTGTTGCAAAATGGTTGGTCAGTGTTCAGAACGAAAACATGTTGTTTACATTTTCTGCAACATTGCTACTTTTTAAGAGATGGTTTTCTATCAATAATTTAGGAATTATCTGGGATAGACTAATCACCCATCGTGATCCAATTATTTACTTAAGATTCCTGATTTCTTCTTGTGTTACAGTTGCTTTTCAATATCTTTGCCTGCAAGGAACAAATGGAGGCGATGTTTCATCAGGTTTCAACAAAGTTTTGGCATTGATTGAACCAAAAATGGTATTGAGAATTGCAAATGCATTCTTTAACAAAATAGATAACGATCCAATGCATTCTCAATGGATTTTCATGAAATATCCAGAAGATCCTCCTGAAATTGAATACGTTCCTAAATATATTAAAATCTATTGAATGCTATATATTAGAAATTGTATGTATTATAATAAACAGTTAAGATTTTTAATCTAATCATTTAATGTACATGTTAAAAAAATAATATTTTCCTATTCTATATTATATATAATACAAATTAGAGAACATGAATTCATATAAGAAAAATAATGATTTTTAAGAGCAACAAAATCCTATTGACTATAATGAACAATAGATTTAAATTGAATATTTGCAGCAAACTACATATTTTCAATATTACATAACACAATTGTTTCATTTCTGTTATATCTAACTATCTATAGCAAAAAATGATGACAATTCTTCATATCAAATTATTTCTCAAAAAATGTAAAGAATTATATCAAAAACTATTTTAAACAAACAAAGATATCAATATTAAGTTATTCAGGAACGAATCTATTATTGAATTCATTGAAATGATTTTTCATTTCGTTAAATATTGTTACTTCTAATTCTGAGCATCCTTCAATCAGTGATTTGGCCAAATCTATATTGAATGGAAGCATTTTCTCTGCAATTGAGAATTTATCTCCTTCTAAAGGAGATTTTTCGTAAAAATGTTTTTCTGCAATCAATTGAATGCATGCTGTATTTAATCGGTCTGCACAATGACAAACAAGTTCATACGTTTCGTTTGGAAACATTTGGAATAGAATAGATAAAATTCCGTTTGTAGACTTCAAACTTGGGGAAGAAGTACAAAATTCAATTAAGGAAGTAACTAAAAGTGGTATAGTTTGTAGTGATTTGTTTTCTGGTTCCCACGAATAAATTAATGATTCAATTAAAAGAGAAACTTGGTATTTAGAAAAGTCATTTTCAAGTAAAAGTTGTTTTGATTTGAGATCTTGTTCAAATTCGTCGATAATGAATTCCCAAACTGAAGGACTTTCTAAAATTGATTTTTTAAAGAATTCGAATTGAGTTTCTAACATATTTTCGATTGCATGATATAACCATGCTTGCGTTTTAAGTCTTTTAGTGAATTTTTTAAGGTCTGATGTATATTGAGGAAATTTCAAGCACCAAAAGAAAACAGAATTAAGAACTGATTGCGGTACAGAGTATCCTGCATCAGAGAGATAGTTAACTGTTGTAAAAATATCCTGTGCCATATAATTATCTGATTCTTCATCAATATCAAGGAGAGAACTAAGGTATGCGAGCTTATTTTCTTTCAGATTGCCTTCTACTTCAGGAAATGTTTGAAGTGCTCTATCGTGATATATTCTATTGTCTGGTTGTAAACGTTGCATAATCTGAGACATGAAAAAAATGAAGATTTGACGTAAAGTTTATCAGTAAATTTTGTTGTATATTCAACATACATCTTATATTTATTAGTAACGAATTCACCCTTTTTTTTCGAATATCTGAAGCGGTAATTTTTTTTTATTGATTTTATGTCACAGAAGGAAGAGTCTCAGAGTAAATCAAAGTCATCGAAATCAGATGCTTCTGAAGCTGCTAACTCTAATGCTTCTGGACCGCAATCAAGAATTGAAACAGAAATAAATTCAGAATATTATGAAGAAGAGGAAGTAAAAGAAGCAGAGTCATACGCTCAAAAGAAAAGCTTTAAACAAAAGAAACCACCGTTATCTGATATGGATTCTTCAGATAATATTATATTTATGAATCAAAAGTCAGAAGATGATTCAGAACATTCAAGTCCTGGAACATCTGTCGAAGATCCGAAATTTATTCCACAACCACCTTCATTAGCTCCTTCATCATCTTCTTCTACAGCTCCATCATCGCCAAAAGAGATTAATCCTAAATCATCATTCTCATCAAGTGCATCACGCCCACATCCAATCGCTCAAAGCGAAGAAAAATCGGAAGTTTCAGAATCTCAATCAATTTCTTTACAAAGCGTTCATTCTATGAAACCAAAATCATCCGTTAACAAGTACTCAGTACCAGAAAGCTCATCTTCATCAGATAGTAGCGAAAATGCTGATAGCGATGATAATCATGAATTTGAGATTGAATCTCCACCACCAGCTAAAAAAGTAATCGATTCTCGTAGTATTAAATCGACTGCAAGTAATGGTTCACGAAAATTAAATGCACAACAAGTTATGAAATTCAAAGATCCAATTAAAGAACTTTCTGACGAAGAAGACGAAGAAAAGAAGAAAGCCAAGCAAGATAAAAGTAAGAAATCGCCCATTAAAGGTCCGAAAATTAACTACAGAATGAAATTCGCTCAAGATCGCGACGTAAGTGAAATAGAAGAACCAAGGAAGCGAAGCAAATTCCTTTTAGACGAATCTGATGATGATTACCAGCCTCCAAAGAAGATTGGAGGAGAGTTTGATTCATCAACTGTTGATTTCTGCAACAGAGTGAGAGCTCCTGACAAATCAGAGTCACTTTCAAGCAAAAAGAGTAAATCAGAGTCATCTGGCATCTACACCTTCAACAAACCAAAAGATTTATTCGCATCCGACGATGAATCATCGAGTAAATCAAGCAAGAAGCCATTAAACAAGCATAAGTTCTTAAATGAAGATGACAGAACACCATATCACTCAAAGAAAATGACAAATGAACAGAAATTAAAGAAGAAACTTGCAGATGCAAGAGGAGACAACAGAAAGTACCTCAAAGATGAAGACCTTGACTTCCTTGACCAACAAAAGGTCAAAGTTATCTATGTTTCCCCTAAAAAACAAGAAGAAAGCAAAGAATCTTCTTCCAATCATCAAGAAGAAGAACCATCATACGAAGAAGAAGACATCCAAGAACCATCACAATCCAAGTCATCAACACTTGATACAGAACATAAAGAGATTATGCAGCCAAAATCTCCATTTTTACAGAGAGATTTCTCAAGCCAGCTCGATTCAGAACCAGAAGTCTTCAGGCGCAAGAACAGACATAGAATACCTCAAAGAAAAGTTATCAGAGTCGTTGAAACTGATGACCAGGCTTATGAAAGAATGTTACTCGAAAAAGTGTCAAACCGCCAAATCCCTTCAATTACTGGCACTTATTATGAACGAACTATGAAGGGCAGGATTGAGAATTATGAGTCTGAATCAGAACTAGAGCGTAAGGAGAAGCTGAGATTGGAGCAAGAAGAGGAAGAAAGGAAGAGATTAGAAGCAGAGAAATTAAAGGAACAAAAGAGGAAGATAAGGCTTGGAATATTGTCATCATCAACAGAAGATCAACCAGCAGAAGAGAACGAGAACGTAAAAGAAAGAGATGTAGAGATAATTCAAGATAATTTAAGCCAAATTTCGGAAGATTCGTCTGTTGTAAGACGCCGTGAAGAATTAATGAAGATGAACTTGGATAGTACTTCTTCGTCATCTACAATCTCTTCCTACAAGAGAGAAGGAGTCAGAAAAGGAGTTTTCTTGGAAGACAGCGATGACGACAACGGAAAACGTAGATGGTATCGAAATGTGTTTAAGGTTATGGTAGAAATGTTTTGTCATTGACTGGCTAAGCGAGTTTAGGGTCTAATGGTTTTGGATGTGGAAATCCTCACTCTGGGCACTGCTATTACTTTATCAACATTGACTTAGAAATGAAATTGGAAAACCATGTCAGTAAATACAGAAATGCAATCCTCCAGACATACGTTTTTCCTACACATTTAATATTCCAACCAACAATGGAACCGCAAGATGAGGAGCAGCAAAAAGTTTAATTTCCAGCGGGAATTTAATAAGGTTATTATTTCATCAGTTCAAAAAGTTTATCAGGTTTTGATTAAAATTTTCTTCATACCATACGACATAAATGATTCATTTAAATAACTTAAAATCATGTTATAACCATTTCGCTATCACATTATTTATATACATATCATATCGTTTTTCATGGTCATCTTTAATAAATGATATATAATCTGAAGGGTCTAAAAGAATGGATTAAATTTACCACTCACAGAAACGAGAGTAACATTATAAATTCCGCTAACTGTTAAATTTAATTCACAGTTATTATTCGAAATAATATTGATAATTGACATTTTTATTACGATTAAAAATATGGTAAAGCGTTATTTTCCAGTGATAAATAAAACTAGAATAAGATTACCTCAAGAATTCATAAATTCAACGAATAAGAAATTCATTCATGTTATAATTTTAGTGTTTTCAGAAAATATGAGTCGATGTCATATTCATCATCGGGTTATATTTCACTTCATTCAAATTTAGTTCAATCAAATCAATATAATGACCATTTCATAAGATTTTCAGATGGTATTAAAAATGTAATTGATAGATTAAAATATGAACAGATTGACAATATCGAATTTTTGGAATTTTGGTTTAAATATCCCGATGGAAAAAAGATTGAAGTTAAAGATAAAGCTGATACTATAACAAAAACAATTACAATGACCGATCCAGATAGTGGGGAACAAAAAGAAAAAAAACAAACGATAGAAACCGGTGAAAGGTCAATTATTATTGATTATGATTCAAAGGATTATTATTCGATAATGTTAATGCTTGAATATTAAATAGCCTTAACAAAGAATTTTTCAAGTGATATTTTATAAGATCCAATCTACGTTTTCCGTTGTCGTCATCGCTGTCTTCCAAGAAAACTCCTTTTCTGACTCCTTCTCTCTTGTAGGAAGAGATTGTAGATGACGAAGAGTACTATCCAAGTTCATCTTCATTAATTCTTCACGGCGTCTTACAACAGACGAATCTTCCGAAATTTGCTTAAATTTCTTGAATATCTCTACATCTTTTCCTTTTACGTTCTCGTTCTCTTCTGCTGGTTGATCTTCTTGATGATGACACTATTCCAAGCCTTTCCTCTTTTGTTCCTTTAATTTCTCTGCTTCTAATCTCTTCCTTTCTTCCTCTTCTTGCTCCAATCTCAGCTTCTCCTTACGCTCTAGTTCTGATTCAGACTCATAATTCTCAATCCTGCCTTCATAGTTCGTTCATAATAAGTGCCAGTAATTGAAGGGATTTGGCGGTTTGACACTTTTTCGAGTAACATTCTTTCATAAGCCTGGTCATCAGTTTCAACGACCTCTGATAACTTTTCTTTGAGGTATTCTATGTTGTTCTTAGGCGCCTGAAGACTTCTGAGTTCTTGAATCGAGCTGGCTTGAGAAATCTCTCTGTAAAAATGGAGATTTTGGCTGCATAAATCTCTTTATGTTCTGTATCAAGTGTTGATGACTTGGATTGTGATGGTTCTTGGATGTCTTCTTCTTCGTATGATGGTTCTTTTCTTGATGATTGGAAGAAGATTCTTTGCTTTTCTTCTTGTTTTTTAGGGGAAACATAGATAACTTTGACCTTTTTGTTGTCAAGGAAGTCAAGGTCTTCATCTTTGAGGTACTTTCTGTTGTCTCCTCTTGCAATCTGCAAGTTTTTTCTTTAATTTCTGTTCATTTGTCATTTTCTTTGAGTGATATGGTGTTCTGTCATCTTCATTTAAGAACTTATGCTTGTTTAATGGCTTCTTGCTTGATTTATCGATGATTCATCGTCGGATGCGAATAAATCTTTTTGTTTGTTGAAGGTGTAGATGCCAGATGACTCTGATTTACTCTTTTTTGCTTGAAGTGACTTCTGATTTGTCAGGAAGCTCTCACTCTGTTGCAGAAATCAACAGTTGATGAATCAAACTCTCCTCCAAATCTTCTTTGGAGGCTGGTAATCATCATTCAGATTCGTCTAAAAGGAATTTGCTTCGCTTCCTTGGTTCTTCTATTTCACTTACGTCGCGATCTTGATGCGAATTTCATTCTGTAGTTAATTTTCGGACCTTTAATGGGCGATTTCTTCTTACTTTTATCTTGCTTGGCTTTCTTCTTTTCTTCGTCTTCTTTCGTCAAAAGTTCTTTAATTGGATCTTTGAATTCATAACTTGTTGTGCAATTTAATTTTTCGTGAACCATTACTTGCAGTCGATTTAATACTACGAGAATCGATTACTTTTTTAGCTGGTGGTGGAGATTCAATCTCAAATTCATGATTATCATCGCTATCAGCATTTTCGTACTATCTGATGAAGATGAGCTTTCTGGTACTGAGTACTTGTTAACGGATGATTTTGTTTCATAGAATGAACGCTTTGTAAAGAAATTGATTGAGATTCTGAAACTTCCGATTTTTCTTCGCTTTGAGCGATTGGATGTGGGCGTGATGCACTTGCATTGAGATATGATGATTTAGGATTAATCTCTTTTGGCGATGATGGAGCTGTAGAAGAAGATGATGAAGGAGCTAATGAAGGTGGTTGTGGAATAAATTTCGGATCTTCGACAGATGTTCCAGGGACTTGAATGTTCTGAATCATTTTTCTGAGACTTATTGATTCATAAATATAATATTATCTGAAGAATCCATATCAGATAACGGTGGTTCTTTTGTTTTAAAGCTTTTTTTTGAGCGTATGACTCTGTTCTATTTACTTCCTCTTCTTCAATATATTCTGAATTTATTTCTGTTTCAATTCTTGATTGCGGTCCAGAAGCATTAGAGTTAGCAGCTTCAGAAGCATCTGATTTCGATGACTTTGATTTACTCTGAGACTCTTCCTTCTGTGACATAAAATCATAAAAAAAAATTACCGCTTCAGATATTCGAAAAAAAGGGTGAATTCGTTACTAATAAATATAAGATGTATGTTGAATATACAACAAAATTACTGATAAACTTCACGTCAAATCTTCATATTTTTTCATGTCTCAGATTATGCAACGTTTACAACAAGACCAATAGAATATATCACGATAGAGCACTTCAAACATTTCCTGAAGTAGAAGGCAATCTGAAAGAAAATAAGCTCGCATACCTTAGTTCTCTCCTTGATATTGATGAAGAATCAGATAATTATATGGCACAGGATATTTTTACAACAGTTAACTATCTCTCTGATGCAGGATACTCTGTACCGCAATCAGTTCTTAATTCTGTTTTCTTTTGGTGCTTGAAATTTCCTCAATATACATCAGACCTTAAAAAATTCACTAAAAGACTTAAAACGCAAGCATGGTTATATCATGCAATCGAAAATATGTTAGAAACTCAATTCGAATTCTTTAAAAAATCAATTTTAGAAAGTCCTTCAGTTTGGGAATTCATTATCGACGAATTTGAACAAGATCTCAAATCAAAACAACTTTTACTTGAAAATGACTTTTCTAAATACCAAGTTTCTCTTTTAATTGAATCATTAATTTATTCGTGGGAACCAGAAAACAAATCACTACAAACTATACCACTTTTAGTTACTTCTTAATTGAATTTGTACTTCTTCCCCAAGTTTTGAAGTCTACAAACGGAATTTTATCTATTCTATTCCAAATGTTTCCAAACGAAACGTATGAACTTGTTTGTCATTGTGCAGACCGATTAAATACAGCATGCATTCAATTGATGCAGAAAAACATTTTTACGAAAATCTCCTTTAGAAGGAGATAAATTCTCAATTGCAGAGAAAATGCTCCATTCAATATAGATTTCGCCAAATCACTGATTGAAGGATGCTCAGAATTAAGAAGTAACAAATTTAACGAAATGAAAAAATCATTCAATTGAATTCAATAATAGATTCGTTCCTGAATAACTTAATATTGATATCTTTGTTTGTTTAAAATAGTTTTTTGATATAATTCTTTACATTTTTTGAGAAATAACTTGATATGAAGAATTTCATCATTTTTTTGCTATAGATAGTTAGATAAACAGAAATGAAAACAATTGTGTTATGTAATATTGAAAATATGTAGTTTGCTGCAAATATCAATTTAAATCTATTGTTCATTATAGTCAATAGGATTTTGTTGCTCTTAAAAATCATTATTTTTCTTATATGAATTCATGTTCTCTAATTTGTATTATATATAAATAATGAATAGGAATATTTATTTTTAACATGTTCATTAAATGATTAGATTAAAAATCTTAACTGTTTATTATAATACATACAATTTTCTAATATATAGCATTCAATAGATTTTAATATATTTAGGAACGTATTCAATTTCAGGAGATCTTCTGGATATTTCATGAAAATCCATTGAGAATGCATTGGATCGTTATCTATTTTTGTTAAGAATGCATTTGCAATTCTCAATACCATTTTTGGTTTCAACTCAATGCCAAAACTTTGTTGAAACCTGATGAAACATCGCCTCCATTTGTTCCTTGCAGGCAAAGATATTGAAAAGCAACTGTAATCACAAGAAAAATCAGGAATCTTAAAGTAAATAATTGGATCACGAATGATGGGTTGATTAGTCTATCCCAGAATATATTCCTAAATTATTGATAGAAAACCATCTCTTAAAAAGTAGCAATGTTGCAGAAATGTAAACAACATGTTTTCGTTCTGAACACTGACCAACCATTTTGCAACAGGAGGAATATTCGTTTGAATAATAGAGAAAATACGGGTTTCAAGGAAATCTCTCTATTACCATCCATGCATTGAACAGTTGGTCATTCCCTGTGAGTTTAAGTAATCCATAGAACAACCAGAAAATTAAACTGTTTCCTCTATGAAAATCAACAACTTTTGTTATCATATAAAGTGATCTTTTTTCTTTGTTACTTTCTTGAAGAACATTTCCATCAAAACCAGCCGCGATATCTGAAACATTCCTTGGATATATCCGACATCTGCAACAAGTAATGAATATATCATCAAATATCTCTTCTAATGCTCTTCGGTGCTGGTCCTTCTGTTTGGAACATTTCTTCTTTTTTGTCTGTTCTTTTGACATCGGAAACAATGACCGCCAAAAACTTTTGTCAAATACACTTCTTGGCTGGAATTTTGTTTTCCCATCTGTTGAATGTATTCATATACTCATCAATAAAGATCATCTAAGTGCTTTTCGTTCTCTTTCTCGTTAATTCTGGAGTAAAAACGCCTAAAAGGTATAAATATGCCATGGTCTCGCTTTCTGGTGTTAATCCGTGGGACAAATATGTCTTTTTTGAGTGATTAATAGTCTAGTAAATGTCCTTGTTCGTCAAATTTTAAGCTGTAATTGTTCTAAAATCTATTGGATTATTATCGATTTCTTTTTGTGTCGTCTAATATCTTATTTAATGATGTTCTATATGAGTATAATAGATTATATTGCTATATTAATATGAAATTTTCTGGAACAATGTATCTCAATTCAACTTCAAGATTATTATTAAATGAATTTGGTTTTCGTTTGGAACTAGTGTTATTGAATGTGATGATAACAGATCTGAAAAACATCTTTCACACACTACAATTTCGGATCTGGGAAGATAAAATGCAAATTTGTTCTCGTGTCCGGAAAGAATGAATTCGAATAGTGGTTGATCTGTCTTCATTATTAGTCTTAACTATCTTTTTAAGCATTGTGTAGATAAATGAATATTTGTGATTCTTCTATTTTATCACTTATTAAATATAATTCGAGCATTTTTCTGGTTTCCATTCGAAAGAAATTATGCCTTTTGTGCTATACACTTCCATTGTGCCTGGATTTTTCTCTCCTGACTCGAAAACAGAGAAGCCACGCAAAGAATATACATCATTTTGTTTGATCCATAATATTTATGAATCAGAAAAGTGTGATTTTTAACAAAATATTACTAAATAGGCCTTATATCTACCTGCTCACTGACTCTTCCATCATGTCAAACTGACAGATCTGCCTGGCAAATTTTGAATTCATAAACCGACACAAATTGATTAAAATTTTATAGTGACTTCGATCGAAAATAACTTGCTCCACATGATGTTATGACATATAAAAGCAAAACTTGGGGAAATTTTAGATCTGTTTTCTAGGAAAAGTGACGTTTTCGATTTTATTTAAAAATATTAAGAATATACTTAGTGAAATATTTGAACAACAAATTTATTTTTGAAATGCATTCAATTATGAGTCACTTTTGTGAATCACAGTTTTGAAAAATCCCACAAATTTGAACCCATTATTAAGTATCTTCTCATTATCATGAGCACGAGAAGAGGTATTGGATTGTCAGAAAGCATTTAAGCTAATTAAGGAAGCATTTTACATAATTAATTTTAAAAAAAATATCAAAAAAATAAAAATTATTAAAATAATAAAGTCCACAGAAAGAGAAAAAGAAAGATTATAAATATATAGAATCGTTTTATTAAAAACATTCAAACAAAATTTTAAAAATAAATAACAAAAAAATTATAAAAAAAATTTGTTACCAATAAGGAGCCAACCATGATACATTCTACTTAAGTTAATTTCCGATGTTGCCTCTTCTATCAACTTCTGTACGTCTGAGGAATAGTCATTATCATTTCGTAGGTCGTTTCCAGCCAATTTTTCTGCAACTTCTCGAATTTGCCTGTTTCAAACCTCTTCCTTCTTTGTCATCTGGCTTCCTTCGTACCATAGAGCGTCTATTACTGGTTCCTGGACGAAAATGTCCAAAAAGCCAACAATGTTTGAGAATTTTTCGAAGTTGGCCCAAAACATCTTTCCGCAGTAGTTTTTGAAGAGTCCATGAGTACCAACAGCTCTAAAGCTCTTACTAACATCCTTGTAAGTCTGAAAGGAACTGTTTCTCGACATATCTTCTTAATGAAGCTTTTTCGAAGCAAATCTGAGAGATCTATGTGTACGATATTGCCAATTTCTCTTCATAAAACAGTATATTTAGAGGATGTTCTGTCGCCTAAACCAATATGTAAACCGACAACTGACATTAAAGCGAGAGAACGGCTGAAATTCGTTGTTTGCATCAGCCATTGTCTTGCTCCTGATGATCAGCCACAAAGCTTCATCAATTTCGTTGTCTGGAGCCACATTTACTAATTTTCTGAATAATTCGAGTTTTTGGAGGTTGTTCATGGTAGATTGCAATATTCTACCTTTATATAAGAACTCGTTGAAACACCTTTTCTCGGATTCTTCAGTTCTGTTTGCAAATTTTTCTTCTCCATAAGATTATGAGCTCAAATCTCTCCTCCAGCAGCCCACGAGATCAGTCCTGATGCTGTTGTCAAAGGAACAACGTGATACTGCATGATTATGTTGAACTTCCGTCAGTCGAGTTTATTCATCTCAAATCGAATTAACCAAGAGAAAAACTGCATAATGTGTTGGTCAATCTCAAATCCTCTCTTCCTTTCAGTAGATATTTGGTAAGATTGACCGTTTACTGCCCAACATTCGCATTTTTCTCGGTCTTTTCGGCGGAAGGAATGCATTTTTCCACACGTGGCGGATCTTTGATACAGTTATGAAGTGGTTTACCGATCTCGTAGCTTCCTGGCATGCAAACTTTGAGGTCATCTGTAATAATTGGAGTCCCAGCTTTTATGTCAATGGAATTGACTGATTCGATGTTCTTGTTCAATGAAATATGGAGCGAGATTCGCAGCATTGAAGAGAAAGACTCTATCTGCATTTGCTGTTTTTGAATTATTATATTCAAAACTCTGGCGCTTTTTTCAATGAACAGTTTAGCAGGTTTGCATGAGAACCAGTCCTTAAGGAAGGATTGTAGGTCTTTGGCCGATATAATGTCACTTACTCGCTTAATTATATCTAACTTTCCTGTTGCAATGGAAATCATCACCAATCTTCAGGAGCTTCTCTAATAATATTGATACTTCTTCTGCAGGAGTCACGGCCAAGATGTCATCGATTGAGCGAAAATTGTCACATCATTTCACGTCCAAACTATGTCATTGAACAATTGGTCGATGAATTCGCTTGACTTTGTGTGTCTCTGCAAATTAAGAGTAGAGCAACTGCTTGGGAAGTGGTTTACAGAAAATGATTTCATTAATATCGAAAACTACTTCACGAACTTCTTTACAGGGTGTTCTAGTTGTACAACCAATTGTGGGATGATTAAATTACTGATTCCGGTGGCAATTTCTAAATTTTGAATGCAAAATTTCGAAATCGCTCAAATAAGTACCATAAGTAAAGAAGAGAGAGGCATAATTGGCATAACCAATGCATTTTAGAGCCATTCAGTTTCCAATAATTTTCCAAACCCGTTCATTTATATTTGCAATAAAATTCAGCTACATTTCCGTTTCTGCATCAAAGAAAGGTTTGTGTATGTCCATATCTCCACGCTCTTGCGTGATTCGTGTTTTTTCTCCAACACATACCCAATTGGTTGACGACAAACACCGTAACAACAGTTCTTGTTGCCAAATCGCAAACAGCATCGGCAAATAGACATCAATTCTCTGTTGATTTCTGGAGTTTCGATACGAATTTGGCCAGTTCATCTGATATCTTAACAATGCCACGGTCGTATCTTGTTATATATCTAATTAATAATGATCTTTCATCTTTTTCTAATTGATTGGAAAACTCCATCGAAATAAGTCCATTCTTTTATACGTCTTAATATGTCTAAATATGTGTTCTTCATCGTCCTCTTCCTTGTTCCGGTGTACACTCTAGTAATTCCCTGATGGCCCATGATAATTTCAATTGAGAATAATCGTTTTTCATTGAATTTGAATTTTCTTTCCAAATTTCAATGATGTGTTTTGAATTTTCTTGTTTTTGTTCACATCCAAGATGTTTCTCACGTCTTCTATGGAGAAGAAATCATTTATCAGGGGCATGGCATTCTCGTAGTTTGCTGGAGGACTAAGTTATATAACAGCAGCGTTAGTTGCCCTGTTTCACGAATTCTTCAGCTTCATTTTGTAAATTTTTTTCTGATTTTTGCAAATCGCTCGCCAACAACAGTTCGTAGGTGTATCAGGGACAAGAACTGCTCGTATTTGTCGGTCTCCTGGCCAGTGTTTAATGCAGCTATGAAGAATGGAAGGCGGCTTTGATTTTGGTCTCTTTTACGAGTTTTTTTCGAAAATTTGGTCTTTCGAAATAATTGAAGCGTAATCGTCCATGTTCATGTAACAGTTTACAATGCCTGGGACACTTGTCTCTGACTCTTTTTGTGTCTCCGTATATCTCTAACGCTTATGTCATTTGTTTATGACTCAAATAACCCTGCATCTGTTGTTTGCGATGAGAATTATTCCTAATAATCCATTAGCAGTGCTTTTCCGTTTTAATTGCGCTTCGATCATTAATAAGTGTTTTAGAGGTTCCTCGGGGAAGTCAACTTTTGAGAAAAACCGTATGGCCTTAAACCAAGACTTGCATTTCTCAGCGATTTTTCCGGCAGTCATTGGGTTGTAGAACATGGAAAGCCCGCGCGGTCAAGAGCTTCTGCTCCATCAACAATTACTGACAAAACTGAAAGATTCCGCGTTTGGAGATGAGACACTGTTTCGAAAAACGACATCAATCACGACGCTCTTCATCTTGAGCATCTTCCATACGGAAACAAGAGCTAAAGAAAGATATCGTACTGTAATTTCGATGCTCCGTTTAATAATGGTCGACAAGCACGAATTGCAGCCGAACTACTACAGAGAACAAGGTCTGCGTGAGCTGTAGAATCCATATCGGGGTGTATTCTGCTACGTTTTGATGAGATAATATGGTATTATCAATCTTCTCTGGGAAGCGAGGCCTCATCTTTGAGGACGATGTCTGGCTTGGTTGATAGTCTTGTCTCGTTTAACACTGAGAAGGTTTTTCCTTTGGAAAATTTCACGATTTTTGTGATTTTCGGATTTTTGCGTAAAATTACTGATATAAGTTCATGAGCTTTGGAGTTCTAAAGGACTTTTATTGAGAGTGCGAGCCTAAGAACTTGCAAAACAAGAGATTGAAACTTCCCTGTGTTCATTATCTCAGCATTAAATTTTTGGAGTCTTTGTTGTTGTTCTTTATTCGCTGGGATGCGAGTTCAAAGAATAGTATGGGGAACGACTCGTATGTATGCCATACAGGAGCTAAATAGTTAAATGTAGTTACTGTAATTGATCTTACTTCTTTGGTTAAAAACGTTCTTTTGCCTCAGAATCGATACGAAACAGGTTGAATATGGCTGGATCGTACTTTATAGTTTCCTTTCCAATGCGAAAAACAAGGGCAGAAAAATACTTTAATTGCGGGAAATTCGCTTCGTGAAGGAAAGGAAGGATCATTTCCATGATATTGTCACCGTAAGGGAGAATAGAGACATCTTACAAGTAGAATGATGGACCTCAGGAAGTGGAAATGGCATCTGGAGGGTTAAATACTTTATCATTAGTAATTTCGAGAAAACTGGGACAATTTGTGGTAGGAAAGGTAGGGAATTGAATGGATCGCTCTGAAAGATGTATACAATGGCGTATAATTAGTACAGATGGTTTCGTAAATTGAAAAGATTGTTGTAATTGGTCCAAACGTACTGCATAGACGAAGTTTAGATAGCAAGTCTGGCGTTTGATACATCACAGATGCGGTGACCAGTCAAAAGAATGTGATTCGTAGTCAAATGTGTGGAATTGAGTCGGTTCAAGGGGTCCTATTGTTCCAAACAGCCTGAAAAAGCCACAAATTGGTCTCAAAGTCAGAACAATTTGAAAGAAAAGAGAAGATTTCCTTGTGCATTTTCACAATATCCGCTTCATTGAAGATTTCGTGAAAGTCTATCGCTCTGAAAATGAGTAATAACGTATTTGCAACCTCTACATGTAAACTCTTTGTGAGAGCTGATCGTCAATTGGTTTGTAATTGCGTTTATAAGTTTTGATTAAAAGGTCTTGAATTCGTCAATATGAGGAATGAGCTCGTTAATGCTTTTTAGGACACATTTGTGGATGATTCGCGTATTATTTTATCGTTTAGCTTAAGAGTTGCTTCTAAAGTTGATTTTGGAGTTTCACACCTTTCTTCTAGTATGTTTATGAAGTATTCTACCAATCCTCCTGACGTAAGGTTTGATAATTTTCGTATTTAATCTGATAAAATTGGAGTTAATTCCATTGATATCTTTTAGTGACAAGACTGGTAATCCTTGTAACTGGTGAAAAAACAGATTGATGTTGTCTTTAAATACTCCTCTATATCATCAGGAATCACTTTCTGTATGCGTAAAAGTAAATTTTGAGTTTCCTGACGAACAGAGCTCTTCTGATTCTGAATGAATGAGTTCAGTATGTCATATATAAGCGGAGAATTGAACAAACAAAGTAATTCTTGAGGAAATTAATTCTATTGAATTTAGTCTCAATCAGAATTAGAGACGAATTGGCGAGGAACAGTGTTTGCAATGAGGTATTTTTGCTTGTCTTCTATGGATAATATCAAAGTGTAGATCGCTTGTATAAGATTTGGAGAATCTTTCTCATTTACAGTGGAAAAGCTGTTTGATGAGGACATCTAACAGTTCATTTTTATCTATTGAGTCATCTAACGAGATTAATTTGATGATTTCATAAGAAATGGTCAAATTAGATGTGAAATTTTCGCGAATATATTGAGAGTACGTTTTCTGATATCTCTGATGCGATTATAGTTGATTGTTCTGATAAATTTTAGCTGTTTTAAGCACATCGATTGGTAATTTGGGCAACTTTTAATCGAGAACAAATTTGGTCGTTGAAATTATTGTATTTTCGAAGCAAGAAGGTGCTACGATGAAAAAAGCATTCATCGGGGAGCTTAAATATCAATGGCGCGTAGCTTCTCCATCAATTGAATCGGTATTCATAATTTTGAGAGCAATTGTTGATACCTCTCAGAAATTGAGAGATTTCAGAAAATATTGTGAGTAGTTTTGGCCTGAAATTGAGGTGTGAAATTCCCGGAACTCCTGGATCGCCAGGACATGATTTCAAGACTGTCAGCATAGACTGTTGGTTCATCTGGAAGACGACTACCTTTGTGAGTATCTGCGCTCTCCCTGCGAGGCAAGCGCGGCTTAGTTCTGATGATTCCTTCGATCATTGAAAAAATATCCGTCGACTACGTGTAAAGGACAAGGTGATTCCAAGGCCTGGAAGCAGTCATCGAGCATCGTATTTGCGCATTCGTCGGGGAGGAGTCGTGGTTTATTTTGCCTAGAAAGAGCTCAACGCCCAGCAAGCTCTGACTTGAGATTCTTGATGTTTTATTGCGCCATAAACGATGTGGTTTATGTGGCCGAAAAAGCGGCGTATAAGTCGATATCTGTGAATATGACGTTCTTGAAAATGAATACTGAGGAGAGTAACTCGTTGAGAAGATTCTGGATGTTAATCTTTCGAATAATGTTGGAAAGAATTGGACGTTTCTGAGCGTCTGGCAACGCGTTCGAGCAAGATGTGACACCATCAATGACAATGATGCTTTCTACGGGTAAATATTCTTCGAGCTGGTTAGCATATTTGATAATGTGTTTGATCTTCGACAATATCTAGTATATATGCAAAACAAGCAAGAGCGATGATTTTTATCTACGTTATTTGTTGAGTTGCATTCTATTTGTTGACCATTTATATAGAGTTTCTATAAATTATCTTGATCTTG